TCCACCAACGACAAGTCAGAATAAAAACCATCAAATTAATCGTCAAAATTTTCGGGAAGTCCTTCAAAAAAAGGGATTTACAGTAATCCAATCTGCTGGAGATGGATGCATAGAGCAGTTTTTTAAATGGAAGAAAGCTGGCTTCATAATAGGGGTGATGCATGTGTCAGAATTTCAGTTTTTTATCTTTATTAAGTTGTAGAAGGTTTTTGGGACATGCACTGGTTGATGTCATCGATGCATCTTACAAGCTTACAGGAGGTTGTCTAAGGAAAGAGACATACAGCTGTGTATCATCAGCATGGGAATGATAGAATGTGTATAGACCAAGAACTGATGTTAACTTCCTCAGATGTGAAGCTGCCAGTAGCTACTATAAAGTCCTTCCTTTTAAATATATTGGGGACCATAGAAGAACGGGTCCAGATGAGCCAGCACGGCTCGTCATACAGGTTGTGGAGGGCAATAACCGTGCAGTCATTTTGCAGACAACCTTTTCGAGTGATCCTGACGAGGTGTTTTTGACATTTAGGAAACCTACAGATGTGATATGTATCATCAGCATATCTCCTTGGCACATGGATGGGATTGGATCCTCACATCAGCCAAGCCTGTGTTTCAAAAGCTTCCTTGATTTAATGTCACCAGAGAATAATTAATATTACCCCAGTTCATTTATGCATAATAATGACCACTGTATTCACTGATCTCATTTGATCACCAGACAGAGGGTGACAGATTAAAGGAAATATCATAGCACACGATTCACATAATATTCATACTCATCAAAACCATTCAGTGACCCCCTCGTGCCCTATGGATGGAGCATTGTCATGGAAGAGACCAATTTTCATGATTGGATGTTAATTACTTCACTGTGTGTGGAAGCATCTGTATTCATTGTTCCTCCGCTCGGTTTTTCCTTTAATTTGTACATGTCCTTAGGTGTGTGTATTTGGAGGTGTTTGATGTGAGAGTGTTTGACAGCTTCTTTGTCGGGCTTTCTTTGCCACTCAAGAATATTCTCCTAATGCTGGAGAAGAAACAGTCAGCCTGGCTCCGTCTGAAGAGAAAAAAACCAAAGCTCACTAACTGTCATCTTTATGTTTCTGATTGTGTATGAACTTTGTCGCCTTTGGACACATCCAGGCGGCCTTTTCCCCGTGCTTCTTGTCTCTCTGCCGAGCTAAGCTAGCTAGCTAATGGCAAGAAAGCAAACTAGCATAGTTCCGAAAATGTCAAACTATTCATTATCTTACTGAAATTGGCTTCTGCTTCTTGTTAAAATAAAAGTAAATTAAACTCAATAATAATAATGATGATAAACTTTATTTATATAGCACTAGAGCAAAGTGCTTTACAAAAAGAAATAAAACCAGACAATACAAATAAAATGAGAATAAGACCAAAGAGCATAAGCACAGAGGAAGTCAAAACAATAACATTAATATTATTCTCGTCTTCTGCAACATTCACTGTTCCTTCAAAGTAAATAACTTTCTCCCATAACTGGAAGTCAGACATTTAAAACTACTAATATGGGACTTTTTTTTTTTTTTTCAGCGTTATGAAGCTGTGAGTCTGACACAGTTTTAACACAAACACAAACTCACTCACACGTCAATGCAGACACTTCCCCTCTTCAAACCTACTGACCCACAGAAACCCTAAGGCCCCTCAAAGAATGTGCACCAAAAACCTGCCGTTCTCCTCGGCTTTGCCGTCCGTCCAGATGTTGACACAGCTTTTCCCTCCCCACATGCACCCTCAGAGTTTATTGCACCTCGTAAAAAACAAAGAGTCTAATGCAGAAGTGAAGCACTACAGTGATCATAAAGTGTTAAGATGAAAATAGTCAGGTGATGCAGTGTTTGGCCGAATCTCTGTCTCCAGCGTCAAACCAAACTTTATCACGCAATCATTTGGATTCAGGTAATATTATGCACACGCACATACAGACAGACCGAGCGGCCTGCCTCTCTCATCCAAAAGCATTAGTGCTTTCATCCATCATCATAAAGAAACAACCTGTGATGTGTTCTTTGATTCTCTATCTGGGACACACACACACACACACACACATCCTGGTTTTGTGCACACAGGGCTGAAGCGGAGACAGGTCTTGTCTCTGTATCTTATGAGCAGCTCATGAATAGACATGATGCACATGTCAGCAAAGGCGCAGGAACAAAGACTTAAGTTGCTGAGGCGTAGTTAACATGCAAGCATTTTACTGTCAGGGTGTAACCACACAGCAGCCAGACTGAGACAGAAAGAGCTCACAGTAAAGGAAAGACTGCACTCCGAAGATAATTAATCTCAATGGGTTTAAGCTTGGATTAAAGAGCTCAGCGTGGATGGTGGTGAGAACGGCAGGTTACATACATTTGCTTGACAATGTAAAAACACCCACATACACTTACTAGATCCTGTTTCCATCAAAAGAGTGTCCCCTTTCCAACTCCCACGATGGACTATTTTGGAATAAAACTCATTGTGTCTTTCGTTATTGGGTGTAAAGGTGTTTGCAAACGCTCTGCCTCTGCCCACATATCTTTGATTATCATACGCTGCAGGTTTGATCTGATGTCAGCGCTGTACTGACCTCTGCTGGTCAGATCAGAAACATATGAGCCCCACAAACCACCAGCTGAATCTATGTTAAAAGCAGACCTCGCCAAAGTGGCAAGAAATTCGATTTGCATTTAAACACACCTTAGTTGAAGTGATTCCCTCTCATCATCAAGAGCAATATCTTTTCTTTCTTTTTTTTTTTGACAGTGTTTTATTTTGCCAACAACAGAGTTTCAGTGTGAAAAATTCTTACTGTAATGCAAAGAGCTAAACTATCTTGATAAATTCTTACATTCAGACACAACATAGAGTTCTCAGTTCAGTTCTCAAAAGGTTTATTACTAACTATGCAAGTTACTGAATCAATGCAACATGCGTGTCCAAAGTGTATCACGGTCAAGGTTACCGAAACCTATGAGCAAAAGGAAAAAGGAAATGATATTTCTGTCCTTGTGATGACTCTCAAAATGAGTGTCTGTTACAGAAGAGTAACATTACATGCTGAGAGCATCACACTCTTCCATTAGCATACTGTATTTTAGGTGATTATACTTACAAGTGACACCAGTATCTGAGGATTGGTGTCTTTTGTCTTGTATGAATGTAGGATTTGCTGCTGTGTGAAGTCAGACTCCGGACCACAGTGTCCGTAAATACTGACTTCTGCATAAATTGCATATTCGTCCTCATTGCTTTTGGAATTTGTTACCTAGCATGACATCAATACCGACCGTGACTGAAAAACAGACGGGATATGATTACGGCTCGTTATTTTAAAAATGGAAAAACTAAATGAGATTAGTGTGTAATGTCATGCAGTCTACCTGAGCACAGTTAATGTTGACCAGCTTCATTTCTGCCTCACTGATGAATGAAAGATTTATTAGTTTATGCCTCTGGTATTTTACGACGACTAAATTCGGATGTGTTTTTAAATGTCAAAGAACCTGTTGTGGTGCCACAGCTGCTGGTTCGTTCTGTCACAGTGTGCCAGCTGACTGGACAGGACAGAGATTGGACAAGACACGCTGCTTGCTGCTCATTCCCTGATAATGATCTTTTATAACCACTGTGCCATAGGATATGTTTAGCACTGATATCACGGAGAAAGCAATAACAGAAGACTCCAGTAATTAGTTAGATAAAAGTATCACTGCAGCCTAAAATAAAGGCTAAGTAAAATAATAACGCAGTTTGGCAACGTTCTTCATAAAATACTTTTTATATTAAATTTCTTCAAGGTTGAGCCATGAATTTCAAACACAAAATAAAACTTTTCAACAAACACTACCTCAGAGGCTTTAGCAATTAAAACTGTTTACCAAAGCCTTGATGATATTCCAGATGCAGACAGCTGCAGACTGGCACAGGGCAACGCTGAATAGTTAAGGCACATAAGTGACCTAGTTCAACTCTTTCGTTTAGCATGTTAGCATCCTTGTCTTTTGTCATCCCAGGATGCAGACCGCTAACACTGCTAAAAGGTTAACGCTATACGTTCTGAAGGAAAGAAGTGGGTTTATAAAAGAAGGTTGTAAAAGTGGTGTCTGAGCTAATATAAGACAAAGATGAAAACAAACAAAATCCACGATTGATTTAAAGGTGATTGCATTTTCCAAATAAGATAATTAAGAACAGACTTGTACTGATATGGAACTGTCCATCCAAACTCACATTCCTTAAAGCGAATAATCTGCAACAGCTGCATTTATGACACGGGACCTTTGCTCTTTTCCAATAGTCTAGTCTGATTATTGTTCCCTTCCATGTCTTTGACTTAATACACCTTATCTAATCTCCCCCCTCTTATATTCTTGTTATAAAAACCTGTTATCTTGTGTAGGTGCCTTTCATAAACCTCTGAGTGATTCCAGACTGGACCACGCAAACAAAGGAAGCAATTATTTTTACGATCCCGGGAACTTAAAGCTCCATATTTTCCTCTTCTTCTGTGTTTTATTTTGAAGTGTCGATCCATAAGAAGACATATTTGTGGTTTTAATAACCAAAAACCATCTAAGTGTAGTTTTACATCTTCTCTCTGGAGCTCCAGTAACAACAGGTCATTTTGTGTCAGTCTCTGAGCCTCTCTTCTGATTGGCTGTTAACAGAGTGATGCACGGCCACCACGGGTAACGTGGTAGCTTACTACTGTAGCCTGGTAAAACTCAGATGGTTACCTCGACTTGTATATATAATACTGTGTCTCATGTGAGTTTATTACAAGGCGGTTAAACTGTTCCTTCTCGACCAGGATCAATCGATCAACCACTAATGGATGGGTATGTTGAAAATGTGAGAAAAGAGTGAGCTGGTGTGGACGCAAGGAAAAGTTAAAGTTAGCAGTTGAGAAACATTAAAGGTCACGTGAAGACGGGAGATAACAGTCGTCAAGAAAGAAGCTTACACTGCAGTTCAGTGTAAAAGCATGTTGCTCAAGTCTAGATTTTCTTTCCCATCATTTATCAGATTGTCAGTCAGATGACCCTTATTGACCCTTATGAAAACAAGCACATGCCAGTACACGAGATATAAACAAAACATTACTGACACCTTATTAAGTTATATCCTCCATTCTAAAGCAATTTAGCAGTTCAGAAGTATTAAACGCTCCCAGCTCAGGGTAAACATTAACTAACACGATGGTCATGTCAGGGGTCTGTGGCTGAGGCAAAGGTGTGTCTTTATCTGATGGATGTCTTCTATAAAGGCTTTCACTGAGGTCACTGAAGTTAGCAGTTTGCAAACAAGGGGTTTATTTTTCAGTAAGTCACAATGCTCGACTTTATGGGACTGAGCTTCGTGGTGCTGCTCTCAGCAGTGGGAGCAGCAACAATAGACAGGTGAGTTTTACTCATAAAATTGCTCAAATGAAAGCAGCAAAACTGAAATATCAAAATATGCAATTAAAAGTAAAGGTCTTTTTTTAATTGATTTATTTTTTTCATTGAGTAAATGTGCAGAGGAATCTTATTTAAACGTACCTCAATGCAAAATGACCCATATTAACATGTTACATTATTATAATTTAAAGCTGAAACAACTAGTTGATTAACAGAAAATTAACTGGCAGCTATTTTAATAATCAGTTAATCATTTATCTCAAATTCATTAAGCAAATTGCTCTGGTACTAATTTTCTGACATTTTATACAACGAAATATATCAATTAATTGAGAAAACATTTGACAGATTAATCAATGACAGTACCTGTTGCATCCCTAATGATAATGATTATTGCAGCCAAATGAATCATTATATTGTTCGTTGATAGTTACACATGAAGATGGATACCATTTCTGTAAATATGAAGCTGAAGGCAGCAGCCGGTTACGTTATCTTAGCGCTAACCAGATACAAAATGCTAATTATTAAGCTTTATTTTTTTATTTTTTTACCTTGGACGGAGCGACGTTAGCTGTTTTCCCTGCCACCAGTCTTTCTGCTGAGGAGGGACGACCAGGGGTGTAGCAGAGAGTGAGGGGAATAGGTGAACTAAGTAACTGGGGCTAGAATTAATTAATTGTGTGTGTGTGTGTGTGTGTGTGTGTGTGTGTGTGTGTGTGTGTGTGTGTGTGTGTGTGTGTGTGTAACAGAGTGGAGTATGACTACTACAAATACCATCCCATGCCGGAGGTGAGAAAACCTGACCACTGTTCACACTTTGACAAACACTACATACACACACACACACACACACACACACACACACACACACACACACTCTCTCTCTCTCTCTAATGTGTACATCTGCTCTACAGATCTCCAAATGGATGGCTCAGATTAAACAGGATTACTCCGATGTTGTAAGCATAGTGGATTATGGTTATTCCTACGAGCACAGGACCATCAGCTTGCTGAAGGTAAGCCGCACTTTTAACTTTCAGTTTTAGAACCACACACCAGATGGACACTGGGGGGTGTTTACATTTTATGTGTTTGTGCTATAAGGTTATTTGAATTTGTCTTTCAGATCGGCCTGAACACCGGAGAGAGAAAGAAAGCTATCTGGATGGACTGTGGTATACACGCCAGGGAGTGGATCGCCCCAGCCTTCTGTCAGTACTTTGTCAGACAGGTAACAGACAGGCAGTCATTAAATGATGATTTATCATTTAAATAAATATAAAAATAAAGGTTAATTTATTAACAAACAGAATATTATTTTGTTGGGTTTCCAGACTTCTTTCACTCAGGTTCTGTGTTTTTCTTTCCTCTCTTAAATCAGATTCTGCAAACATACAAAACAGACCCAAAAATGGAAGAAATGATGAAGAACATGGACTTCTACGTCACGCCAGTGCTCAACGTGGACGGCTACATCTATTCCTGGAAGGACAACAACGTCAGTGCTCGAATTTGATGGATATTTATCCAATTATTTTTCCAGGGTTCAGCTCACAAACCACAGATGAACCGCATATGATGATGATAGTTGATGAGAGTCTATTAATGGAAGTGGTGGCTCCATTAAAACGAGCTGCGGTTCAATTATTGAAAAAATTGATTTCTGATGCTCAAAAAGCCCCAAGTACAAAATCATCTAATTTTCTCAAAATACAAGAGCAATCCCAGGCAGCATTAAGTACCTGCAGCATGTGCAAGTGTTAAGTGCCAGATCAATTTATGACCAAATTAAAAGATGGATGTGAAGCAGCTGATTCAACTGACTGAACATTATGTCCCATTCAGACTCGACTGTGGAGGAAGAACAGATCACCGGGACCTTCAGACTGCAGCTGTCCCGGCACCGATCTCAACCGCAACTTTGATGCCAACTGGGGCAGTGAGTGTTGTTATTATAAACTCCATTATAAACAAATATCACAAAATCAAAATACCCACATTTCCCAGAGTTCCCCCGGCTTCTTCTCTCTGGTTAAAAAGCTAAATATTTCTCTCGGGAGCTGGTGAAAACCTAAAACAAAGATAGACTCACGTTCATAAACTAAGAAAAGAGAAGTTTTACTTACTGTCTACAAGTCACTAAATGGTCTGGGCCCTAAATATGTTTCTGAAATGTTCGATGTTTATAAACCTAATGATCTCAGGAGCTGAGAAACGTGTAAAATGGCTTCAACCATAACGTGTGAACGCAGCTTAAATGTGTAAAAAGACAAATTATCTCAATGATCTATTCCTTTGGCTGCTTTCACAGCAATTGGTGTGTCGACTGACTGCTGCTCAAACATCTACTGCGGGAGCAAACCCGTGTCTGAGCCCGAGGCCCAGGCCGTGACTGAGTTTGTTGGAAGCCGGAAGGACGACTTCCTGTGTTTCCTCACCATCCACTCCTATGGCCAGCTGCTCCTGGTTCCCTACGGACACCCCAACTTCACCGCCTCCAACTACGACGAGCTGGTATTTACATCTACGAAACACAGCAACACAATATCCTCCATAATATCACACAACAATTCAGGATAAACAACGTTCATGCGTCTTTATAAGCTGATTATAATTATCGCTGCGTGTTTCTACATTAATAAAGAGACTACTCTGCCTATAAGCAAAGAAACGCACAGTAACGAAGATAATGATTTTAATTCATGTCAGGGTTTTGGATCTAATATTGTTTATGTGATATACAGTGCAGTTGAATGGTGCATTGCAAGATACACACACACACACACACACACACAATGTCATTAACGCTCTCAGCATCCTCGGAGGAAGCTGTGAAAGCTTGACTGTGAGGAGGGAGGCTGAGGCAGGTAATAACCCAGCGGAGCCGTCATCCAGAGAGAATTATGCAAAACAGGATTATGTCCGTTCGTTTCCCGGGCTTTAGCAGGACTTTAGCAGACAGAGGCCAGCCCTGTATCCTAAGCCATTCAAACACCACCACCGTTCTCCGGCTCGGACCGGACGCTGAGTCACACCGCACTTTTTGAGGTTTTCAATTATGAATCTCAGGTGACTGAACCTGGAGCAGGATTGGTTTATGAAACACTGAGACTCCAAAAATGATGCCAGAACATCCTGGTGGATCCTCTTGATGAGACAGTTGACACTGAGTTTGGTGATAATAAACTGCTTCCTGGTGTCTCCCAGTGGCCTGAGCGCGTTTCTAAACTATGACTTCAGGCTCACAGAGCTGGTGCACCTGTAAGAAAGGCATATATTTAACACCAAACACACTGAAGTTTCACACGCGGCTCAAGCTCTTTTCAGCTACATCCATCTGCATCTACATCCCTGCACATTTCAGTGACTTGCATGACAAAAGCTAATGTCTGCGTCCTCAGATGGAGGTGGGTTTGGCTGCAGCAGACGCCATTAAGAAGGTGCACGGGAAGAACTACACTGTAGGAACCTCACCTGATGTATTATGTAAGTCTACACACCCCTGCTGAGCATGATGACTGGTTTTAGTTTAACTGACTATGAAAACAAATTGGTTACTTGACATGAAAATAAAAACTCTTCCCACAGACCCAAACTCTGGGTCATCCAGAGACTGGGCTCGGATGCAGGGGATCCCCTTCAGCTACACCTTTGAGCTGAGAGATAAAGGGACTTTCGGCTTCGAGCTCCCGGAGGATCAGATCCAGCCGACCTGTGAGGAAGCCTACAGAGGAGCCCTGCACATCATCACCTACGCCCACGACAAGACCTTTAATAGTGCTGTGGCCGCCACTGCCGCGACCCTGTGGACCATGCTGTTAGCACTGGGTGTCACCGGCACCACCCTGATGTGAGGTGGAAAAAACGTACATCAAACTACATATATGGCTACAGAAACCGTTTTTTTAACAGCTGAAAAGTGTATTTGAATGTTTATATCTGTCCACAAACTTCCATACGTGTCATATTGCAGCCAATAGTTGGAGTTGGTGCATTTAATTATTCCAGAGACTATTTGTTTTCATCTGTAAATATCATGACGTATAGCCGACATTACCTGGCAATAAAAAGTGCAACAACTTCTCCATATAAACCAAAATATTCACATATATTATATTTTTTATTCTGTTCATTTGTGTGTTTTATTTGTGGCATTATTTGCTTAAAATCTGAATAAACTCAAAGCTGACTCTTCTACTATATTTGTAACCGTTCTTAATATTGGCAGAAATTACAGTATGTATCATGACATTTGAGGAAAAGGTATCTACTGTATGTAAACTGACCACTGATGTAAAACAAGGTATTAAATATATGTCCGTTTATCCCCTGAGGTAGGATAAGTTTCCTAATGTAACATGCAGTTTCAAGGCTGAGTGTCAGTGTTTGTTTCTGAACGGCTGGAAGCCTTGTTGTCTCAGACCGGCCAGCGGCAGGAAGAGCTGCTGCTCCGGAGGAAACTCATCCCAGTGTGTCCACGTCCAGCCTGAGGGGGAAAGGACCACACATTCATTCTTATCATCTGCTCAGGTGGGCAGAAATGATTACCCCCCCCAATTTAAAAACCCATTTCACATACCCTCGTTCTTCTCCGGCTCCAGGTTCTCTGGCTCTCCTGACTGCTTCCTGTCCAGGTCTCCTTGCATGAATATGGTGACGTAGTGGTACTGCTCCTCCAGCCTGATGGAGTTCACCACTGACGCAAGGCGGACGTTCACCAAACGCACCCCAGCTTCCTCCAGCACCTCCCTGTGAGCGCATTCCTCCCACGTCTCTCTTTCAAGGACACAGAATCAGTGTCACTCCCCCCCCGGAAACCATCACATTCAGGTCTTCCTCTCCACATTTCACATTTCAGGGAAGGTCTTATGTTCTCTGGGTCAATGACGTATAAGAATTTTCAACAGGGCAATTTTAAAATACACAAAATAAGAATATTTATTTCAATCATCAAATATTACAAATGTTCAGTACACATATATTTATATTACATTTTTTTAATTAATTGATTTCAGTGTTTTTTCACCCAGATGAATTGGCTGTGGCCTTAAAGAAATATTTTTATTTTGAATTTAATATAGTTATTGCTATTATTGGTCGCACCACATGATATTTTGACACTTTAAGTGACAGAAAAATAACAAATACCTAAAGGTTTTTGAAAAGTTAAAGTGAGCACACAAGCTAACTGACTGTCTTTAATGGATCTTCAAGCATCTCAGAATGGTTATCCACACTTCGCCACACTGCCTTTACAAATATAGAAAATAAGTATTTGTGAAAACTTATTTGGCAGACACTTGAAACAATGCAAATTTACAATATGTTTTTAATATTTGTTTACAATTTAAGAAGAATTCGGCGTAATAATAAATGTGTCATAAATCATAGTGAAAGGAGGGAAGCGCATGTTTTGTCAAAAGAAAAGATGTTTGGTGAATAACAATAACAATAACAATAATAATAATGAAAACCAGTGTTAAACAACCATATAAACGCTCTTAGCCGGTGTCGGATTTGTGAATGAGGTTTGCTGTCCACCTACCCAAACTCCAAATGACCACCGGGAAGCTGGTACGTCCCTTTGCCCACAGCGCTCCTCCGTTTCCCCAGGAGAACGCACCCGGGGTGGGCCGAGTCTGTCACCAGCACCCCGACCCCCACCCCTGGCCGTTTAACTGTTTTATCTGACATCTAGGAAAAACAAAAACTCACGCCTCGTAAACGGGACAAAGTTAGCAAAACTAGCCCGTGCTAACGCGGCAGAGTCGCTATTCAGGAGGTGCAAGAGTTTGACTTCTGTGTACTTCCGGGTTCGTTTTACAGATCGTCTGGAAGAGCCATGATTGTATTAGACCTTATAATAGGAAACCAGACTCTCTCTTGTTGGTCCATTTACTTGTTTGGTTTTGTGAAACAGGAAAACAACAATATTGAGGTATGTGAGTAAATAAATAACTGATATAACAGTTTATATTATCCAATTAGCTGTTTATTTTTTAATTGGCTGGGCACCAGTGCACTCTCTTCACAATTAAACACACTTTGGCTAAACTTTGCTTTTAATTTCAAAGCCAAAACTTCTATAATTAGTTTTTTTCTTTAATATTATGTACAGTAATAACAGAGTACAGGGATGCAACACTGCCACCTACTGACATACTTAGTGTATATTCTAGTAAAAAGTCAGCTGTAATCACTGCTCTTAACAGCTTTAAATCAATGTATATCTTGACTTAGATATGATGAGGCTTTGTTTGAAATTAAAGGATATATAGGAATGTGGCAAAATACATAAAATTAAAAAAAATAAAGCATTTAGCAGGCTATAGTTATATCAGACTTTTACACATCATTGGATATTATTATATTGGATTATTAAAAGTAAAAGTTGATGCATCAGTCAAGATTTCTTTTCGATTCTGTGATGCGAATTCAGATTTGATTAATTGATCCTAGAAACTCATAAGTCTTCCTCACTAATAAGGACAAAAAGTTTGAGCTAAACCAAACTTGAATTGATGGTGCACAAGTTTAATTAAACACACTGAACACTGAAAATCAATTCAGTCATTTAATTAAAGAAAAGATTGAAAGACAGAAAGAAGATACAGAATGGATGTGTAAGAGCAGATTAAATGTTGTCCTCCTGTGAAAATAGCAATAAAGATATTTTAGTTTTTTGTGAATATTTAAAAACAGTACAGTGTTAGTAGTTACAGCTTTTAACTTTTTAATATTCACTTACCAGGATTTCTTTAGAACATAGAGATCAATTAATCTGCAAAAAGACAGATTTTAATTAGTAAACTCTGTATATTGAGTTCAATTCATATTGAGTTTTAAGCTTGTAGGATAAATTCACTACCGGTGTTCGATACCCACCACTTCTTCTCTCCTTCCCTCTGCTGCTTCATCCCTCTCTCCTGCCTGCTGCAGCCATTTCTTCACCGCAGACTCCACCGCCTCGTCTGCAGCTCTGGCACACACACTGTTCCTCCTCACTGCATCTGGAAATGAAAGACGGAAAACTTAAGAGCTGTTGTTTAAATTTTAGGTTTAACTGTGCAACAGCGACAATTGTTTGTTTGTTTGTTTTTTAACTTACCGTTAACAATGTCCCTCAGACATGAAGTCGCAAAGGACACCTGGTTGTTTTTCCCTCTCCAGTCCATCCTCTTTGCAAATGTGTTGGACAGCATCCTCTCCAGTATCCTCTGCACTGTTTGATCAATAGGACGTCCATCAGTGTCCCCGAAAAAGCTGATCTGAGAACACAGATTAATGCCACTCCATGAAAAAGTGAACCCCAAATAAACAGCCTGTGATTCACAGTTAAGGAAGGAATAGATGATGGACATACTGCACATGACTTTATGTGTATTTGTGCTGAATTCATGATTATTTTATGATCTTTATTAACCAAACTGACACAAATTATTACACGTCCTTTCTACTGACGTGTATGCAGCAGTAGCTTAACACACTGAGCACCAGCTAGCCAAGGTTAGCTAGATAAGACAACTTAAATGTGAAAAGATACTATAGTCCAGTTTATAACATTATCTTCATCTTCAAGTGCTCGTCTTCATCAATAACATTTTGTAGATATGTGATTTAAAATCTCTTCTCGTAATGCCTCCTTTCTCAGACTTAACTAAAAACCTCCTTAGCTAGCTAGCTTTCTTAGCGTTAGCTTGTTAGCTTAAATGCTTTAGCTCCATTGACAAGAGTTTATACAGTGATTCTACACTGAATGTAGTACAGTTAAGATAATTACTGTGACAATTGTTGGTTGGTGTAATTTCATTACAAACTTTAGCTTCAGCTAGGTAGCTAGCTGAAAATGTTGTGATAAGTGTGTTTTAGCATTGTTTAGCTAGCAACACAGTCTGACCTGCTCAACTGAAAGTTTAAAGTAAAGTGAAAGATAGAGTCCTTAGAAGAGTAAAATGAATTAAGCTTCATTTTGTTTTTATCTCCAGATTAATTTAAAAGTGTTACTTCTTGATGTAATCATTTATATTTATAACAGTTTTGTGGCTCTATACAACATAACTTCTTACAAGTTGATTTTTTAACTCTGGAGTTTCATTGAGCTTCAGCTCTAACAAAGTGAGTCCTTCCTCATCTGTGATGGGGAACATGGCCTTCAGTTCAGCCTCAGTGGAGTCATTAATGCTGTCTGTGTTGGTGAGTTTCAGCAGCAGCTGCAGGATTTGGTTCTGCTGCTGCTGAAGGACTCTCAGCTGGGTCAAGATGTCCTGCTCGACTGCTGTGGAAAAGTATAAACAGACCGTCAGCACATGGTTTATCCACCTGAGAGGCTTTCATGTGATGTAACGCATTATAAACAAACATTATCTTGCAATACATAAGTGTTACCAGTCATTTTCTGTAGGTTTATCACAGGTAATGAACAAAGAAAATATAAATAATATTATAAATAAATTACAAATAAATTAACATGTGACAAATCTGGTTAAATCTGTTGTTAAATAGTTGTTTTACTTAGTTTGAATCTGCTTACGAGTGGGATTGTGATGACACTTTGATCCACCAACAGCTGATTCAGTTGTTACGTTGAGCCGACCTGTGAAAAAGGACAAACATTTCCATCATTATTAAAGTAAAAGAAAAAAACAAACCTAAATAACCCTGTAAATTTGCTTCCAACTCTATTGTATAAAAGAAACAAAAATACCTTTGAGGGCTGAACTTGAAGTTACACCTGAGTGCTTCATTTTCATGTGGATGTTAGGCCGTCTTTTATTTATCACCGCATTGCACTGTGGGCATTCTGCAAGCTGCTTTGGCCCAAGTTTTGATTGACATGACTTATCTGAAGGTGCTGAGGCCAGCTCATTATTTAAACCTGGTCCTTCAGTCGGTGGGGGAGCCACGATGTTTGAAAACGCGTCTGAAGTCCATGCTGTTGCATAATCTGTCTCACATGAGCGCAGAGTGTCATTGATGGGAGCACAGGTTGGACTCTGATCAGCGTTAGGTTGCTCTCCTGACGATGGAGACGCAGGTAGCGACTGCTCTGCATCATCATCACCATCATGAGCTCCAACACCGGGGCAGACAGACACACACGCTGTGTGTTTTCTGTTCAGATGATGGATGAACTGATTACGATTCAGGAACAGTTTCTCGCAGAAACAATGGAAATGAGCTTGTGGTCGGCATCCCAGGTTGCATTTGTAGATGCTGTACCCTGTGGGTGGGAAGAAGAGTCACAGTTAATAACTACACTAAATGTTGATTGTGGGTTTCTGCTAATGCTGATGATAATTATTTATGAGGGATTTGTTTAATAATGTAAGAGCCTTACTAGACACCAATACAATCTAGATTAAACTACGATATTTTATTTTATTTTAATTCTACTAGGCATTTATAAAATACACGCCCTCATAAGTTTAATGTTTTTTATATACAGCATATTACAATGTAGACGTAGAACCTAATTTATGACGTTGTACCAATAACTTCCTTATTCTGGTAGATTCAGCCTGAATTGAACCACAAAATATCTCTTCATTACAATCAATTTACAACTTTTCAAACTGTTTCCTGTTTGCCGCTGCTGCGCTGGATTTGTGCAAATATAACAGGGAATTAATGATGATATATGAGATTATTTACATAAGAAAGGCTGTTTGTTGTATATGAATACGCCGAATTGTAAAGTCCCCTATAGTATTTCTTAACATATACTCATCTGTGTTCGTGAACCATACAATTAAATCAATTAGGAGTAAGACGATAAATTAGACACCTTCTCAATGAAATTTGGCACCTTGTGTTGACACATGACATCACTGATTTACCTTTAAAATGAATGGCTCTCGTAAGGTGACATTTCAGATGTCTCTGGACCTTATATCTATGTGCCGGCTTGTAGACGTGAGGGCTGCAGAGAGGGCAGTGGTAAAATAAACAGCACTGAGAGCATTTCTGCACCGGCGGCAGCTGACTGCCCTCCTGCACGGTGATGTGGTACTAAAACAGGGAGAGGAACATACCACACTTTAAAACAAAACTGTATTTATAACATGTCATAAAATGTAACAGGGTTGTCTGTTGACGACAAAACACACTTAGCAATTCATAGAAGTTATTTTGAAATCTAATAAAACTAAGATTTACTGAGAAGGGAAGAGAGCTGGGGACATATTTACTCAGGGACTAGTTTTAGCAGGAAGCTAGCAAAGCCAGTCTCGCAAAGGGAAATGGTTTTGATATGAAAAACAGCTACATTACCTGCGACATTTAGGCCAACAACTGCTCTCACCTCTTGCCTGACTAGAGCAGCATAAACCACACTGACATGACACTAATCTGCAGATTGTTTGTCTCTGTTTTCTTCAGTAAAACTAACTCAGTCTGCGTGTTGCTGCTGGGCTCAGACAGGTGCGCCCTCTACTGGCCGGGTGGACTCCTACAGTGGCCAGTTTTAGTGAGAGGACACACTGTTTACCACAGGCACACCCCCACCACCCCAGTGCCTAACAATGGCAGTGTTGCATTTGAGCCACTTTACTTGAGTATTTTCTTTTTATTTATTTGACAGATGTAGTTACTAGATTCAGAGAATAATCTTTTAAAATACTGGGTTCCCAACCGGTTTGACTTGGGACTCCTTACAAAAAGCAGTGTGCTGTTGAGCCTCTTGTCACATTTGTAATTTATCATGAAGCATCTTAAAAACTATCTGAAATGACTGAAAAAAAAATACAAATTTGTTTAGCAGAATTTTAAAGGGCCTGGTTTGGGAGTGAAGTGAACAAAACTTCCCAGTATCTGACTTCTACCACAGATTTGGTGAAATGATAAATTGATCGGTCTATTCACACCTTTATTTTCCTGGCATTTAGCAGTTTCCCACCGACACCCGTTTTCCCCGCTAGACCTGCCTGGTGGCTCTGGCCCCGCCCTGCTCACCTCTCCCAGCTCTCACCTGAGAGACAGCATTCCCTCCTGTGAGTCCAGACTAAACCGACCTCTTTGCATCTCTGGATCTTTGTCTTCCATGTTCTGCTTTATACGTGTAGAAATTTCTCATACCTACTAACCATCTCTGTATTCTCTCAGTGTCTTCCCTCTGTTTTGTCTGACGCCGTCACCATGAGTAGCAAACTGTGGACAGAGGAGCAGTTTAACTGCCCCGTGTGCCTGGATCTCCCCAACGATCCAGTCACCATCCCCTGTGGGCACAGCTACTGCATGGCCTGCATCAAGGATTACTGGAGCAAGGACGACCCCAAGGGGATCTACAGCTGCCCCCAGTGCCGCCAGACCTTCTGCCCCAAGCCCTCCCTCTCCAGGAACACCATGCTGGCTGAAGCAGTGGAGCAGCTCCGCAAGGGGGCCCTCATATCTGATGTGCGTGAATCTATGCGCAGCGCCCGCGGGGCTCCTTCCTCCTCATCCAGATCCAAAGGGAAGCTGTCCTCCTCAGCAGTGCCGTGTGACATGTGCAAAGGAGAGCAGCGAGCAGCGGTCAAGAGCTGCCTGGTGTGTATGAGCTCATACTGCGAAGCCCACCTGAAGCCCCACCAGACCAAGAAGGCCCTGAATAAGCATGAGCTCATCGCACCCACGGGCAACCTGGCTGAGAAGATCTGCACCCAGCACAAGTACCTGCAGGAGTTCTTCTGTCGCCAGTGTAAGATGTTCGTCTGCTGGCTGTGCACCAGCAACCAGCACAAAGGCCACGAGTGTGTGTCCACCAAGGCCGAGCGCATGGAGAAACAGGTGGGCATGTTATGGATGCTGCAGGGGCCTCAGGCTCCAGAGGAGAAGCCGGTGATGAGGGTCCCTCAGCCGGTAACCAGGGTGTACTGTTATGTGATCCAGTATCAAGTGTTTGGCTTATGTTGCAGATAAAATCCTTTTGAGTAAGTGTTGTAAATTACACAATGAAAGATAATGTAGAACCAATTCATTATGGATAAAGATGCATTTTATGTGTATTTGTTAAGCCAGGTGTGCGTTTAATCACTCAACCAAGGCTGCAACTGATTAATATTTTTATTACTGATAAATTAGCAATTATTTCCTTAATTAACTGAGTTGTTTGTTCAACACAATGAGAGAAAATAGTGTAAAATATTTCCATCTCAAGCACAAACTGACATTTTTGCTTTAAAAAATCACTTTGATTGACATTTTCCCTGATGAAAATAACAGAAACAATAGCTAAGATGTGAATGTGAACACTCCAAACAACAATCACATAAATACATGTAGACCAGCTGACACTGTATATTGTTGACTGAAATGAAAGAATCACAAACATACAGAGACAAGAGGAAAAAACAGACACTGGAGAGAAACAATAGAAAGAACTTAGTCTACGTGGCTAACGTACAGTTGCTTTCTGCTTCCTGTTTGTACCCGGCGTGATGTCAGCACACCTAACAATATCAGTACTTTTAATTTTGACTTGTTAAATATTTATAACAGATCATAAACTGGAACACTGTTTTATTTATTTCCATAAACCACCTTAGATGGAAAGAGCTGTTTCTACAGGTGACAATCAATACTATATATGAACAGTATATCACCCCTATTGCTGATGGGTTTCTGTTTCAGTGTCATCCTCTCTCCTTTTGTTTGGGAGGACATGCCTAACTACATTCCTGTCCCTCGCTCCACCCTCTCACGCTGTCTGCCGTGTCACTCTTCACACAGCTGTTTCCTCCTGCCGGTGTTGTCTTGGTGTCTGCGTGACTTTTTGACGTCGGTAACGGTTTTGGATGTTGTGTCTTTTATGTATCCGTCTGTAGAAAGTGCTGTCAGAGATGCAGACAGAGAATCAGCAGAGGCTGAAAGACAGAGAGCAGGAGCTCAAAGACATGAAGAAGGTGATGGAGGGGATGAAGGTTGGTCAGCAGAGTTCACCATGTTTACAATAACGTCATAAATTACACAGTTTACTCTGTACTCACCTACTGGAATCACCTTCTTCTTCCCTGCCTGCACAGCGATCTTCAGACAGGGTGCACGATGACACGGAGGAGGTGCTGTTGGACCTGCAGCGTTCAGTGGAGCGTCTGCAGGAGCTCCTGGAGGAGGTGCTGGATCAGGCCAGGCTGGAGAAGATGGGCCAGGCCCAGGAGGTGGCCAACAGTCTGGAGGCAGAGATCAAGGAGCTGAGGAGGAGGGAGACGGAGATGAAGGACCTAGTTCGCTGTGAAGACCACATTCACTACCTGCAGGTAGACTGGGCTGTGTAGAGGTGGTGACGGACGGGGTCGAGGGTTAGACTCTCACTCCCTTTTATTACAGCTCATCGTCATTCACACTACCTTATTTAAACATGATGTTCATATTGTCATGTTAGCTGAGCGACATGCTAACGCTTTCACACTAAAGTGGGATCCATCTCTTCCTTGTTAAATATAGCAGATTTCAGGTGAAACACTCAGAGAAACCAAATCCTGGTGGGCGGGGCTTGGGGCATGGCTGAGAGTGGTGACTGCTTTGTTGTGACATCACAAAGTTACAGGAAGTCCTGATGGCTCGTGTTAAGGACGTTGGAGGTCCTGTCTGCTGTAAGGACGTGTATTTCCTCTTAACAGTCAAACCATATGTTCCTTCAGACTTACGAGTCCATGTGCAGTCCCTTGGAGTCGGGGGACCTGCCCACTGTCGTGGTCAATCCGGAAGCTTCCTTTGAGCCTGTACGTGACGCTATCCTGGACCTCAGGGAGCGAGTGGAGGACCTGTGCAACCAGGAGCTGGGCAAGATCACCAAACAAGGTCAGCCTGAGTCTTTTCTTGTTTATGCACCTTCTTTTCTTTTCATGTTTTATAATGTTTCATCTTATTGTCTGTTCTCTTCCAGTCAACGACACAACAATGTTCACTTTGGGAGACTGTAAGCTCTAAACGTTTTTCTTTTCAACATGAGCATAAATAAAGTTGTGATTGTGTTGAGCTTTCTTATTAACTGTGACTTCCTCTTACCTCTTACAGCCAATCGGAGCGCGGGACAGAGAGCGGGGATATTTAAACGTGAGTCTGAATATATCATAGGATTACATTTTCCATAATCTCATTATTCTCATTATTCAAATAACTCATTTCTGATTTTCTATAGTGTTTTCTGGTTTGGGTTCCCGCAACACAAACAGCCGTTCACCAGGTGTGTTCAGAGTTTTTCTTTTGTCCATCATCATCAGCCTCTTTTCACTTTGTCATCTTTGATATGAATCTGAGTCTTTTCATGTCTCACAGCTTCTACTCCCAGTCTCTCAGTCGGATCGCGGAGTACAGACAGACGAGGACTTGGTACCGACATTAATTATAATATTCAATATATAACAACATCAAAAGTAATTCAGTATGTTCTTATTAAACGTGACATTTTATTACTCAGGTATAGGCCTCAAAGGTCAAGATGTGAGGAGCAGAAATACACCACGAGGTGAGACTTTGTGCTGTTAATGAAGGATAAACTGTAGTGAGACTGACTCACAGTAAAAATGTGTGAACATGTTTTAAAAATATTCTTTTTCCTTGTTGCAGACAGAGGAAACACGAACTCCCCCAGACAGAGGAGAGAGGAGACAGGTTTGTCGACTTGACAAAGTTTAGGTGTCACATGTGAGATGTTTGATTGGTGTCTTGTTTCCTCCGGCTATGTCTCAAACCTTGATCTAACACCTCACACGTCCTCCAAACAGTGAGGGAGACCAACTCCAGACCCAACCCCAGACCCAGTCCAACCCCCAGTCGCAGAGAGTCTCAGTCCCTCTGGAGCAGGTCCAGTCAGAACCAGATTGCTCCTGCTGCAGCTCCGACCCCGACTCCAATCCCAGCCACACCGGCTCCTGCTCCTGCTCCTGCACCAGCATCGACTGGAGGTATAATACAAACCTTTAGACAAAATGCATTTGCCGCCACCGACTGGCCAAACCTGAACAGTGCAGCTCTGACAAACACTTGCATGATTGAAACACCTTTTATTTTTCATCTGTCTGCTCTGTCTCCTCCCCCCTGGTCAGCTTTCAGTCGGATGGCGTCCATCAGCAGCCTCTTCCGCTCCCATCGACGGGGCACCAACCAGGCCACCCCGGTCAACAACACACCACCTGCAGGAGGAAACCCATGTAAGGCCTGACTACACCTCCCATTACATGTTCATTCATACAGTATCTCATCTAATATGCTGCCATGAATCTGCCTTATCAAGTGTTGCAGACATTTTGCAGATATTTCAGTTTAGTCAGTAGAGTTATGTGGCATGTACATTAAGTTTTTACTGTCTAAATGTGTGTCTCTGTTTACACTCAACAGGGGGGATGGCTGCTCTGTCTGAAACACCAACACAAAGTAAGAATATGTCAAATTAATCTAATTGGCACATTCAGTCTGATCACTTGAAGATGTGTTGTAATACTAATGTGTATAACATTGTCTCCTCACTGGACAGTTAACCCTGGTCTCTTTTTGGACTCGCCCACCCCTGACACCATGAATCATGCTCCTGCCTTCCCTGCTCGTGAGTAACATGAATGAAAAACTGAGATACTTGAAAAATCCTAAAGTGTGTACGACAAAGAAAATCAAAAAGTGTTTGTGCATGAACTGACAGACTTTGATTTTCCAGTGAGAGAAATCAACCTGGACAGCATCCAGGCCCCAGAGCCCAGGACCAGAGAGGAGTTCCTGCAGTGTGAGTCTCAGTGTTTAACCACAACATTAGATTTTACATATTAGACGAGTTACAATGCAGAGAAGGTTTTATACTCATGTCACTGAAAGTTCAGTTAACTTTAATGCTTAATGAATATTCTTGTGAATGACTCTCTCTCTCTCTCTCTCTCTCTCTCTCTCTCTTCTAGACTCTGTGACCTTGACCCTTGACCCCAACACAGCCCACCGCCGACTGGCTCTCTCAGAGGGTAACACCAAAGCCACCCTGCAGGGGGCAGCTCAGCCCTACCCCGACACTCCCCAGCGTTTTGACGGCTGGACCCAGGTGATGTGCCAGAGCCCGCTGTACGCCCAGCGCTGTTACTGGGAGGTGGAGTGGAGAGGCCGGGGATCATCTATGGGCGTAGCCTACGGGGCATTGAACAGGAAGGGCTCAGACGCCAGGTCAGGTCTCGGCTACAACGCCCAGTCTTGGACCCTGGAGCTGTCGGACACCTGCTGCTCAGCCATGCACGACAATGAGAAGAGGGACATACCGGTCACCTACTCCCCCCGTCTGGGCATCTACCTGGATCTGTCCACAGGGACACTGTCTTTTCACAGTGTGGCAGAGAGCATGACACACCTTCACACCTTCCGCGCTAACTTCACCCAGCCGCTTTACGCTTGCTTCGGGGTGGGGAGTGGAGTCGGGGTGGGTCTGGACTTTGCCCTTGGCCAGTTCTCCTCAAGCTCTGACAGCATCAAGATCTGTCCCATGTGAGGATGGAGACTGTAAATCAGTAACTTGGAAGTGTTCATGTCGATAAAACTCATTCGAATCTGACACAATGACTGAAAGTGTTTTGTGAAGTTTGCTTGCACCTGATCTTTTTTTTTCATGTTAAATGCACTTAGTAAAAGAAGATTATGTTTTACACAAAAAAACAAACATTGCATTGTTTACAGCCATGGTAGCAGCATGAAACTATTGATAATGTAGTTCTGTCAGTCTGAAATCTCAAAAACTATTGGATGGATTTTATTTTATTTTTTTGTATTTTTTAATTAGAAGATCCTGCACATCCATGATCCAACCCAGTGGTGTTTAGATTTCTCATTTTCTCTCCTGACAAGTTAAAACTGGTGAGTTTGGTGACCTCCAACCTGATCAGGTCGAGTCAGCCACAATAACTGCAGAAAACTTTTCTGCAGGTGCTTCAATAATCTATAATAATGCATTGTATTTTTATGTTGATCATATGTTATGTATTTAAAACCATTGTATATTCTAAAGTCACATAAATTGGAAATAATCAAAGTGGCCATACGGATATTTTTTACAATAATTATGTATCAAATGACAATACGAAAACAATGTGAAACATACAGAGCTTTATGGTGAGCGTTTAAATGTAGTTCTGGTTCACGAGAGCTCTAAAATCCCACTGTACATTACCTGCTCACCGGGAGACAGACAGTCAACAACTAGCTAGCAAATATAATGGTGCTTTTAGCAGCTAAAGAGCAGACTGGCCATGCGGACCGTCAAAACATACATAAAGTTTTTAAAGTTTTTACTGGCTCTATCAGTGTAATTCGTGTGACTGGTCCAAGGTTGAAGTTCTTTCTCAGGACCGTGGAGCCAATACTGGTCCGGCTTTACCGAAATGGGGAAACTCTACGAGCGGCTAAAGGGTCCCGCTTGACTCGGAACTGGCTTTTCTTCCCGTTAATATGTAAGTAGCTTGATGGTTCATAATGTTAAATGTCTGTTACGTTATCACAGTAGGCGTGTTAACGTTAGCTAACTTAACGTTACAAATTTTATGAATGTGTCCGGCTCATGTTGCCACTGCTAGCTGGCTAACTGTCAACATTGCCGTGGCGCATATCACGGCTATGCTAGCGTGGGCTAACGGTTGTTTGTTTTTGGTCTGAGATGCTGGTGGTTTAGTGACATCTCGTGGCAGTGACGTTCGTTTACAGAACCTTTTAAATAATTAACTAGTACCTCAAAAGTTTGCACAATGTGTATCTTTGTACCTCAAAAGTACAGTACTGAAGTAAATTTGCCACCAAATACCTACGAAACTAATGAGCAGCTGGTGTACTTTGGGCTAATTAGCAAATGTTAGCATGCTAACATGCTAAACCAAGATGGTGAAAGCCGATAAGCATTACCGCCTAAACATATAGCTCAAACCACTACTGTGCTTGGTCACAGCTAGCTTCACATAGCTGCTAGCAAGCCTCTAAACACTTAGTCTAGTTTTAATGTATTTGTTGTAATGCATTATTTTGAAAGTATGTTCCAGAAAGCTAGCTTGTGTTAGCTGAAAGCTAGGAGTTGCGTGGATTAAAATAGTCTTAATGTAGGACCAAACTTAGTGTACTGTACATTTATTCCGATTTTCAACCAATTTTTAGCTTTTGCCTGTCATGAAATCAATCACACAATAACTGAATTCTAGCTCAAGACTTAAATAAACCAGTGCGTGAGTCAGAAGCTTTTTTCCATTGCTTTATTTAAAAAAAGAGGCAACTGTATAATACCCATAGTTTACAGAGGATCATGATCTTAGAGGGGAGACATGAAGAGGATATCTTATATAGACAGAAACCTGAACCTCCTGCTTTACTGAAAGGAGAGCATATGACTACAAATAATGTAAAGATATGAACAGTCTGAATGTGTCTTCTTTCCTCTTCTCTCCAATCATATAAACATACAAAACATCAAACTCAAGCTCTTCTTCCAATGTTAAATATGTTACAGCTGGTTAGCACAAAATTGGTTGCATACAGTATACACATATGTAAGCCAGAGTCCTCCATTTCTTCAGAAATAAAAATAACATTTGGCTTGATTTGGATTCCCTTCTGTGGGCCTCTAGTTATGAAAAGGAAAAAAAAAAGGAAAATAATGCTACATATATTAAAATCTTATGACAAAATGTTAGCTGACATTATTAAAACAGGCACACACTATGCTAAATTTTCTCGTTATGTTAAAATTTATATACTTTCAGATAGTGATGTCAGTAAAACAAGGTTAAATATAAAAAAAAAAGTAAAAGTGCAGTAACTGAGTGGTGGAGTCTGGTTGGACTGACACATAGGGGGCAAGCACAAAGCTCTAAGCTTACTTGTATATAAGCATGAGATTATGTGGTGTTATAAGTAGAATATAGAATAAATATTATAATAATCCGACCTTCTGGCTAAAGTGTGAACTATATATGTCCTTGACATAACCCCCAAGGTCCATTTTAAACAGAAAACAACCACTCATAGTAATCCTGGATGTGATGTACAACTAAAATAATGTGTCAGTGGTTTTTCCCTCTGAACAGACTGAACCTGAACGCCCCACAGGCCTGAGATAAACACAATGGCTGAAAACTTTTCTTTTAAAGCCCCAGCGCTGTGGTGAAATTTTTTCAACCAAGCAGTGATCCTAAAATGAACTCAACCTCAACCTCAAAAAATCCCACCGAGTGCAACTCATATATACAAACATGGCTTCACAGGAACACAAATCAGAACAGTGCTGGCTCCTACATAAGGCCTCATCATATTAAAAACACACAAAACACAAGGACCTGAAGGAGAAGGTAAAACTTTTTTCTTTTCTGTATTTTTTTTTTTTTTTTGCCTGGTGTTTTGATTTGGTTCTGACCTCGCCTTCAGCCTGGCCCCACCCGTCTGCCAACAGGGTGCATGCTGGGAACCTGTAGGCAAGGTCGCTTTAGACGTGTCATGCAGACGCTTGCAGGAGGCAGGAAAAGGGGAAGGGCACGTGGACGGTCACCAGACATTTGTGCAACAATGGTCTATTGTAAAGTTATTATAATATTAATACTGGCATGTTAGAGGCATGGTCTGACTACAAGATGAGCCTGGCAGTATGCCGTTGAGCCAGCTAGCACTTAAGTCCAGTTCTCAAGTAATAAAAGCAAACTGAATCCCTTCCATTGTGACTGTAAAGGTTTAATGTGCCGAGACAGATGTTGTTAAACCAGTCACTGTGTTATGGGAATGGTCGGCCAACATGATGCTGTTTTACTACAGACTAAAGCTTTTCCAGCCCAGAACAAAACAAGCCCTTGAAATGTGAAAACTCTGGATGCTCAGTCCTTCTCTCTTCACCTTACGCTCACTTTCTCTTCTTACTCTCTCTTCTCTTTACAGCTTTACCGTGCCTTAACTCTTGCTCTTTTCTAATCCACTTCCACAAACCCTCTTCCACTTACATGTTCCTTCTCTCCTCCACCTGTGCCTGAACATCCAGAGCCTCACAGGAAAACTACAAAACCTAATTCTTACACGACTGAGAAGGTACAAAGCTGAACAACCCGTTCAGAGGCGAGCTAAGGCCTTGACAACTAGCATCATGGCAAACATCTACACACACAGACACTGCGTTGTCGCTAAAAACAGTCAGTTTAGTTTAATTGTGCTTTAAAATTAAGTCTTATAAAGGAGGGATTGTTTTGCCCATCGATGCCCTGACTCTTCTCTCCAAAGGCAGAAAGGAGGAGAGATGAGAGGAAGAAGGAGGGGATGAAGGTGTAAAGGAGGAGGTTCATGTTCTCGAGTATGCGCCCTCCCAGTCCATCCCTCTCTTCAGTGCTTGGGTGAACTTGACGGGACACGGGAGACGGAGGCAAGATGCCGGCGCCGCTCTTTAAGATTTCCCCATGGTGGTGGGGGGAGGGCTAGGGAGGTGGGATGAAGAGGAGGCGTGGGGTGACCGACTGGCTTTCCCGCCCTTGCACCAATCATGGCAGGGAGGCTCTGGTTGCGCCTCAGGCCGTCCAATAGGCTCCCCCCGCCTGCCGAAACAAAAGTGGCAGAATCCTTACGCGGCTCAGACTCCGAGCCGTGGAGCACCTTAGTGAATCCCAGCCGCCGCAGCCTCTCCACCAGGCCGACGCTGACCGGATCGGACCTGGCTCGGCCTGAAGAGCCGAGGGCTGGGGTTTCCTGGGAGGTGCTCGGTAGGTCGGGATGTGGGGCACGGCCCAGATTCAACCCGTAAACGTCTTGGAGAAAAAGCTCTGCCGGCCGCGAGGCTAGAAAATTGTCGGCTGGGTGCTGGCGAGGCTCCATGGGCACAGGGGAGGGACAGGGCGAGTGGGTGGGGGAGTTAGGGGGTGTACTTGGGAGGAAACGGTAGAGGGGCTGCCGTGGTGTGGGTTTCGGGGATGAAGGTGGAGTGTCGGTAGACACCTGTGCCGAAATGCCCCTCTCTAGGACCAGCTTGGCCAGGCTGCTGGTGGGTGCAGGGGGGCGTCGAGGGGGGAAGGAGTCACCCAGGCTCAGTCTGCAGGGGGTCACAGGGGTGCTGGGACCTGTCCTCATGGAGCTGGGTGTGTTGGCCATGAGAGATGACTGAGAGCTGCCAACACAGACACCACACGAGGAGAGAAACAGAGATGTGTGTGAGCATGATGATGATTTGACCCATGGCGTGAATAGGCTTGTAATTGACTGTTCACTAAAGCCGTCCCCCAGACAGCGACTGACCATCATAGAGTGTAGAGAAGTGTAAAGAGAGTGTGTTAAATGTTTATCATGTCAGACTAATTAGCATTATAATATGTAACATTCCCAAACTGTGTGGCAGCCAGTCCTGGATGCTATCAGAGCTCTGGCTAACGTTAGCACCTCTGTCCTGCTCTTTTGTGGATTTGGGGAACAAATCAAAATGCAGACATGATATAATGATAATCTTAAACCGTTGAAGATGATTTACCTCGGGGTGACCTGTGTGACATCACTGGGGTGCAGGATGCGGCAGGTCGTGAAGGTGTAGGTGGAGAAGGTGGAGCTCTGACACTTCCCTGGATTTTGGACTGAACACATAACAAATCAGGTTAAGAGAAAAACCAACTCACTCAGAATGAGCAGTAATGAAATACAGCACACAGTGTTTACCAGAGGAAGATGCCGTTGTTGATATTGAAGTGCAAATTTGACTCTGTGGTTGGACCGCTGCTGCAGAGACTTGTGGAATGGGCTGAGGTGATAGGCTGGATGTCTCAGTGACTAGTTGAGCTGCAGGTGTCAGACAGATGTCCGATCTGACCGAGGAGGATGACGTGGGCATGGTGGGGGAGAGAGGCGGGACAGGGAGCGGTGACACCGACTGCTTCCTCTCCTTCCTCTCCTCTGGTGTAGATGTGTAGCGCACCTTGAAGGTGATCCCGCCCTCCTCCTCTTCCTCGTCCTCCTCTTCCTCCTCCTCCTCCTTACCCCGCTCTGCTGCCCCCTTCTCCAGGACACCAGCCCCTCTGAGCTCTTCATCCTCCTCATCCTCCTCCATGTCAGAGAGGCGGTAGACAGCGTCCTGAGCCAGCGGGCGGAAACCCTTCGTCACTACCCCCGGGTGTGGGTCCAGGATGGTGGCCAGGTGCGGTTTGGCCAGCTGCTGCCAGTGATGGAGCGTCAGTGAGCCTGAAAACACAAAGCCAGGATTATTTTTTGTTATGGCTGCAACATTTACAAAGCAGCAGCTGGTTGTGAATGTAGGAAAGATGAAATCAGCCAGTCACGATGTGGCTCATGGTACCAACCTAATAATTCTTCACATTTTCCACCAGAGACTCATGTGACAAGGCCTGAAATTGCTGCATCTAATGGAGAAGTGCCATTTGAATGGCTTTGAGGTAAACAGTGAAAGACTGTGACAAATCATTTTTACCTTCCATGGGTTTGACGATCTGAAGCTTCTCAGGCAGGAAGGTCTTAAAGACACTGGAGCTGAAGGAGAGCTCCGACAGGTTAGAGAAAGACGAGACCACGCTGCCCATTGGTGAGCTGCAGCCGCTGCCCTCTCCGTCTGCCTCCGCCCCCGCCAGCACCTGCAGCTTCTTCTCGCGCTCCGCCTGGAAGAACTGACGCTCGGACAGGAAGTTCTGTCGTCGCAGCGACAGGCGGTGGAGGGCTCTTGTGAGGTCGTTTCCACCGGGACAGCCGGGCTGGCCCATTCGCACCTCCTCCCTGCAAATAAAGACATTTTTTTGAGCTGAAGGGGTCCACACTTCATCCTTAATATAAAATGCAAGACAGGAAGGCGATATTCTTAGTAACGTACCCCTGAATGGACTGGAAGGGCTGCGCTGTCATCACTAGAGAGCTCTGTCCTGAGCCGGGGATCGGAGGCGTAGCTGAAGCTGGCCGCGATGCCGAGGCGTTGACGGAGCGGACTGTTTGGAAAACTCGCTTCTGGGATATTCTGCAGGGCGAAGATGTCACAGGTCAGAGACAAGGTCAACAGCATGGACACCCTCACCCTCCCAATCACACCAGTCTCTTCTCTCCTGTCTGAGTCGTAGCCTGAGTGTGAAGCGTCTGGGTTTCTAACCTTTGGTCCTGAAAGGCAGTCTCCTCCTCCACACTCAGCTCTCTCCTCATGGTGCCCTCGATCTCTGCTGCTAGAGAGTCCTGCACACACACACACACATTCAAAAGTGCCCTCTGGAGTTTTTCTTGTAAAACAACAAGTTTTTTATTGTATGGTGACATTCAGAAACACTCCTTATTAATTAGTCCTTTAGCCATTTGCTTGAAGGCCACTCACATCAAAGAATATTTGTGCAATGATTACATCCATGTTTTCCAGCTTGAGCCTTTATTGACGCATTGCTACGCGTCTTTGTGCACCACCAACACCAACTGTCAAACAGCGCGATAGCAGGAAACTGGTGGTAGGAATGGTTACTGTGTTGCGCGCGTCAGGCTCTTTGTGAGACCAGTTGAATTAAATGAATTAAATAGCAAATCTGTGACACGTCAGGGTTGAGTGAATCTGTATCTTCTTTTCTTTGTGAGAACCCTCAGGGTTTTTCTCTCACCATGGGGTAGAGGCCGTAGGACAGGTGCCGTCGCATCCCGGCAGAGGGAGAGTTTTTACTGCGGAGCTCTTTGATCTCCTCCTGAGACTCATGGAGCATCTCCACACACTCGGCATTCCTCTCCGCCAACTCGTTCAGCTGCGACATGCACACACACACACACACACACGCGCACGCGCACGCGCACACGCACACGCACACGCACACGCACACGCACACACACACACACACACACACACACACACACAAGCAGTGGTTATTCAGATGAATTTGTTCCTTTACACAGCAATTAATTCAGCAAAAGGGAAATTAAATAGTTATTTAAATTGGGCATGAATTCAGACTGTAAACTGTAAAATAAATTTGTCAGTTGAATAATAAATTGCTTAAACTATTAAAATTAACATAATTACTAATTTAAAAACTAATTAAAAAGATAGTGTTTTAACCACCGTTGAAATTACAATGTTTATTAAACATCTAAAATTAAATTAAATTATTATTTTTTTATAATTTATATTTAATCTTATCACTGGTACCTCGGCCGTGAGCTGCCTCTGAGCATCTTTGGAGGCCTGCAAATGGATCCTCAGCTCCTCTTTCTCCAGAGCCAGCTGCAGAGAAAAACAACATGAGCATTTAAACAAGAGACACACACACAACAAATGTATTCACCTGTGAACTGTGATACTCAAACAGTGTCAGCCATTTATTTCTTCATACCTAAAGCCCAAAGATTGAAGTTTATCATCTCATAAGCTAAAGAAAAGCAGCAAATCTTCATAATAATAAGTTAGAAATAGAGAATGTTTGGCATTTTGTTTGAAAAATCATAAATCAATTATTAAAAAAATGGTTTCTAATTAATATTCTTTTAATTTAATCATTTAGAGACTTATCATTTCAGCTCTAAATAAAAGGAATTGGACAATTGAATAGAAGAGATTCAGGCAATTTATCAAATATGGAACTAGAGAGCTGGAATTACATCCTAATAATACTATATATGAGGCTACAGTATGTTATCTGGACCAGTGGTTCAGTCGGCCACCTCCCCCCTCTCCCCTCTCTCCCCCCTCTCCTCACCTCCTTCACTCTGTGTTGCAGCTCCACTATCTGGGAGAGCAGCTGAGCGATTTCCTCCTGGTGTCTGAGCAGCTCCTCGTTCTTCAGGGACAGTTCATCCGTCAGAGACACCATCTGGGTGTTGGACTCACCTGGGAACAAGAACACACACACATGCAAATCAACGTAAGTTTAAAAACAGCACTTCACACTGAAGAGTTGCCTTTGTATGTGTGTTTGTTTGCTTTCCACTCACGGAGCTCCTTGACGCAGTCGCTCACTAGCTGCTGCTCCTTCTCCTCATAGGTGATAGTGTCTCTCTTCAGTTGATGAGCCTGCAGTGGAGATGTTACCAAAAAAAAATTAAAAATCAGTCAGCACCTCCAATGACAAATTTATAGTTAGTGTCATCACATTTAAATACCTTAAAGGGACCTCTGCAGTAAACTTGTTAATCAGGACTTTTAAAGTAAATTTTACAAATGCATCGAAACACTAATCTGAAGAATAAACCTATCCACTTCTCCTTAGATTGAGATTGCAGAAGAAGAATCTTCCAGTTCGGTTGTATTTCAGTGTTTTATGAATCACTCTCCCCTTGTTTTAATTCAGACCTGACGGCGTGTGCATCATGTAAAAATGTTCTTGTGTGGAAAAACCTGCCAATCGTCTGTGTAATTTGTAGCAGTGATTAAACTGACTTCTCAAAATGTGGTTGTATTTTAATGCTTCCCGTTTCACTTCGTATTATTTTCCATTGCAGTGATTCATCGCCTCCACCAAACTACCCTGTGTTCGTACCTCAGACCTCAGCGCCAGGTTCTCCTCCTCCAGCTCCTGCAGCTTGCTCTGCAGACACTCCAGCTGGCTGAGTGCGGCGGCGGCGGTGGTTCCCCCCAGCGGCAGAGGCTGCTGCAGGGGGGTGGACACGCTGGAGTCGGTCTCGCTCTCCTCCGAGGCGCTGGCCACCATCCGCAGCAGCTCGTCCTTCTTGGTGAGTTCATGCTGCAGCTGATGAACCTGGCGGGTGGGGAAGGTTTGGGAGGAATGATTAGTCTTTGTCTTAAAGCTTTTAGAGATCATGCCGATGTCATATATCTGAACACCTGTGAAATGCTTAGATAATCAAACTCAGACATGACACAATTTTAGTGTACCTGGTCCAGGGCCTGTGCTAGCTGCTCCTCTAAGGCCTCATTGCGTTCCTGCAGCAGGTGGTTTCTCTGCAGGAGTGACTGACCGATCCGCGCTGCCAGCTCCAAGTCCCTGTCCCGCTGTCCAATAAGAACACAGGACACTCAGGGTCAATCAGCCAATTAGATGCTACCTCTTAGCAGAAAAAAAAAAACTGTTAGAAGAAACACTTACCTCAGCCAAAAGGTGTGTGACCACTTCGATGTCATTGTACGTCTTGGTCATCTGCTCCACGCGATCGGCACTGAGGACTGGCCAGAATATTAATGTTACTAGTAGGAAATGCACAAACACATGCACAAACACACACACACACGCGCACACACATGCAATCTAGCGAGCACATTGTGGCGTGTGCATGCACATTGTGCAGTCAGGGAAGTCCACACAAAAACAAAAACATGTAAAACTAAAATAAAACCATTATATCACCCCAAACTAATGGACACACTTCTGTAGCATGCCAGCTAAATTTAAATGTTCTGACCACAAGCAACGTGAGCAGCCAGTGGCTCAATGTAGCATCAGCAGCCACTCATTAAATGGTTTATTTATATAAGTATATTGCTAAAACACAAATTATGCTATTGAAAGTAATTTGTGAGATCCACAACATGGCGATGTGGTTGCTAGTGGTCTGAAAGTAATTAGCCCTACACACACATAAATAGACCACACACATGTACTATACAGTGCTGCAGTGCAACAAGCTGTCTACAGTGGCAGACAGCAGACCTATGCTACGCGAATCTCTCGTCTGCTGTCATCTACATGCAGTAAAGCTGAGAGGGGCTCCAGGTCTGTGGCTCTGGAGCGGTTCCAGATCCAAGTATAAGTACAGCTGTCAGAGCCACACCGAGGACCGGAGCCCCTCTCACTCTGGAGCTAAATGAGGCAGTTGCAGAGCAGAACAGGCAGATAGGGAGAGAAAGATACCTTTGGAGAGGCTCTGGGAGCCGGGGTGGGAATAAGAGGTGGGCTCCAAAGCAAGATATGCTAGTGAGGAAGAGAAGAGAGAGAAAAGAGGGGGGAAAGAAGTTCAGGTAGGTGTAGAGGTAATCAGCTTGTTTTAAGATGAACTGGAGAAAGAAAGAAAGAAACCAACAAAAAAAGAAAGAAAGAAAAGGCACAGATAGAGATGTAAGGAACAGAATGTGAAAGCTGAAGCTTCGATAAATCAACTTCATATAGAAACATTAGTTTGTGGAGTCAGAGAATCTACACATCCATTAGTTTGGTCTGATTTTAGCACCTGAGTGGGTGTCACCAGCGCTGCACTGCTCCCACTTCCACCTGTTCAAAGAAAAGTGGCATCTCTAATCACTGAACCATCTGACAGACTCCATACTTTGGATTTACCCTGCCGTTTTAATTTGGCTTTAATTTGAGGGAAAAGATCAATTTATCATATTCGACAAGTCTTTAACGGAGGATGACAAAACATCACTAGGAGGTGAAATATGAAAAAGAATTTAAATGCACTCCTTATTTGACTTAATCACATAATCAATATGATAAACAAAGATCCACAAGAAAATTAAGGCTGTAACAAACTTTTATTTTTAATCTTCCCAGAGCCAAATGTGACGTCTACAAATTACTCTTTTTGTCCGAGGACATAAACACTGATAATCCTGACAGTCATGCAGCCTGATCACTTTTTCTTTATACAATGCTGCACATTTTCATGTTTTCATTTCTCTTTTGTTTGGTACATTAAGTGTAGTAAATACAAATTTCAGTGGGGATTAAATGTAAAGTCCAAAGCAGCCTCAAGTGAAGCAGCAGCTCAAAGGGATGAGAGCTGTGGTCCAGTAATCTGAGGCCCACAGTGACCTCTGGATCTGGACACCGCACTCTCCTCCAACAACCAGCAGTTAAAAATAACAAGTTCCCAACAGAGCTATCTCCTGTTACACAAACAGACTGATACAGCACACACACACACACACACACAATGCATATCATCTCTCATGTTACTGTATGACATTTTATCTCCACACAAACAAACAGATGCTGTTACCTGCAGGGTGATGTACGGTGTTTTGATATAAATTATGTCCCTGGTCCGGTTTGATCATATTCTAACAAATACTACTTAAAAATCTAAAGATATTAAAGCAGATGCAGTAACACACTGCGCAGACATGATCACACACTGAAGTGGATTATGAAAGTGAAATAAAGTGTCTGAACTCTGTCCACAATAACATGCATAACTGCAAAGTTCAATGATTACATTAGTACTGATACTCATTTTGATACTGATTAATGGACTGTGCGCACACACACACACACACACACACACGCACGCACACAGTACAATGGGTGACTTGTTAACAAACACTATGGACCTTTTGATTCATGGCTGGTTGGACCTTTGGCACCATAAACTCCAGCTACACCAGCTGCAGGTACAATTTGTTTATTTGACAATTTAAAAAGGCAAATGTGAGAAGTGATTATTAAAAACACACATAGAAAAAAACTATGGATTATAAATTCAGATGAGGAGACAAAGGTCAGGGTTGAGGACAACAGACAACAGAGACAAGACAAACAATTCTGTCAATTTTAATGATGTTTTTGTGTTTAACTCTATAGTAGCTATTCCATAAGTGACAGTTGTGTTGCTGATGTGGTTTTGTGAGGTTGAATCAGGCAGAACACACACACACACACACACACACTCTCACACACACACACGTGAGGTCAGATCTGCAGTTTCCCAATGTAGAAAGCATTAGAGTCAATTACAAATTGATCCCCTAAAATCTGCACACGTGTGAACACTGACTCATCTCTTCCCACGGACAAAACCACATGCTATGCTAACATGTTATCAAAACTTAAATTCACAGAACAACAAGAAACAGTATTTAACCCTCATTCAACAAGATCTGGGTTTAATATTATAAACATTTGCAAATGCACAATTTAAAAGAAAGAGGTATTTAAACAAATATACTTTGAATTTGCACTAAACTACTCTTGTAATTGTTTATAATATCTCCTTCAAATAGCATTGATGCCAAATCTGTGAGACAGCTCGCTCCTCTGATTTCACAACATGACACAAAAACTGGATACTTGAGATGCTTGTTTCATCATAAAATGTAATGTAATATTCAGGCTATTTAAACATTGTCAGCATTGTGTAAAAGTAAGTCAAAGCCACGCTCCTCTGAGCTCATTTATATATCTTTATTTCAGGGCGACTGGGAGGCATTCAGGTATTAACATGCCATGTCTCTGCAAGTGCATCAAGATCTATTAATAGGCCGCTGTTGATTTTACACTGCAGAAGTGGAACAGGGAGGAATATGAAACCGAGACTCCCTTACTGTACCCCTTCTCTCACACGTGCGACGCTTCATACAAAATCATATAAACAAAAAGCTTTCTGCGTCTTCCATGTTTCACTTGGCAGATTGAATCTAATGTGCAGGAACTTTGTTGTTTTTCCCCTGTGTTCCTCTGCAAACTTTGCACCAGTTATATAGGTCAAACATTAACAAAGGATTAGATGAATGTAATGTCAGAAAAAAATCAGGTCAGATCTGATTAAACAATGAAATAACAAGAAGAAAGTATGTATTGTATTTTCTGCATGTGCGAGAAAAAAAAAACAGACAGGAAGTCAATCCAACTGTCGGCACTGCTCCCGCATACCACAACTTGTTTGAATGTAAACACACAAGCATTGATTCAGACTTGCCCACTTCCCATCCTCCAAGGCTTTCACTTAAACACAGTAACACACACACACACACACACACTTTCCCCTCCGCCCTCTGTCCCGTCACGTTCTGCCTGACCTTGCAGACATGACTGAAGCTGCTCCGCTGTCACACCAGCTCACATGTCTCTCTCTCTCTCTCTCTCTCTAAAGTCATCAGACACAACAGCAAACTACACCAACGCTTCCGCTCACCTTCCACAGCGAAGTTATCGTAAACCTCCTCATTGTGGATGTTTAAAACCGGCATGGCTCTCAACTCTTGTCTCTACTGTCCCGTCTTCATCCTCCGTCTATCCACTCTGCCTCCCCCCTCCTCTCCTCATCACTCTCTGTCCCGTGACTCTGGCCCTGGCTTTGAACTCGGCTACACTTAACTCTGGCTGGATCTCTGGATTCCTCTTGCTCACTGTCTCTCTCCCTCCCTCCCTCCCTCCCTCTCTCACACACAGTGTCCGAGCTGTCTAACACACATAGGAAAAGGCAGACAGACACAATGACAGCCCCTCTGCCAAATAATATCCACAGTAAATCCCTGTGATTTTAATTGAAGAGGATGTGCGCTGTATAAAATGAAGCCGTCACGTGTCTAATGTACTGAGACGCACAAACACACCATCTGCTCAGTGTTGTCGCCACAGGCTAAACCAATCAAAAGAAAGTATACAGAGAGCTAGACAGAGACATAATGTGGCCATTTTCATCCAATCAACTCACATAAATGAGTGTATTCATGTCCAACTTTATATTTCTTGCCCTAATAACACTAAAGTGAAATATTAATACAGACACTTACTCATGTAGCGGAAGGTTTCCTCTGCCAGCACGGGGGAGATGGCGTTGTGTTGGCTGGAGCCTTCGTCTGGAGAGCAGCTTGGGGAAACCACCCAGTCCTGACTGTCTGACAGGTACACGGAGCCGGAGCCGGCCGACCCGGAGCCCACCGAGCCATGATGCCTCCCGCTGCTGCCCAGCCCCTCATCTGTGGGTTAGAGGACAGATAAAGTAACATTTAGGGGGCCATGGCGAATTAGATGAGCCATTCTCATGTTAGCTTAGCTTAGCACAAAGACTGGAAACAGGGGTAAACAGCTAGTGTGGCTCTGTCCAAAAGCCCATCTACCTCTAAAGTTCACTAATTCACATTGTATATTATCTGTTAAATCCATTTAAGTGTAAAAATCTACATGTTGTGGTTTAATGGGGGCTAGCTGACTCCCCCCTTCCTCCAGTCTTTATGCTAAGCTAAATGTCTCCTGCTGTCGTTTCCTACTTACCCTACAAACATGAAAGCAGTATCCATCTTCTCATCTAAATCTTTACATGTCACACATTCCTCTTCCTTGTTAAAACATGGTGCCTACATTATCCACACTGCCATCTGACTGCCAGCAGAGGAGTTTGAGATAGCAGTGTGTTATGCTAGCAGTAGCCTTGAGCCGCTAGCCTCAAGCAGAAATGAGGAGGGGGCTACAGAGGACCAGTGACCTCACATTAAAATATTAAGTAGCTGAATGATATGGGATGTTTTTATTTTGTCAAAACAATGCAGCTAAAGTGAGATGAAGAAAGTCAGGCTGCAGTGATTGTGTTTTTACAGCGAGCATTTGAATATGCAAGTGTGTGAGTGTGTGTGTGTATATGTGTGTGTCTGTGTTCTCTTGGCTCAGGCACTGTACAAGCCAATGTCCTTCCACTTGAGCAGATATGTGGTTTACTGGGACAGATGGGGCTAACTATAGCATCAGGCCCAAAGGCACAGCAGACTGCACTTCAGGGCAGCATGACATTGGCAGTAGGGGTCGACTGATTGGTTGTTTATTTTAATGGCTGATGCACATGTCGATATTTAGAGAGCAGGGGGCTGATGGCTGATGATGCCGATATTATGTTGTTGTTTTCATTTTTTGCGTCTGATAAAATACAACAATTTAATAAATACAAATAAGAAGGAGCTATTTGTAAGTTTTGCTCCCATTAACTCTTGTTTTACTTCTATTTTTTTTTAGTGTCATCTTGCCGGACCGTGTCATCACTCCCCGACACCGAGTCACTGTAGCGTCCAGGCTGCCCTGAAGAAGTAGCGCTGCCCAGAGGTCGTATTATAACCTCTTGTCAACACAAGCATGGCTGTAGCTCCCGGCATGGCTGGTAAGTAAACCTACCTGTCTCTGTGCTTGACTCCTTCTTCTCCACCGCCCGGGGTTTGACTTCAAACATGTCCTGTCCTTGGAGCGGGAAGGGCCCCCCCTCCCCACTCGCAAACACAAAGCTGGACAGAAAGATGGAAGCTGCTATCGCTATGACATCACATCCTGTTCCTGCACTGACAGGTGGTGCCCTCACACACACCTTTACCTGCAACAGGATTAGAGAAGTGTTAGAAATCAAAGAAGCAACTTATTTGTGAGGTAGACCGAAAAAAGAGGATGTTATGGTTTAATTCATGTGTGTGCATGGAGCATATGTGACTCCGCTGCTGATGACATCCATCATTTCCCTCTGTTGGCCTCACTCTTTTCTCCTTCCCACTTGGTTGCTGACATTTAGAGCCAAATGAAAAAAAAACATTCCTCCCACCGTGTGTGCTGCTGGACACTTTAACCACCAATTGTCTGGTGTCTTCTTCAGGATTCAACAGATCTAAACTACATCAGTCGAGCCTTAAAGCTGCAAAAAGCTAAAAGATTCCTCCTCTTTTATTAAAATTAAACAAGGACAAGTTTTCAGAAAAGGTCATTCATTAAGATTTTACAGGAGGAAATAGTCACCAAAGCAGGCCAGCTGCTATACTGCAACACTGATGCATTTTAATTCCCTTCCTATGTGCAACATACTGTTTTAAGAGCGGGCCGAGGGGTGACAGAGAGCCCTCCCTCTTCCTGTTGCCTACCTCTGGGGACTTTTCCAGGCCTTAAAGGGATGATTGGAGGAATGAGACAGGATGCGCTCTTAAAGGGATGGGTTCCCAGTAGAGAACTGGGAAAATGAACACTGACCAGCTGTGTACTGTATAGCACTGTAATTTGCTAAATGACATGAAATCACTGTGACATCACCGGGGTTATTTTCTCCGACTTTAGCTCCTTCCAGAGCCACGAGACATTATACAACCATTTCCACAGGTTGAGTACGACTCCTTGTGACAAGTCAATTGAACTTCATGTGTGTAAAATTGGTGGAGTGTCGCTTTAAGTGGATAGAGGTCTGTGTAATTGTGCTATTGTATTTCATCAGCTAAAAAAAAAGCAGCAAAACTGGCAGGACAATGCCATGAATAGCTACTTTAAAAAGACAGCACTGTGCAGGGTCATACATCCTACCACCCATTAGTGGTGTGCCATCTGCATCACTGACCTTAGTGCTTGGCCTGTAGCTGTGCATGCAGACACAGACACACACACACATACATATCTGTATGTGTGCATCAGTAAGCATGCCTGTGGAAAGACAGAGTCCTTGGACAACATTTATCCTCTGCTTACATAACTATGAAGCTGAAACAGTTTGCTCCATAAAGGGGATTACTGTGATGCACGCAATGCTACAGCCTAAATGCGCTGTTGACTATTAGAGGCCTTGCAAATACACTGTACTGATCCATTAATGACGCTGGTATTGACTGAGTGATATTGGAATTATATTAGTCACATTCCGATGATGCCTTGGAGCAATTCTATGCACAAACTATTGCATGCATTAATCATTAGTATGAGTCGGATATGTTGATGTTTGTCATAGCAACATCTTTCAGATATATGCTTCTTCTTTTTCTTGTGTTAAAATGTAAGAGCTAATCTTGCCCTGGTGTGTGTGACTCATCTCATGAGTAACACTGTCACAGCCACACAGCTTCTTGTTTGTGATAAAATAAATGATACAAGAAATTGGTATCTTAAGATAGTAAATACGAACGAGAGATGCACTTACATTACCAAGCCTCATTAACTTCCTGACGAACAAAACCTATCATTTATTTATTAAAAGGATCTTTGTGGTTAACATTAATGGCCACACACACAATTTCCTTTGGTTTTAAGAAGCAGGAGAAAATTCTGGATCACAATCTGGAAACTGCCATTTAATTCTGTTGACAGATTATTGCTCATTATAGTGATGTAAAATGCCAAGAGAAGCTCTGCAAGCAACTCTGTGAAGTACAGACAGAGGCAGCATTATACACAACACTGGTCTGTCCCAGCTGTCCCAGAGGGACTGTCTGCTTACATCAGCTTTTTACAGACTTCATCTCCGTTCATGTCTAATCTAAGCACCCCACTGGCGCTCCTATCCAGAGTGACCTACAACCACTGCAGCAGTGGAAATGTCAGTATCTGAATATCATACTCAAGTGAGGTAAAAAAAAAAAAAAACTACAAAAAGTTTTTCCACACCTGAAACTCTGACCTGATGTTGTTAAATTTAGATGTGGAAAATATCCCTCTGGATTTTTAATTGCCAGTTATTTGCCTTACCTCTATTTGTGCTGCATCACAGCATCTGCACTCAGCCCATCTTAGATCTAACAGTCTGGACACGGCATGGGGCAGCATGTGACACTGACTGGACCAGAAAGTTTAACTGCATTACCAGAAACCTCTGACTGCAATAATCAGCAGGCATTTCTTGCCATGCCTTGTCAAAAGAAGAAAATGTAATAACCACATACGACATCTGATCACACTGGCAGCTGACATGAATAACAGCTAACCCCTGTGTGCCATCTTCTTAAACAAACAAATTGTTTAAGCAAAATTCACTTTGAAAAAACTATTTTTTAAAGACTTTACTGGACAGTAAACACACAGATGGGTAAAACATAACTGAATGATTAATTCATGAAACCTGAGGAACTGCTCTTCAATTGTGCATGATTTAATTTCAAGTTAATTGGATAAGATTCTTAAATAAATGAAATTTTAAGTGTAATTTCTTGAATAATTTGCGAATTTTGTGAGGTATGGAGAATTTATAAATTAGAATTGTACTGTTAATTCAGTGCATCTTCGTACGAAATTTACCAGAAGATCCCAACATGTAAAAAAACAAACAAAAAGAAAACATAAAGGTTAAGTCATCATAATTTTAGGATTAATTTTAGAAATTAAATTTACGCATTCGTTGTTGGTTTACGACACTGATTGCTTCATGTTCAATTAGCTAACACTTATTTTATGTTTGTCTCTTATATATGGATATAAGGGTTNAATGATTAATTCATGAAACCTGAGGAACTGCTCTTCAATTCTGCATGATTTAAATTCAAGTTAATTGGATAAAATTCTTAAATTACAGAAATTTTAAGTGTAATTTCTTGAATAATCTGCGAATTTTGTGAGGTATGGAGAATTTATAAATTAGAATTGTACTATTAATTCAGTGCATCTTCGTACGAAATTTACCAGAAGATCCCAATATGTAAAAAAACAAACAAAAAGAAAACATAAAGGTTAAGTCATCATAATTTTAGGATTAATTTTAGAAATTAAATTTACGCATTCGTTGTTGGTTTACGACACTGATTGCTTCATGTTCAATTAGCTAACACTTATTTTATGTTTGTCTCTTATATATGGATATAAGGGTTATTATGAATTGTACCATGCCACTCATATTTAAATATCCTATGTGAGCTAACGCTAGCAATGTTTACGCAGGCCAGCTAACATTTACCGTTATGAGTGATAATCCTACAGGTCTATAGCAGAGTTAACTGTTGATTCATTAATATTTGATTTTCCCTTTGAATTTCATATACTATTATTTGTTTTGGTGAAGTATTGAGCGTTAGCTAACGTTTGACATGTTTTCCTATAGGTGAGGATGACAGCTGCCTGTCTCTTGGCATAGCGTTGGCTAACACAATACCGTCACGAGCTCAAACTGGCAGCATCCCTCACGCGGTGGGCATCACAACATTATAGAAATCGAAGATGATGATCGATTATCGTAAATCTTACCCAATATCGATACTATTCCACAGCATGGACAGTTCCAGCGGTACATGCGGTGTCTGTCAAGCCCTTTACCAAAACCTCAAACAATAGAGGGGAAGGGAGGGAGAAGGCTAACAGCTAAGTGAATCATCAAGCTGCGACAGTAGGTTTGATGACGTTTTTATTAGGCGCCTGTTATCGGTGTCAAATTAAAAGTCCTGTCAAGATTACATTTTCGCTTGGGGACATTGTGCGGCTCGTTACTGACAGTAAAACTCGTTACTTTTAACTTCCGTCGTATAATTTTGACAAAGAATGATAGAAGATAATCTTTGTAAACAAAACGTTTTGTAGGTTTTCAGGCTGTCCTTTGTATTTTTAACTTGTTTACGTCGAGGCGCCTGAGCTGCTGTCGACAGGAGAAGGTAAGCAGCGTCTTTTCTTTACATGTCGGGCACTTTTAAATAAACACAAAAAATATAATACTCAGCTCATAAGTAAGCTAACCTTAGTACAATGTTTGAACCAAGCGAATATATTTACGTTAGCCAAGCTACGGAATGAGAACCTACAGAATGAGTGTTTTTGTGTATGTAGCATGCCCCGTATATTTCTCCAGACACTTAAAAACCAATGTGTAATAAAAAAAAAAGAAAAAGTTAGATAAATATCCTATATTTATTTTATAAAAGTCATGTCAGCTGACGACATTAACCATCGATTTGAATAATGCTCGTCCTCAGATTACAATAAAATGGCTGCAGTTAATCTAACCTTGAAGTGAAATTGAATTTGATAATTGTATTGCGAAATTATCGCAATTTTTGGAATGTGGTCCACAGGTGAAACCTTATTGTGCCACTTTCAGCATGACCTCTTTTTAGTACATAAACAATGATGCAACTGACTGAAAAAATATACATCTACATTCATATATATTCCAGGCTGCACGGTCTTCCTTTCGATGTCAACGCCTTCACTGACTGGACTGGACGGGGATCTCCGCTGGTGAATTTCTTATCATTTCCTCCGATCTGTAGATCAGTTGATGCAGCCAGGTAAGCCGCAGACGGATGGATGGATGGATGGTTGAGGTTGGATGGATGTTGGCTGCTTTCTAGTCTAGTGGGGGATTCTCCGTGTGTCTCATATTACACTGCTGCGCTCCATCCTCCTGCCTCCCTCCATCGCGGTCGGTCTCCTGCAGCCTGTGAGCGGATGAATGCCAAAGCCTCTGGTTTTACCGTCGCCAAAAGGACTCCATGTCTTTCTTGGTAAGAATAAAACGCTGCATGGGTTTTTTTTCCTTGTGTCTCCGTGCGTGTCGCTTCATTGTGACCCAGTAGATGTATAGTCACGAATCAGATGGCTCATGCTGATACCCCTGGTGGGATATGATAAATTCAGGAGTCTGTGAAGTGTATTAAAAAATTAAGAGCTGAAAGATAGCGATGCACCAATAATTGTTAGATATCAGCTGATGTCAATTTGCAAATTAGCATTTTAAAGTTATATGAGATGTCAGATATTGTTTAAATAGCTTGTCTGAAAAGTGTAACCAGTGTGCATCTGCACTTTCATATATAATAAGGGCTAATATAGGTTTGAAAATAGCAGGCATTAATATAATCTAACTGTGCATCTCTCACAGCTAATAGATACATCTAAGTATGTATGCAGCTCTTATCTTGCTCTTTTGGGACACATCAGTCAGTCAGCTGCCTCTTTGTTGCCTCTTATCATCACTCTCATTCTCTCTCCACTCACCACTTCCGATAAAATGCCATGTGAGTGCCTTCACAGCCCATATTTCCAGATGCTTGCTTGCCTGCCTCATCTCTGACCCTCCCACCCAATGCAAAGCAGTGTGTCATTCACCCCCACCCCCACTTTCCAAGCTCCACATTTCCTCTCCACTCCTCCTTGTCCTGTAGGGCATGTCTCACCTGTGCTCCCCCCCCCCTTCACCAGGATTGTTCCTGCATCTCCCACGCTCAGGTCCAGCCCATGGACATAGAGGAGCGCTATGAGGACACCAGCCACCAGTTCCTGGTCAGTAGCCAAGACGCTGTCAGCATGGAGACAGGCGTCACACTGATGCTCTTCCGTCATATCACCACTATTCATTTATCGTTTATCAGCTGTATGGAGCTGCTTGACCATTAAAGTTGTTAAAGACAGTGCCTACTGGAATAACATTGCAGCAGTTAACTCTGCTGGTAACATCCAAATGGGTACTCCATCAATTTAGTATTGCAAGTGTAGGGACTCCCAAGAGACGGATTTAAACAAGAATGGTCAAAATTTGTGCAGCAGAGGCCGAGATTTCCTCATTTTAACTCCCACCTATGGATCAAGCTCTAAAAACACTCAATCCTACAATTCCCATAATGCAACTTGATACTTTCATTACATTAGACTCTTTATGGCCTGGTGAATTCCTGTGTAGGTCATATTCCCAGTTTACGAAGCAGGCTTTTTGTAATGAATTTGTAATAAAGACTCAAGCCTGAATGATTGCAGGAGAATTTTCTGTCCTCTTATTCCTCTGTAACTACAACCATTGTTAGTGCAGTACTACTAATTATTATTAAGTACTTAATGATAATTATTAATGTACTGCTATTGTGTGAGGTCATTTTCTCCTGATAATACAGACAAAATGCTGGGACAGAAAGGAGTGAATACAAAGAATATGAATGAATGAAACCAAGTGTGTGTGTGTGAGAAAGAGAACTAGACTCTCCTCTGTCCCAAACCTTTGTCTGCATCACTAAAACTGCAAGCACCCCCCCCTCCACCCCCTCCCTTCGCTGTGCTCAGTGTCACAGTGACATCCCCTGGCGGCCATCGTCCCCTCACACATTGCCTCACAACAGTGGTGCTTTGACCTGCCTGTCAGACGGACTCTGTGCCAGTAGTCGTGCGTGAAGGAGATTTTGGGGTTATTACAGGACAAAGCCAGTTAGATGGATGAGATTAGATGAGATGAAAATTTAATGATCCACTATGGGGAATTGGTTATTGCGTAATAAGCTTTACTAAGAGGGCAGAGAGATTTTTTCTGAACCACGGCACAAAATTATTAGAACAAAACTGAAAATTCTTTATATGGTTAGAGCTAATACCACCAACTCTACAGCTCCTGTCTGTCTGCCCTTTGTGTTGAGATCTAATCCACCTACACCCTGCCTACTCACACTCTCAGCCGTTAAGTGATGGTGGTCCGAACCAACAACATGCCGGAGAATAACAATTTAATGCATATGTTTGAGTCACATACATAATACATTGAATCATGTTCATTTGCAAAGTGACATTGTTTTTCATTCTTTGAGATCAATGCTTAATAAATGTTTGTGGGGTGCATGTGGGTGTGTGCGTCCCTGCAGAGCTGTGACGGTTCTGAATACACTCTGCAAGGGCCAGCAGGTGGTGATGACATCACAGGGCTGTCGGCTGAGCCAGCCCACTACCAGCTACTGTCAGAGCTGGGTGAGAGCACCACACCGTACACCTGAGTCACATCATTATGTCACCCAGGGAAACTGCAAAGAGTTGCATCAAATTTCCCTCCCAAATCTTTCAAAATAAGAGTAAGATTTCACTTCAGGTCGATTCACTGTATTACAGGGAGGGGCTTCAATAACCTGAGCCAGGTGAGCATGGCACGGCACAACCCTACTGGCCAGCTGGTGGCCGTCAAACAAACCAACCTGGACGAGTGCACCGAGGAGGAGCTGCTGCAGCTCATGGTGAGTTGCTCTCCAGAAAAAATGATATTTTTGCTGAGCACATACGGTTCTAGATGTTCGTCTTCATCCAGATGTGTTTTATTTTCTGATTGTGTTCCAAATCCCCAGAACGAGGTTCTGCTTTCACGGCTTTTCCGTCACCCCAACCTGCTGACCTCCCGCCTGGTTTTCAGCTCCTGCTGCCAGCTGTGGGTCCTCACACCGCTCATGGCCTACGGTCAGCTACTGCCACATATTTTGTTTTGTCTTTAAAATCCATAGAATTTACTAAAGCTGCAACATTACTACATCTCAATTATTACATCCCCAATTTGCACCACTTCCTCAGAATTAGGAAAAATCACTGCAGACCTGCTCAGCTGTTCTTCTCGGTCTCCTCCTCTCTGCAGGCTCTGCAGACACTTTACTGAGGACATATTTCCCAGATGGAATGAGTGAATCCCTGATAGCGTACTTGCTGTACGGTGTGCTGAAAGCGCTGGAATACCTGCACCGGATGGGCTACGTTCACCGGTCAGCGGGAGACAGGCAGCATTATAAGAGGAATGAAGGAAAAAGTCTAAAGATATAAAAGTATTTGTATTTTAATGTCTCTCTGTTTATTGATTTTTTTTTCTCAGGGGGGTGAAGGCCAGTCATATCCTGCTGTCAGGGGAGGGGCGTGTTTACCTCTCAGGGCTCCACAGTGTTTACAGTATGATGCGTGAGGGGAAGAGGATGAGGGCGGTGTTCGACATGCCCCATCACAGCCCCGCCCTGCTGCCCTGGCTCAGCCCTGAACTACTGCGACAGGTCAGGACTCCCTAAATTAAGTGAAATACTTCCAAATGACATGAGCTCCAGTTCTCCTGAGTGTAAGCTCAACATGTACCTTTTAATAACAGCACTGCAACTTTTAGAAAGGAGCCATTTGTTTTTAGTGTCCATTTGTTTTCAGCCTCATTCTAGTCTGTTCTGTCGCCCCTCTCTCCATGGTGTTGTCCTCAGTAGGACCTGCACGGTTACGGAGTGAAGTCAGATATCTACAGTTTAGGTATTGTGGCCTGTGAGCTGGTCAGCGGCAGGGTGCCCTTCCAGGACATGCCCCCCACTCAGGTAATGACAACACCTGTCTTACAAGAATACGTTTTCAAGGGTCAGTTCATCCAGATGACAAAATTTTGCAATCTGTACTTCTCTGTTTTTAATCCTCCTCTTCAGATGCTGCTTCAGAAGCTGCGCGGCTCCCACTGCTGCCTGCTCGATGTGGCTCCCTTCCCGCTCGGCGAGCTGGGGGGGCTGAAGGTGTCGCGGTCCGGGGTGGACTCTGGCATCGGGGAGAGCGTGGCCACCGGAAGCCTGACACACAGCGCCACCGCTCCTCCCACCGACCGACCTCAGAGCCCCGGACCTAAAAACCACTCGGCCACCCTGCACAACCTGGTCCAGCTGTGTCTGCAGCAGCAGCCTGAGCGCAGGTCGTTACATTAAAGGAAGAGTCAACTTTATCGACAATCGATCACATTCGAATTACAGTATAAACTCCAATGACAGTGTTTGCCCTGTCTTTCTCTTCTCTAGACCGTCAGCATCTTCACTGTTGACCCACGCCTTCTTCAAGCAGGTGGGTTTCCTACCCATGATGTCCAGGGACTAAAGATGGAACCGCCTTTTGTGTGGGATGAAAGTTGTTTGCTTGGTCAATCTGTCTGTCAGCCAGTTGATCGATCACCTTCCTCCAGAGTGAAACATCTCAAGAATCCTTGGATGCATTGCAATGAAACTTGTTACAGACATTCACGGTCTCCATAGGGTTAATTATAATTACTTTGATGATCCTTTATTCAACTAGTGTCACCTACAGGCGAAAAAGTTCTACTTGTCCAACACTAACGTTCATAACAGAACACCTCTAACAGCTAGATAAATGTTAGCCCTGAGCTGTGCTTTCAAGTGGAACTATGTAACGCACAGAAACACACAAATGAAAAGTTGATTTCAGAACCAAAAACACACCCTTGTTCAATTCAGCAGACTCAGTCTTATTGCTACAGCTTTACTTGGTCTGGTATGACTGGTAACTAAAGTTTGCCAGCTTGTGTAGCTGATTTTACTGACCTCATAGCCCTGCTCTGCTTGTCCTATTCTATTCTACTTTTTAGCATGTTAGAGAAGCGTCCCAGGTTATGATTAAGTCTCAGAATGTAAATGTGACACAGCAGGTGAGAATATACAAAATATGATGACATCAGTGAGAGCTGACATTGAACTAACATTGAAAAAAACAACAACAATATGTTGTCCCAGTGTTTGAGCAGAGTTGTGTTGTTCTGTGACAGGTGAAGAGGCACACTAGAGACTCCTTCCTCAGCCTCATGTACCCAGCAGTGCCCCTCACCAGCCCCGAGGACCCTCCAGTGTCCTGTCCCCCTGGTCCGTCCTGCCATGCTCCGACACCGTCCACCGCCGACACTCCTGAGGCTGTTTGGGACTTCTCCTAACCCCCCACCCCCTCTCCCTGCCCCTTAATCTCCAAACCCTGACTAGCAAGCCAAACACAAGACAATCAAAACAAAGCAATGAGGCCAAATTCTACTGTGCTTTTATTTTTTATTATTATTATTAACCCAACTCTCTGAGCCTTTTTTAAGTAGTTTTGTAGATTTTTTTGATATGTTCATCTGATGCATATGTGGACTTTAGTTGTGGGGTGGTGAGACGACTGTGAAAGTGCTGGTTCGAAGAAGCTGCTCCGATCATGTACGAAGGAGCCATAATAATAATTGTGGACGATCGACGAGTCACATGACAACAGATGTATTAGCTGACTATAATCACGCACTTCCTCTAAGGTAAAAAGGCAACTAAGAGTTAAAGGAAAAGTCCACCAAAAATTGCTTCATTGTTAAAAACAGATCTTTGTGTTTAACGGTGTATGTCTCGGCATATTCTGTTGTTTTTATGGTGTTTCTTCATGTTTCTTTTGGGTGAGTGCTTTACCTGTTCTTCTGCTCCAAAAGCAGAAACTGAGGACCTCACTAACTGTATCTGAACTAAATGAGTGAACACACCAAATAAGTATTGACAAGTTAAACCCCTGAGTGTAGGACACTATGGTGGATTTTTCCTTTAAAGTATTATGTATTCTGACTGTGAATAGCGAATACTGCGGTACATAGAAAGAGATTTACAGCACTTATGTGCATATATATTCATCTATACCTGAGAGTTAGTGAGACACTCCTTTTGGCTCCAGAACTTACCTGAGAATCGTCATATTTTTAAGTCTTCTTGAAAATCAGACTGATCCATTGCAGACAGGAACAGCTAAGAGCTAATTCTGCATACTTGATGGTGACAAAATGATTACAAGTACAGACTAGTTTCTGTTTACATCCTTCAAAGCCCCAAAATTATGGGAAACGTGGTTCAAAAAGAGTTTGATTACACCTCAAATCGATGTGTATTGACCTGTATCACTCAGTCTATTTAAATCATAATAGAACTAAAGTCTGCACACTCTCCCAGGTTACTGCATCCAAAATGCTTGGAAAACTGGCCACAATCAAATATGTGAATCTATTTTTGCTGTGTGTTGGAACATATATGCACATAGTGTTCTTGTATAGTAGTTTTAAAACTTATTATTACGTTTGCCAGTGAGCTAATAGGACAAGGTGCAAACTGGGCTCTTAAAAAAGAGCATATGAGCAATAGAATATATGTAGTGTTCCACGTAGGAGTTAGAAACCATCAGTAGAAACAGTAGATGAAAACCTTCCCTCTCCCGATCATCAGTGAAACGCCAAAAGAAGAATATTTCTACTGTGCTCTGTGACCACTTATCCAACAATGCCTTTGTGTTTCACTGAAACCTGCATTCTGAATATGGTGATCGATCTGTAACTGTGATTAAGTTTACTGTGTGTAAGAACTGTGATTTGCAGTACATATCAAACATGGTAGCTGTATAAGCCTGATATATACACACTTATTATAAATGACAAGTTGATTTCTAAACCTCCCGTTAGCTTTGATCGACTTCTTTATAGTTTGTGGATTATGAGCCTGAAACAACCTGAAGGCTCGGAGACACATTTTTAAATCATATAGTGTCTCGTGACAGTTGGACATTTTTATTTAGCAGTTTGTATGCATCCCTGTGAACCCAGAACTAAGAGAACTAAACTGCTGCATCTGGAGATTTGTACATTGAGTCAAAGCTGCCAATAGAGGCGGTTATTTGTCACCATCTAGTGGTTGATTGGATGTACTGCAAGTGAAATGACTACCTTGAACTTGACAAATGCTCTCGAGAAACTAGAGACTTGTTTCACCTGTGATAGCAAATGATGACATATGAGATGTCACAACCATATCTTAGTTTGAATTTTCTTTTAATTCAGTTTTTGGAAAGTCGAATTGAAATGTGTGGGCAATTTAGAGTGTTCAATTGAGCTGCATGTTTGGGAATGTGGGAGGAAACCGGAGCACCCGGGGAAAACCCAACGTCAGCACGGAGAGAACATGCAAACTCTTCACAGGGCTGATAAACGCTCAGCCTTCTTCCTGTGAGGCCACAAAGAGCCACCGTGCTGCCTTAGCTCTTAAAAAGGATGTGTTATTTTAACTACATCATTACAAAAGTCTTTTTAGGACAAATCAGACTCTGATTTAATGTTTAGTACTAGTCGATAGGTAGTACTTAAACAAAAGACCTTTGTAATGATATAGTTTTTTTTTTTTTTTCTTTTTCAAACACATCCTTTTAAAGAGTTTGTATTAATCTTGAAAAATTATCCATTGATTATTATTTTTGATTAATTTTTCAAGATTAATTCAAAGTAAGAAAGAAAGAAAAAGGGGGGAAAGATTGAGATTGGACACAGGATCATGGAGTGTTCTAGTCGTCCTGTGAGCCATTGATGCAGGAGGTGAAGGGCCTCCTCAGAGTCTTGGCCATGAAGGAGAACATCCTGATGATGGCGGGTCGCTTCCTGGTGTTTGGAGGCGGAGAGTCGACGACCTCAAGGTGAGACGCTGGTATATTACTCCTCTCATAGAAAGGAGTAACTCTGGTGTTCCTTCTGTGGAAAAACCTCCTCCCCCTCTCCATGAAGCTGCTGGTTTCTCCTGAAGACTTCTGCAGCTGTGCTTTTAGAATCTTCACCAAGGCATCCTCAAACATCACGTCATTGGACGCCATGGCAGCCTGCAGCAGCTTTGCAGATCCGAACTCCCAACAAAGCTTCTTATAAACGGGGATGTGGGTCTTTCCAACCTTCTTTGGGAGAGTGAAATGTAATTTTCCCCCAGTCCTGTCTCTCAGACCTGTCAAAAGCCTGTCGATGTCCACGTCATATATTGATGTCCTGGTAGAATCGGCGATGTGTTCCACCAGTTTCCCAAGAAACACGATGAGAAAGGTCTTTTCTCGCTGTGGAAACTCGTCTGAGAGGTCTGCACCCTGCCTCTCTGGTGTAACGCTGAGTGATTCAACAGTGGCGTCGTCATCACTCAAGTCCTCAACGTCCGTCACATGGCCTGGATACTGGGCTTCACAGTTATACTGTGATGCCGAGTTGTCTGTTTCATCCTGAATGACATTCTGAATCGTCTTCATGTTGTCTTGACGGGAACCCTCCGAGGAGTTACTGATGGCATCGAGTGACTCCCCTGGTGAAATGCCAGCTGATCGAATAGTTTCATCCTCCTCGTTGAAGTCATGCAACTCTTTTTCCTCATCTGATGAGCGAATGTCTGGGCTGCTACTGTCCAGACACTCCTGGTCTTCTGGTGACTCTGGGTTTTCTGTTCCACGTTTCAGTATAAGTGCGATCAGGTAAACCATATTCTTCATATCAGATTCAGGTATTTCTGGCTGATCTTGAGGCTCCTCTTTCTCTGACAAAGATTCTTCCCCTTTGATGAGAGACAGTTTTCTGTTCACCTGACGCGTGATCTCTACTGCAAACAAGTCCCTCAGTTGGTTGGTTATGGACGGGTCCTGATTGATTCCAAGTGTCTCAACAAAGCTCAGGTGAAGAGAATCCCCGAGGGCGGCATGAATGTCGTCCTCCGTCACACAGTAATAATTCATGCATCTTAAAAAGAGAAACAGTGACAGTTAGTCCACTGATCTGCTTTGAGCAGAGGTATTCAAACATTTCGAGAATCTGATGGAAAATGTTCTAAGAGGCAGGATTGATCAGTAACTTCAGTTTTTGGACTCTAATAATTGCAAAGTTAGAAAATACCACATACGATATGGATTTTTGAGAAGAAAGTGTTTGGAAGCCTTTGACTTACCGTTCATGAAGCATAATGGGTAAGCCGTTGTTCTCCTGTACCCGGGTACGGACCTGAGGTCCCACAACGTCCATGATTAAGACGGTCAGTGCGTCCAAAATCTCTTTACAGGTTTCGGACAGCATTCTGACTGTGTCTACATCGATGTTCCCAGCTGCCAAAATCATCCATTGCCTGGAGGAAAAGAGTAGGAATGGTTGAGCAAAACAAAAACTTAAACCAATGCATAGTTGTAATTTCTGCAGCTGCAACTTGTGACTTACTTGTGTGTGATTTTGTCAAGAAATGATTCAAAGACCGTTCTGAAGACAAGCGGTGGGAACATTGGAACATCCAAGTCGCTGCACAACATTTCTCCATATTCATCAGGTGAAATCTACAAAGAACAGTCAGGTTTTAGAAGACCAGGCATCACTAACACCAACAAAACAGTTCTTGTTATTGGGAGGGTAAAAAATATCTACATGATTTCACAGCTTAGTAAAAGTTGTGGTACTTTCTGCCAAATTAAATCTGCAGGCTGTCTGCATCCAGACAGACCAGGTAGGAATCTGACTTGTTAGACTTATTTTAAAAGCTTATGGTTGAACAATTGCATATAATATTTCTCTTTGTTTTTTAAATAACATCATTGTAAAATGATGGGAGGTGAAAACTTTCTCTCCTTAAACTGAGAGAGAGGGAGATTAAATAATTACCATGCAATCCATTGTTGTTTCATCCATCTCTTTTGTTGTTTTCTTCAAAAACTCTGGTACTTTATATAGAAAAACTCTGATACTTTCTTCGTGGTTGTCTCGTTGAAGGTCAGTGTAGTTCTGTGCCCTCTGTGTCTGTGCGGGTGAGAAAGGGACTGCAGAACAGAACACATCAAAGCCAGGAACAGTGATGTCACAATGACACCTGCAATGTAATTACCTTTCATACACACACACACACACGTTCTGTTGTCGTGGAAACATTCCTTGACCTAATGCATTCCCTATACATTCACCCTATTAAAACCAGAATTTAATCCTTTAATATATATTAATATTTAATAATTATAATCCAATAATATCATATGTTTGATATTATTCTGAAATGGGACTTCTTCTTGCATTTCCACAGTTTTTTTTTTGTTTTTTTTTAATTAAAAAATAAAGTGAAATTTATTCCCATCGTTATATAAATAAAACATAACACAACAATATAACACAATCTCCCACATGCTCAATTACCACAAGCAAACAATTTCTTATTTACAAAACGTCTTTATTATATATAGTAGTCTGGGAAATCTATGGAGCCAATACAATGATATTAGATTTTGACATTGAAAACAAAATTCAATTTCCATATAATTTTCATATTAAGGAGAGAAAGTCCCCCCCCCCCCCCCCCCCCCCCCCCTTTATTGGTGAGTTTACATACATGCAGATGACAACAAAAACAATAACAGTTATAGAGATTTTTGTATTTTGATTTACAAAATAGTGAATAGAAATGTCTGCAGTCAGTAAAGTTTACTTTTTGGTTACAAGAGAAGTATTTTCTTTTCTTATCTTTTTCTTTACTCTGTTATTATTTTTTATTTTTAACAAATGGTCTTTTACATAACAACAATTTTAAATAACAACAATAAAAACTAATATTCTAGCTTTAACTACTTAATACCTTGCTATTCAAAATAGAATAGCTGGAAATCCTCAACTGAGCAGGGGGGGATCTACAAGTATGATAGATACTAGGGATAACCTATTATCTAAAGCCAATAACATATAATTAAAAGCCATAGAGTCTCTTGAATTTGATCCCAGCTTGTGCACTGATTACATAAAACATAACGTGGAGGGGGAGTAATGTAAGGCCTTCAGGAGTGTAGTGCAGTGTAAATGAGGGGGCTCTACTAATGCTTCTGTAGCTTCATTTACTTATCATTTATTTTTGATTGATAATAACACACAATTCACTTGTCTTCTGCTCCACTAGGTGGCACCACAACATCAAAATAAACCGGTGCAGCTTTGCAACCCGGCCCACCCAGCCCTTAGCAACCACGAAGGTCCACATCGACAACGTAACGGGGAAAAACTGTCGCAAGCACACCGAGTATTATGATAAATATTAAAAGTCACATTTTTGTTGCTATTTAACATTTTTCTGAACTAAATCATGTACAAAATAAAGGCATAGACTGCATTGCAGTTTAAGCCTGGAGAGTTCGCTTAGTTGGTACTGTTTTTGTGCCAGTTGCTGCAGTGTTTTATGTATCCGGTTCATCTACCAGATTAAAAGTTCGTCATATAATATACATACAATGGTCCATACAGAAGCACATGCAGAACAGCTGATGAAATAACACTGGTTACATATGTCATATTGCACTGTCATCTAAGTACAGTATTTTCAAACTATGATGCTAATCTTGAAAGTTTTGTTTCACTTTCGGTGGCATAATGAGCATATCATTGTCTTTTGAAGCAAAATCAAATAGAAAGTGTTTTTTTTCTGTTGTGGTCTTTTCAAACAACTTTATTTAGCATTCTCAACCTTAAATCCAGGGTAAAATCACATTTTCCTTAAACCAATATCACCGGTAGTGGCAGGAATACCATATTATTTTCTGTGATTGCCAACCTTATTGTAGGTACCACACCCCATACAGAAAAAGTACTTTGAATTCAGATGTTAATTTTTGTCTAGCTTGCCCTTGGAAAAAGTAGAGAAAAACAAACAACTAAACTTTTAGTAATTGCTAAATGTGTAGTAGTTGTTTTTAGTACTGTGCTTTCTGGGTGGGCTGTCTTATTTTGAAATAAACCTAAACGTCCTTCGACAGGAAGTTGCTGTTGGTTGCCTGCGCGGTGTAGTCGTCGCAAACTTGACAATTTACAACAACTCTGGAAACGGCGTCAGTGACAGTTGGTCCTTTCGTTACACAGGTGAGTGGTCCTCAATTTCTCGACGGTTTCATTACAATTCATCCGGTATTAACGCGTTTATTATTTTAATGTGAGACTTCTGTAGCCGGGCAGGCTTGGGAGGACGAGGCGTTTCTGTCACATGAGGAGGAGGAGGAGAAAGGGAAGCTAAAAAAAAAAAAAAAATAGAAATAGCCTTTTTTGACAGCTAGCTTTTAGCTAGCTTGGTCAGGTAAGGTCGACTGAGACGGTAACGTTCGCCGAGGATACCCGAAGGCGTCGTACGGCTGTCACGGGACGGCCGAGGCTGCTTGTAGCTTATTTGTAAAAGCCCACGACAGAAACAGACATTATTAATGTTGTGTTTTGTTTGTTTTTTTTTGCCGTGTAGTTAAACCACCACCGCACCAAGTCTGTCCGAGCTCGGAGCCAGCGGGGCAGCTCAAAGTGCACAGAGTAGTAACGCTTTTCTGGAGGTATTTTGTCGCTGCCGGCGGAACGGGTAGCTTAGCCGTTTGTTCTCACCGTGACAAAACATCCGCCTCCATGAAATGTAATTGACTGTGTTGTTATCATTGATAGCGCAGACGCTGCCGGGAACACCTCCGAAGAAGAGCTGAAGAAGTGGAAGCACAGGCCCAGCTGCTGCAACTCCTCTCTGGGACTGTTCAGCTCTCCTCTTGCCATGGAATAATCTTTTTTGGAAAGTTTCTGCCACAACACGTCGACCATCGCCCTTTTTTCTTTTTAATTTTTTTTATTGCATCTTTGAAAGAAGGAGTGTCACACCTTTGCCAGAGTTGGACAGTCATGATGATGATGAGCACTGAAGCCCAGAAGCAGAGGTTTAGCTCCTGACTGAAAACCATGAAGCAGCCAGGGAAGTGACCTCAGGGGACACTACAGCCTGAGGGTGCCACACACTGGCACCATGGCATCCAAGGAGAGACTGTATGAGGTCTGGATGCTCTACTACACTAAGGTAAACCCACACACAATCTCACTGTGGCTGATTCTGGAGATGTCATAGGGTGAAGTAAGGCACGGTGTGATGGCATTTCCTCCCTGGCAAAGAGGTTATTCACTCTTGGCATTTATATTTTGAATGTCTAGTGTTACTGGCTGTTTTTATAATAGACTGAGGTCAGTATGGTCAGTAGTGATTAAAATCTATGTGGCATTTCAAAGCCTGTGCTGACAATTTTAAACCAGTGTGCCATTGTTTTGTAGCAGTATTTAGCCTTTTTTTCATGTCTTATAATTACACTTTTCAGGTGGCAAAACCTATAGCGTATAAATGAATATTAAATCCACAGAGAACACATTGCAACTTAAGTTCTGGTATTACAAATAGTTTCTCTGCAACTTCCATATTTCCTCTTGACTGTAATACATCAGCAACAGTACAAGAGTCAACACGAATAGGGATGCTGTGTGTCTCATAATGTGGAGGAGGGGGCACACTGCTGCAAGGAACAGTGCGGAGCGTTGCTTTTTTACAGTGCAGATGAATGAACGATACTCTAGTAGAGACAGCACCCCTTGAGTCAGCTGTTGGCTAGATTTAATTCACTCAGCGATACAGCATGTGCGCATCCTGGCGTCCAATCAAAACGGCCTGCCTGAGCCGCTCCTCACGTGAGCCAGTCTGCAGTCACACACTTTCTTCCCACAGTAATCCCTCACAATAACACACACACACACACACACAGAGCACATAACAAGCTGTTTTCTGTAAGTTTACGATATCAAGTAAAGCATAGACACAAACAGAATATCTTATGCCGGTGGTGTGGGTGTTTGGGGGCTCAGAAGTATTAGAAGTATTCAGACCTGCTGCTGCTGCCCGCACACACTTGTCACAGTCACTTGTGAAAATGCCAGCAATGGCTGCAAGCATACACATTGCATTTGCTCTAGCAGGAGGAGTGTGTGTTTGCATTGACTAAGCATTAAACTGCACCGAAGGATCATTTCATTTCACTCTGGCTGTGAGCCAAGGTCCACAGGGCCAATACTTCTCTCTGCATGAGCCAAAAGAGACGCTGAGAGAGAAGCATTTAAATATATATGTGTAGCGGTCTGTCTCTCTCCGAGCAGCTGAAATGTCAGGTATGGCTGGTGGGGTGTCTCTATGCTATTAATGTGTGTGTGTGTTTGTGTGTGTGGGTGTGTGTGTGTGTGAGGGTTAGGGTTGCCAGGATATGTTGGCTGTGAGGAGAGCGTGCAATCACGTGGCTTAAATCAGATGAGGAATGTTTCTGTGCGAGACCCCCTGTGTCCCACCGAAGGGGTTAATTGTTCCACAGACAGCCTCCCCTCCCCAGCCTCTCGTTGTTTCTCAACCCAGAGCATTCATTTTTCTCATCTCACTGTGTGCGAGGAAATAATTGTAGTTTGGGTTTAGATGATTATTTTCCTCATGTAGAATCCATCAGTACTGCTCAGGTGGTGTGGTTTAATCTGAATGAACATTGCCTCAACCTGGAGTGATAATGTCTCAGCCACGCTAAATATGCTCAATGTTGTTAGCATTTGAGTGGTTAAATGTAAATTGATAATCACATATTGACGTTTCCAGTCTACATAGTACCACAGTTGCTCCTTTGAAGGCTGTTTAAGCTTAAATAGAATATAAAAGAAAAGCAATATCTATTTAACTACACCATGTAATTCAGTTAGATTACTTGGAAAGTGTTTGCTTCCTTCTTGTGTTCATCCTGGTGCAGTATCTCCCCTGTGTCCTCTGCTTAATGATTGACAACAATAGAGATATCCCTGCCTTTCATGTCCGAGGGTGACACTTGAACTGTTCCCTGAGGAGGAGTCACTCAGATAAACACTGTTGACAGTAGAAGCTTGTACAGTACAAGCAGCCCAGGGAGAACCAGCTCATCCTGTTCTGTCTGTGCATTTAAACAGACGCGTGACGCTTGTTGGGAATCATTTTCCTGAAAACGTTTCAAACCAGAAGTGGCAGCTGTTTGCATATTGATGATGAGGTCAGGAATGAGCAGCTGTGGTATCCAAGCCAGCGTTGAGGAGCTTGTAGGAGTTGCTGTATGGGAAGTAACTGTCAAAGCAACTTGACATTAAGTGTTTGTTTTCCAAACCTTGATTGATCCTGGTTTCAGTTTTAATTCTCTTCTCTACAGTTTTCTATTACACCATAAGTAAACGAATCCCGTGAATGTGTCTCTCAGTATTTCCTGACTCAGCCCCGACCTCGCTGGTTCCTACTGAAGATATGAACTTTAAAAATTGGTCAATAATAGGTTTCACTAATTAATTAATGAGCTCGTTGGGGACTATTTCCAGTCACGGATTAATACACATTTGGTGTGCTAGGATTAATGACTATTAATGACAGCAGGACGGTGTGTGTGAGATTAATTCACTTACTACAATGCCCACACTCTTCATAATGAAAGAAGACACTCAACAGTTTAGCTCACGAATGTCTTGTTTAATACTTTTTGTACAACAATGGATCTCAGTGGCACACAGGAATAAGATATATCAGGATTTGCATGTACATATAGAACTTGTTAGTGGGATTGATTAATTGTTTATGTCTTTTTAACATTTAAAACGAGGCAAACTGTATATTTATAGGCTTGTATACCCAGTTTTTGCTTTTTGGCCAGACCGCATAACAATCCAAGCAGACACGTCCACCAGGTTCAGGCAAGTCGTTCAGGCCTGATCCATGATCTCAATGTAAACACAAGGGTAGCCCCACTTCCAACAGCAGCTACACTAGTCAACACCTTCCGCTAACAAACCATACATGTGTTTACGTCAGTACCTTTTGTAAACACAGCTGCTCAGAGGGTTTATAATGTATTAATTTAAACAATTATCATCAGAATCAGTGGTTGCAGAGACTGACTCCAGCTTGCTCCTCGGAGTTGCAGAGGGCTAAGAGGTCACAGACGACGGCTAAGACCGTTACGTAACCAGCGATCCTCTTAGCCGCCCGTCATTGGTTTGTGCCAGAGTGTTGTCCCCGAGCAGACCGAACCGCTGGTTGCCGCTGGCGCACAGTCACAACAACGCAACACTGCAGCGGCTCTCCTCTTTCACCAGTATATTATCCAGTATAGGGCTTGTCAGAGAAAGTGGAGGGGTTTAGCAAGACTTCTAAATAATGCCAGTTACTCTCTTAAAGCTTTTGTCTGCTGCAGAAAAGCCCTTTTTAATTCCCAACCACAGGGAACATGCCTCAACAGACACGGGCATCATTTCAGCCCTCAACGGCTTTAAACAGGAGAAGTCCTCACTCCTTTTTAATTGTCAACAACCCAGAAACATAGTCCTGTCTGATGTCACCCCACCGAGCCCCACCCTGCCTGATGAGAGGCTTTTTGAGTGTATCTGAGAAAGGACAGTAATTTACATAAACCCACTGCACTTATGGGAGTCATAGTTAAGTGAGGGGATTGGAGGAAGGAGGGATGAGAACAGAGGAGGGAAATAAAACTGAACAGTCGAGCTGGAAATGACGGAGGAGGAGAAAGTGCCGCGGTTTCACATATTTGCTCAAGTAGATTACTCAGGTCTCTTTCCGGCTTTGCTGCTCGTTTGCTTGTTACAGTCTAATCTCTGTTCACACACACACACACACACAAACACACACACACACACACACAGATATACACGTGTGTGTGTGTGTGTCTGTACACCAGCCACACAGTTGCACAAACTGACACACTCAGGCTTTTGTTGATGTGCTGGTATGCAAAGTTTGTTCCCTCAGGCTAGCTCTCTCTCTGTGCTTGCCTCTTGCTTCTCATTTTCCTCTGCGCTATGAATATCTCTGGAATAACACTGATGTCACCGTCGTTGGGTATCAGACATGCTTCGTGTGGTTTTAACCCCTCCTACCAGCGTCTATAAATACACCCCTGGCGCTGACGTCATGGCCAGAGGAGTTGTCACTGACTGATGGGCCAGTGATGTCGGGCAGCAGTGATGGCGCAAGAACAGAATGACCACAGACGTCTTTTTAACCTACAGGGAGTCGGCCGTTTAAACGTTGTGGCTTCAGTGACTCCACGCCACTTCCACCAAGCCAGGTCACCCACAGCCGCCCAAACTAAGCAAGCAGCCAGCCAACCAACCAGTCGGCTGACCACGCCTGTCTGGAGGGGTGGAGCTCTTGATTAGCTGCAGACTTGTGCAGCAACACTGCATTAGAGAATATAGCAACTCATAATAGATCAATCAAACCTATTACTTCTTTTTATATATCAATATCCTTTTAAATTAGTTGGAGTTACAACAAAAGCCGTTGGGTTTTGAGTTGCCACAGAAAATAATGACACATTTAGCCTCAGGCATTTGAATGTTTTTGTCATCATTGTTTAATTAGAGGAATAATTCTTGTTTTTATTGTATGCGTTTAAAACTTGGTTGACTTCGGTATCATGTGGTTTTAGTTTCACGTGCCTTTAACTTTATTTTGAAGGAGCTTAATTTTCTGTAGTTTATTCTGCTTCTACATGTGGCTAATGTACAGATAGCTAATTTGCCTTTCCAGCGATGGTGGCTGTGTGTTCCTCTAACGTAAAGGTGCCATGTTTAGCAAATAAAACTTCTGTGCATTTCCTTCTTCTTAAAACTTTTAAAACGAACATTTTAAATCGTGCATTGTTTACATCCATCTTTGCCTGCCAGCAATCTTCCTCTGCATTTCTCCTGCTGACACATTACCACCAGCAGTGACAGGATATGAACTGAGCTACCTGTGTGCTTGTGCACCTGCATGATGCCAGATAGACTGATACTCCACAGGGTGTCTTTAATAATAACAAGTAACCTCTGCTGCTGCCATGAACCTGAAATGCATCGCTCCCCGTGTAACAAATAAGAGAGCTGCAACCAGGAGCTGCTCAATGGAAAATTAATTGGAATCTATTTTAATAATCATTTAATCATTTTGGTCATTTTTCATAATTTCAGTAATTATAATGAGCGTTTGTCACAGTTTTTAACATTTCAGAGACAAAATGATTAATCAAGAAAAAAATTGGATCAATCAGGAATGAAAATAATCACCAGTTGCAGCCCGACCACGAAAGCAGCAACTATCAAAGATTTCACTCATCAATCAGCCAATGATTTTGGGCAAAGCAGATGTAGATCATCTCTATTTTACCATGCATATGCATATTTTTAATTACTGCAATACATATCTGGTCACTTTGTTCACATCTAGTGATTAAATTGTGGTTAAATTATATCAGTTTTTCCTCCTCTTTAGTCAGACCCCTTATTATCTGTTATTATCATCTGCTGTGACGCATCCAGTGCTGGCAACATGTTAGTTGAGAGGATATGAAATCAAATAGCAGAGCCTGATGTTCTGCTTCAGGTCAACACATATCTCATTGTTTTCCAGAGCGTGGCGTCTCTCATATCAAAATGAATGAGGGCTGTCGGTCCAGTCATTGATCCTTAATCAGCACTTTCACTCAGGGCAACACTCCCACCCCTCTGTGGGCCAGTGGGGATCTCAATTTGGAGAATGAAGTGCATCGATCTGTGTTGCTGGCGACCTTGTTAGCCGTACAGAGGTCAGCTTAAACAGATCTTTAGGAATGTGATGTAGTAGCTTGGCAAAGGGCCTCAAAACGATAATGGATACGCACAGAAGAGGCATGTGATCCTCTCGTGGGAATTGTTTTTATACACATTGGGACACAAGATGATTGTGAGAGTCCGGGACAAGGTGACTGTTGTTGTGTGAGGAGGATTCCTACTCGTACATCCAGATCATTATGTCGGGGCCAGTGATGAAGGCCGAGGATAAACAGGGCCGTGTAGAGCAGGGTGTGTCCCGGGCCTGCCACAGTCCAAACCCTCAATGGGCATCTGTGCTCCCAAGCTGCTGCTAAAAGAGGACATTCTTTCAGACACACTCACACACACACACACACACACACACACAGTCATTTTGCTGCTTGTAAGCTCCCTCATTTGTGAAGCTGCTGGCTTAAATCATCATCCTGTTTCTGGCATTAACATCCACATGCATATATATATATATATATATCGACTATAGACTGTAACTGAAGTTAAAGAACAGCTGTGGCAGCAGCCATAAATAAATGTTATTATTCTCACCGTAGTGATTCACACAGCGAAAGGTTAAGACAGGAAAGAGAAGCACACAGAGGCGAGATGCCATGTTCTCCCAACAGCACATATTATCCACACGTGGCTGCTGCTTATTCCACTCAGATGTGTCTCTCCCTCTTTTCTTCTTCCTCTCTTCCCTGTTTCTTTCTCTCTCTCTCACACACACACACACACACACAAACAGAGGCCAGCGTCTCAAGATTGTTCTGATGACGTCACAAGGAACTGCAGAGAGCTGGCTTCCTGCTTCGTTCTGGCTGATTCCCACTCTGACACGCACACAGAAGCAGTCAGCCTCTCAACCCCTCTCGCACTCTTTAGCCAGATGGCACCGCTATCCTGAGAAAACCTTTCTTTTTTATCGTTGTTGTGTGTTTTTCCTTCGGTGTCGAGCTCTAATCTGCACATTTTTAAGCATTAACTTAACAGGAGAACATTTTTTGTTTGTTTGTTTGTGAATCGTCTTTCGCCCTGTGTCAGTCCTTGTTTGCCTGAAACTGGCATCATGGGATGTTGTCAGGTGTAGTGAAGCCATAGCAACAGTGATGGAAAAAAATAAAAGATAGGCCCATTAAAAACAGACTGTGAATATTGGCACTGTGTTTTGTCTTTCTGGACCTAAATATTCTGGTTATCTTTGCCTCTGTTTGAAAGTAGACTGCCCTTTAAGATGAGAGACAAATGTAGGATGCAAACTATAACAAGTGTGCCGGAGGAGGAGGAGGAAAGTTATAGTCGCTTTAACAGACAGGATTTGGGAATGGACGATCCTAAAATGTCCAAAGTTATCAATTATTGAAGACTGGATGTTCTGCATTTGTCTCTCTTACACGTTAGTGGTCTTATTGATCACTATGACACTTCCTGTCTATGTGGAGCCCGTGGCCTGAACTATCTTTAATTAGATTTTTGTTTCTGGAAAAGAAAATTACGTCCGTAAAATAATATCTGGTCCACAGCTGATCTGTTGGTCTCACACTCTGGGATGCCATACTGGATGGATTGCCGTGAAATTCATTACAGACGCTGACAGTCCCCACAGAGTGAATCCTAATGGTTTTAACAAACCCTGCCCTGACCTTTCCATGGAGCTCCACACACAAGACAGGATACCGCTAAATTATTGTCTTAATTACCGGCCCTTGCTGCTCAAACTATACTGCCAAATGCACAATATACTGACTGTTGTTATAGTAATCTGACCTGATCACCTCTTCATCCCTCATTGACCCAGATTGCTCACTCGCACCCTCCAGATGGGCCGAAGCCCCGATGACAGGATCTGCTGGGGTGGGGGTGGGGGGGGGGGGGGGTGGGTTACTTAAGTGAATACTCGCTAGCTGCATTACTTCATTCACATGTCTGCATGTATGTGATGCACAGCTGAACATGAATGACGGAAAATGTATTTTCAACTGTTTTAATGACAAATGAATCAGGCAAAAATGCTCCTTAAATGTGAAGATTTTCTGCTTTTTTGCAGTTTTGTATCATTCGGAAAACTTTGGGTCGGTTGGTCAAACTAAAAAACTCATTTGAATACATCAGTTTCAGCATTAAAAGTTTAATAATCATAGACCAAATTAAGTTTGTCTTAATTGCTACTGTAGAAAGAAAATGTGGAACACGATTTAATGACTAAAATAACTTTAAGTAGAAGCTTCCCTCAGAACAATGAGTGTAAATCTTCTTGCATTGTCTCTGTCTGTTTCTGCTGGAAAAACATTTCCTTCTACACCATAAGACATGACACAGCACTGGCATAGCCATGTGTTAATGAGTGTGTTCATTGTCAGTTATTAGACTAATGACGGTTATGAAAACTGACACCGTTTGTGTTTTTATTGAGATCTTTAAGAGCTAATGCTCGTAATAAATAACAATGAGTATTATTATGAGCCCCAGCTCTTTCTGGTTAAACAGTGTTGTCGTTCTGCTGTGTTTGGGGCTCTGTGTTTCTTCCTGTGGGCTGAAGCAGCTCCACTGTGACCTAACAGGCTGAGTCAGGCCGGCCTTTGCTCTGTGTTGCCGTCCCCGTCCGTCTCTGGGCATTGTTCCAGGAATTTAGGAAATGTCGATCAGCCGGCTGCTAGAATGCAGTCAGGCCTGTTCTCCCCCCCCCCGACAGGTGCATGGTTTAGCTCCCACTCCTTAAAATGATAAGATACCCCCACCACACACACACACACACACACCTGAGACATTCCTGCTCTCACGTGTTTCACATGCTTTGGTAGCAGCTTCACAAACAACTATATCTCAATTTTTTATTATAGTATTCAAATCCTGATGAAAACATTAAAAGGGTATTTTAATTTTTCACACCCATCTTCTTTCATTGTAATTTAGTGAGACAAAAAGGTCGTGGTCTGCAGTTTTCTGAGTGTAGAAGTCACACAGGACTTCACTTCACACACACACACACACACACACACACACACACACACACACACACACACACACGCAATGAGTTCAATTGAATTGCAGACGAGGCCTGTCAGCTGCCTGCCATCTATGTATTTTAACCATGACAGCTTTCGTTAGCAAAGGCAGCTAACCGTACTCTCATCTGTCTGCTTCTCCCTCTCCCATCTTCACTTCCCTTCTTTCTCTCTCTGTCTTTTAATTTCTCAGAGGGATCCAGACTACTTGAAGCTGTGGCTGGAGATTTTCATCAGCTCCTACGAGCGATGCCTGGACGTGGACTTTGAAAAGCCGCCTTCAAGGTAACTGGTGACAAACTGTGATCATTTGAAGGTCATTTTATGCTGCAACTGAAAATATAAAAATGCATCACTTTGTGTAGGTTATTTAATGCAATTAGATATATTGTTAAAACAGTTGAATTATTCATTACTTTTATTTAACAGTTTATTCATGATTTTAAAGTAACAATTTCAACAGCTAATCACTAATTTTTGACAGATTATTTCACTATTTCAACAGTTTTCTAACTCTTTGTCCATATAACAGTATGTATGTTTGCCAATCAACAAATACGCTAACACATGCACACATGCAATACCTACACACACCCACATACAGCCATGCAGGTAATCTAAAACATGGTAACACACACACTCACAGACTTGGATTAATTTTAACTTGCCTCTTTCTAACCCTAATATATCACAAACCCTTCCTACTCTAGCTTTCCTAATGCATATAACAATGCACTATTGTAGTGTTCTGCATTAGGTCAGTGCTAGTTGGCTCAGAACCATCTTTTCTTGTGTGTGCGTCAGCCACAGCATGACCACACACACACACACACACACACACACACACTATGCAACTTTCCATAGCACAACCCAAAATAGCTCAGCCACAACAGATGCTTCTGTGTAGAGCGGTCACATTTTGTTGCAGGTGATGCTCTGATGTGTGTTGACCTGTCGACATATGAAAAACCCGTGTCCAGTGTTTTCATGCGTGTCGGAATAGGTGAAGTTTGTCGATACCCAGTTGTGAACATTTCAACATCAGATGAAGATGCCCTGGGAGTCAGACAGGCAGTCACATTTTCTATGGGAGGCAGGGCCATGTGAAAGGGTGGAGTGGGGTGGAGGAATATGGGTGGTTAAATCCTATTTGTCAAGCTTTTCATCTCTCCCTCTCTCTGTCATTTCCTTTTTCTCCTCCTCCCTTGACTCACTTTCTCCCATCCCCTGCTTTCTTTCCGACTCCTTCTTTTATCTCTCTCTCTCTGCTGTCTCTTTACCTTTTGTCCTCTTGTCTTCTCTCCGTTTTCTTCCTTCCCTCTCCCTCCCTTCCTCTGCAGCTGCCACATCTGTCCTGCTTTCCCACTGACATTCATTACATTGGTTTGGCTGTACTCTCTCTCTCTCTCTCGCTCTCTCTCTCTCTCTGTCATATGAGCAATGCAGCACACATGCTGTTTTTCCTAGGAACGAATGCTTGAATGCACCAGGCATGTGTGTGTGATTGAGTGAGTGCAGAGCAGGGTCTGCTCCTTCAGCTGCCCTTGTGTGTGCTGCGGCGTCGCCTCCATGATAAACCTTTAAGATAAAAGCCCATGTTTAATGTATTCATCAGCACTTCACCAGTTTTGACATGAAGCTCCAGTATAAGTCCGATGCAGTACATTAGCAGCTCCTCCTCTCTAATGGAGATTCATATTCATCTCGCTCCTGTGTCTCCAGGCCAGAGGAGGTTCCCCCGGTGTTGACCCTCCTCCCTGACAACATCCTGCAGGTTTTGCGCCACCAGCTGCTGCAGTGCGTCCAGAAAGCCTCTGATGGCCTGGAGCCCGAGCAGCAAAACCTGGCTCTGCTGCTACTCAAGTTCCTGATCATCATCTGCAGGTCAGGACAGTAAACACCCCACGACATACGTGAAAAGATCCTATGAATTCTGTGTTTTCAATAGACTGTGTCGTGCTGTTTTGTAGAGTAGGATGCTTGTGACTGACAAGCTAATGATCGACTTGTCCTGTGTGTGTGTGCATGATTGGATGTTTCTGACAGGAACCTGTCCAACGTGGAGGAGATTGGCACCTGCTCTTACATCAATCACATCATCACCATGACAACACTCTATATTCAGCAGGTCTGACTCTTCTCCTTTTTTTCTTCTCGCTCTGATGTCTCAAATTTCTTTAACACCTTTAAATATTCAAATGTTTTCCGCCCTACATATGATGTAGAGATAGTTTGAATGAGACATGTAAAAGGACATGTGTGTGTGTGTGTGTGTGTGTGTGTGTGTGTGTGTGTGTGTGTGTGTGTGTGTGGTGTTACAGCTCAAGAGCAAGACCAAAGAGAAGGAGATGGCAGACCAGAGCCAGGCGGAGGAGTTTGTCCGTCATGCGCTGGCCTTCTGCGAAAGCCTCTATGACCCTTACCACAACTGGAGGCATCGAACCTGCGGGTAACGACGTCCGGCAGCAAACTTAACTCGCTCACTTACGTAGGCAGGCACTTGGCAGGCAAAGTGTTTTTATAATAGAAAACCCCGATAAAAAACCAAAACCTTGTTGTCATGCCGGCGATTAATTCTGACTAATGAATCACACGCTCGGTTTAAACTCACCCACAACACCCCCCGGCCTTTGACGAGTGTTGATTTAAGCTGCCAAATAGAAATGATGTGACAGCAAGAGTGCAAAATAAAATTCAAAGATTTAAGTTTGAAATATTAAAATATTATTCATTCTGTTTTTCTTTTTTTCTTCCCCCCTCAGGGAGCAGCTGGGAACAGTAGAGAGGAGCAGACAGAAGTACAAGGCGGCTCCACTCACTGTTGAGTTTGTTCCCTTCTTTTACCGTAAGTCTCCTGTTTTCAGTCCTTCTCCCTTCTTCTCTTCTCTGCGCAGTGTCGGTAGGAGAAAATCTACAGCTATAGATTGAGGCGCTCGGCATCGGTATCTGCACCTCGCATCTAGTAATATTACCCTTTGCTTCTCCTGCCTGCTGCAGTGGCCCTTTGGATGAGGAAGAGTCCTCTGCATCATAAAAGAAAATCCAGCTAGTGATCACAGAACATGAGCTCTTCTCTCATCCTCTTTCTTTCTTTTTTTTTTTTCCCCCCGATGCCGTCACTCACTCTCTCCCGCTGCCTCCTCCTCCACCTCCTCCTCCTCTTCCTCCCTCTCCGGGTCCAGTTGAATCCGCTCTTTGTGTCCCTGTTCTGTTTGCCAGGCGTTGAGATGAGCCGATAGTGAACGGTGTCTGTCCGGGCACTTCAGCGACGCTGGCGGCCATTTTGAACAAATACTCCCTTCTGTCCCGAGTCCTGTTTGTGGTTGCTGTGGTTTGGCACCAAAGATAACACCCAGGGCCCGACCTGACAGACTGTGTGTGTGTGTGTGTGTGTGTGTGTGTGTGTGTGTGTGTGTGTGTTATGTGCAAAGAGCAAGTGTGTGGAAGTTCTGCAGAAGACTTTAAATATAAAAAGAAAGATCAGTTCCTCTTTGTCTCTTAGTGAATGAATGTAATTATATCCTGATGCTAGAGTTGAAAATGTAGTTGTGGCATGACTGGGATGAAGGAAACACGACATCACGGAGCCAAGATGTCGTGTTTCTCCTCCGCAGTCGGGCGTGTTGACAGATGAGTTAATGGATGACTGGGACCACCGTGACCCAGAGGTTACTGGCAGGACCGCCGCATGCCTTTGTGTGTTTGTGCACCATGTGCGCTAACTATCTTATCTGGTTTGCAGATTTCTTTCAGCTTCCATTTGCAAGTGTGTGTGTTTGTGTGTGTTTGTGTGTGTGTCTAGGTATGAAAGAGACAGAAAAGATAAAGGTGTGTCTGTCTGTTTGTCTGTCTATGCGTGTGTGTGTGTGTGTGTGCGTGTGTGTGCATTTATTAGTGCTTTGTTTATTAGATAATGAAAAACAGGAACTTGGCCTGTTTGCTGTAAGGTGTAGTTTCGCTTTGTGGTTAAAGCTGACATCGTGCCAAGAGAGCAAACTAATGAAGGCCTTTGGGTGTGTGTGTGTGTGTGTGTGTGTGTGTGTGTGTGTGTGTGTGTGTGTGTGTGTGTGTGTGTGTGTGTTTCCTCCTCCCAGAGTGCTTCCAGGAGAGCGAGCACCTGAAGGAGAGTCTGAAATGCTGCCTGCTGCACCTGTTTGGAGCCATAGTAGCTGGCGATCAGGTGAGCCTCTGGACCACCTGCAGATCAGGTCACAGGCTTCACTCACTGGATAACCGCTGTGGTCTCATCTCAAAAATGGCACCACATTCATTCAGTCTAAGTAAAGCTTCTTACCCAGGGTTCCTCTCTCTTAGGTCATAAAACATGGGCACATAAGTCTTCTAATTATGACACAAAAATAAATGTTGACAAGTTTTGCTGTAGATCTACGGCTGTTTTGTTTGGCAGAATTTCTTTCTTTAGTCTTAATATGTTTGCACATCATTGTTTAAGATTTACAATAATAGAGCATAAGTGGATATGTGCATGTGAATGCCTTGTCGTGCCAAACCGAGTCACGCAATCTGCAGTTCAGACTGTGGCCGCCACGCAAACCCAGAGCTCTTGCTGGAGGCTTGTTGTCAACTCCTGTTTGCTCCTGAACTCCACTCTCTGTCCCCGCCATTTAAATGCAGACAAACATGTAGGTCTGCTTCCAATGATCTGTCGATTAACTGATGAATTAATCATCTAATCATTTCAGCTCAGGAGCTGTGAATAGTGGGTTTCTTCATTACACTGCATGCAATATAGCAGCTAAGTGTTTTTTATGACTGAAAGAAGAAACCATCGACTCCCCACACGACAGTGATAAACCAGCTGGGCCCGTGGCTTCCAGTGAATAATTTAACAGCTAAAAGGCTCAATTAACCACAGGCCCAGCTCACAAAATCACAGCCTGAAGCACCGTCTTGTTGTCATAAAACAGACCTCAGTTAGTACCAACTAAATAACAATAACTGAAGGAAAAGTTTGACATTTTACTAATATCTTCCACCGCATTCATGTCTGTACACTAAATATGAAGCTAGAGAGGAGCTTGTTTGTACTTCCTCTAAAACTACACCTCACCTACACCACATCTCATTTTAGGTGAAATAAACAAAAGAACATTACAAGTCACAATATACTACTTCAAATAATAAGTACACAAATACATTAATACATTACATTACCCTGATATCAACGGATGAAATTGGTGCATAACAATAATATTCTTTTTGAAGCAGTCAGCATATATTATAAATACAGCACATTAACATTTAAGAGGCAGTTAAATATTTAGTATTGGAAGTTCCCAGCCGGTGTTATTTATAGTGTGCAGGTTTTGTTGTTGTCACAGGGCAGTGTGTCCTCTGCTGTGCGTATCTTAAGAGATTTGCTTTGATTAACCTTTGACTAACCCCTATCCCTTCCACTCTCATCTCTCTTACCGCTCTTTGTTTCCCTCCCTCCAACCCTTTCTCCGCGGCAGAGGAACGCTCTGCTCGCCATCTCTCCAGCCACCATGGAGGTGTTGATGCGGGTGCTGGCTGACTGCTCCATGGGTAACTGCTCTTCAGATGAAGGCGAGGACTGGGACAGCGAGGCCCCCGACCGCAAGGCGCTGCTGACTCTGGGCTGCCTGCGAGAGGTGGTGCAGCGCCTCCTCGCCTCCAGCTCCGACCAGCGGCAGGTGGAGATCGCCTCAGTGCTGGAAAACTACTTTAAGCTGCTCAACTCGGACCCGGCCGCTGTGGTCTCTGCCCGACAGCAGCAGCAGCAGCAAGCCAAGGGCCGAGTGCCGACACTGGGCCGACACTGGGAGAGCCGGTTTGTGGCGCTGCAAGTAAACATGCTAGGTAGGGTTTTTACAAGAACACTTTTCATGATATTAAACGTATTCTGCAGAGTCTAACGTCCACTCTCCGTCTTCCCTGCTGTCTCTCTCAGACACTATCAGGGACATGTTCCTGTGCTCGGACAGGCCGGTTCTACAAGCCATCTTCCTCAACAGTAACTGTTTTGAGCATCTGACACGACTGCTGCAGAACAGCAAGGTAACGGCACTGGTCCTCTTATCTAAATATAACCTGAATACACAACTCTAGAATGAGTGTGAGTGGCTGGTTCCTGTATTCGATAATTCCTCTGAGTTAAGAGCTCAGAACGGGGTGAAATCAAACATTATTCCTAAATTATTAGTAGTACTCCAACGTATTTTGTATCTGATACAACAGGATCAGAAGGTTGAAGTCGTGATCTGATGATTTATGCAGAGATTTATTACATTTTTAAGACACAATCAATTCTAAAATATATTGTTTTTGCGCAGTGGTACAGCGTCTCAGAGAGAAGTAGTGTAGTGCAGCTTGAGGCTGGTTTGCAGTTGTTTTATTATGTATGTAAAGGAGCAAGGTAGCAACATTTTTTTATAGTAGGTTGTTTTATTTCAGATAAATCTTCCTTTGTGTTCTGATCCTTTACTTAAGAAAAAGTTGCAATACCACCTTTTGAAAATACATTGTACAAGTAAAAAAGAAAACACTGACAGATTATCATGTTATATTTTTATCAATCATGTAACATGATAGCTCTCGGCTGCAGTATCTACTCAGTTATATGTTAAGTTATCAACATAGTATCTTATCATGTTGTGACGAGGGAAGATAATTTTAACGAGATGCAGTGTTCAATAAACACAGATGTTTATATTTTGACTCATTTGGCAGCCTGAATTTCCTGATAGCATATCTGCACTTCTTCTTAATCTTAAATTTCTGTTTCAAATCCAGCTTGATTTAGAGAACAAGAAACAATCACAAAAACACAGTCAACAGACCAAGACAGCTCAGTTCCACAATACAAAAAACTAAGAAACAAGGAGTTACAAGACTAATGAAGAACATTACATAATGAAGCTTTAAAATATCAAAGGGAAATGTAAGACTAGCTTGAGGGCAGTTTGTAGTTCATAGTTTTTGGGATGTAATGCGATAAATTGATGTTGTTTCTCGTAGTAATGAGAAAATACATACGTCATAATAATGTGAAAAATATCCAGCTACGTGAAGAAGAACAAGAACATTTTTCTTCTTTTAACAAGAACGTTTCTCATTATAATGAGAAACTGAGCAAATATTTTTTTTGTTGAGGTGGCAATATGTAATTATCAGCAAAATATGCTTAAAGTATAAGAAATAAAAGCACTTATTATGTCTCCTGTCAGCAAGTTATACCAGTTTATATGATGTAAGCTGCGTTTAATGTTGTAGCTGGTCAAAGTGAAGCTAATTTAACTACTTTTATACTGTCAGGTAGTTTTCATTTTCATTTGTTGATCTTATGTTTTGTAAATGATGATGATAAATGTAGTGGAGTTAAAATAAAAGCACCGTATTCACCCCTGAAGTGTAATGGAGCGCCGCCATTAAAACTCTCCAAGATATTTTACATGAATACGTCCAGATTTAGTGTTTTATATCTCTGGTTAATCAGTTTGAGCAGTTCAGGTGTTTTATGTGTAATTTGGATAAATTTTAATCCAGGTCTGGCGTAGAACTGTGTGTCATGTTAAGTCCTCCTTAAAGTGTCAGTGTGAGAGAGAGCATTTTGCCCACCTTGCATGTTTACCTCCCCAGAGCAAGGCTGGATCACCAACACGCCTCCTCACAGTGACCCCTGCTGAGGGTCATGGCTTCTAACCTCTCACCCTCTCCTCCACGTACAACATCTGTCCCCCTCCCCCCCCTCCCCTCCATCCCCCCTGCACCTTCCTGTCTCTCCCTTGTCTCCATTTTCTCTCTCTATCAACCTCCCCACATGCTATGTTGACATGTTGCCTGTTGTGTGTGTCAGCTGGTTAACGCTAGGTGCACGGCGGCAGACAAGGACCAGAAAGATATAACCAACAACAGGTTACTGACAGGAGAGAGGGACACTCAGGTACCACCGAGAAAGCCCCACCCCACCTCACCTGACACCCCGACCCCACCCCACCCCCTTATCATACATCTACCTGCCCCTCACCTTCACCTGCTGCTGCCAAGTCCCACCACCTTGACCTCACCAGAGCCACGAGGCCTCTCCACAGCAAGACACTCACACTGCTTCGCCCCAGATAATTATGTGTAATTGGATCATGTTTTAATGGAGAAAAAACAATCCACTCGCTGAGTCGCTGAGCTGTCGGAGTGCTGGCACTCAACACAACACACTGTTAGTCTTGCATGTAAAACTTGCATGTTAGGTGGTGTATTTTAAGGTGTATTTTGTAACACTTGGACAGAGCTTCCTGTCCAGTTCCCATATTTTACACTTATGTAGACTGAGCGCTTTGATACTTTCACAGTATTACTATAGAACCCAGACCTGCTTTATAATCAAACAACATGTGCATCTACCTTTAGACTATATGGGACCTTTAAGCTAAGCTATCATGATGCTAGAAACTCCCCTTATTTGATCATACAAGTTAGCAACAAGTTAGCCAGTAGCTAGAGAAATGAGAGGAAACATGATTAACGGCTATCAAAGTTATTAATTATGTCTCTTTGTTTTTGTTCCGATACATCTCAGGACTGTCTTTCGAATGGTGTAGTGTCAACCGTCAGTCAGAGCTCTTTCACTGAATCATCTCGTGCACAGAAAGGTCACCTGTTCCCCTCAGAGTAAACCAGCTTTCATTCTCCGCTTTGTACTTTTGGTTCTCTCAGAGCCACCTTTGTGGGGTATAATCCCTCCATTGATGTGGATTTTGTGAATGCAGGTGGAAAAACCTGCATGAAGACGACACGCACAGATGTACCTTTGTTGTTCCCGAGGTCACCTGTAGAAATCCAGGGTGGAGCAGCTGTTCGGTTAAAAATGAAACTTCTAAAACTAGATTTGATCCAAGGTGCTCAATGGTCTTGCTGTGGAGAGACCACTTTGCCTCTGTCAGATCTCATTTATGTTATTGCCATTTTCAGTTTCCTCACCCCCCCCCACCCTCACCTCACCCCACCCCAGCCCTCTTCACTCCCCTCCCTAACCCCCCCCCCACACATCGTCCTGGTTTTCTGCGGTAAACTGCGGGCTCCACTGGAATGCTATCACCTTGGCCTGGTGTGTTTTCTCACAGAGTTCAGTGTTTTGAGGTGATCTGGACTCAGTGACGATGATTTCAGTGTTTGATTTTTTATTTTTTTTTTGCCACAGTCCCTGTCCAGCTGGTCCGAGACTTTCTGTAGGATCAACTCAGTCTATGGCTGCATGTTAATTAAATAAGGGGGTTTGGTGACCCAGAATGTTGTTGGTCACGAGCAGGACTGAGCTGGATGGAGATGTGTTTGTGTTTCATTTTTCATGGTTTGGCTTGTGTTTTATGGGTTGCATGCTTTCTGTGTGTGTGTGTCTGTGTGAGGAAAAACTGTGTGGTACTTCCTTGTGGTTGTCTGTGTGTTTGTGTGTGTGTGTGTGTGGAGGTGGGAGTTTTTTTGACCAAGCCCCTGAGCGCTTCCTGCTCCAGCCACATCTTCATGCTTTTAAAAGGATTGTTTTGTTGTTGTTGTTTTTTTTTTAACCTGGAGCAGAAAGACAACACTGTCCTTATCTTCACTTTAACATCTGCAGTACAAGCTTTGATGCCAGCTCCTACTGCAGTGACACACAGGGTTCTAACCATCATCAATGATTTTACTCACGTTTTCACACTAATTGAATCAAACTCCAAGGCATCTGCTTAAGTCTCTCTTTTATTCCTCCAAGTGATGCATGTTGTTTTCAGAAATAAGTTGATCCTTATCTTTTGAGTGTCACAAATCTTGTATATGAACGTGGCTTTAAATTGAATGCATGCTTTTGTTGCCCATAGAAATAACATTCATCCGGAATAAGAGGAGATTTGACATGTGTCCTGTCATCTGTTCCCAGTGACTGACCTGTATATTGTCTTTCAGGTGTTTCAAGGGCGACTAGACTCCCTCGCTGTAGCAACCATCAAAGCCCTGACAACAGTGATGCATAAATCACCGGCTGCAAAGGTAACAGGAACATAAACACATTCATTTAATCACATATAGCCTCTATACTTCTAAATCACTTTTGGACTAATCGCAGACGATTTACTGCTTTTTTTTTTTTTACTGAGTGCTCAATATAAAGTCTTACAATTTGAAAATGAAATTAAGGCACGAATAAGTTTCTCCAGGTCAGCAGTGGAAGGAAATCATTTGATTTTAGAGATTAACCTTATGTGCATAAAAATTGTATATTATTTTACTATGTTATCAAAGGTGAAGCAAGTAATAGAGAATAATAGGGCCTAGAATTGAGCCCTGAGGTACACCGCAAGTATGAAATCCACAACCACAATAGTCATACATTATAGTATACAGTCATTGAGTTACTTATAGATGGACTCACAGTTGAGTTTTTATTCATTTTCTGTTTTTCTTCTCCCTGCAGGAGGTGTTCAAGGAGAGGATCGGTTACAATCATCTGTATGAGGTGCTCATCTCCCTTGGCCAACCATCCCGACACCTCCTCAAAGAGCTGATGAACATGGTGAGAGAAAGATGTGGTGCCTGTTGACCTCGAAGGCCTTTCTACATCTGTGAATATTCTTTGTCTTTATCATTGTCCATGTGTTTCTATGTGTGTGCAGGCGGTGGAGGGTGAGCACACCTCAGTGGGGCTCCTGGGCATCAGTAATGTGGAGCCCTTGCTGCTGCTGGTCCAGTGGCTCCCGGAGCTGGACTCATCGGAGCTGCAGCTTTTCACGGCCGATTGGCTCCGCCGCCTCAGCTGCCTCAATCGCCAGACCCGTGCCACCTGCGTCAATGCCACCATGGTCATGCGAGCACTGGCCGCCCTGGAACGCCACCAGCGGCTACATCGAGCTTGCGCTGAGAGTCTACTGGGGCTGGTGGGATCGCTGGGCTCCCAGTCCTTGAGTGCCAGAGAACTGTTGGGGCTGCTGCGCCTCCTCAGGCCTCCAGAGTCCAGCCAAGCACACCCCTATGTAGGCCCCGCCTTGAGAGCCCTCCTGGCCATGGTACGCAAGCAGGGCCTGGAGAGTGCCATGCAGTACTTTGACCTGTCACCCAGCATGGCCGGCATCGTCGTTCCAACAGTGCAGCGCTGGCCGGGCTCCGCCTTCAGCTTCCTCGCCTGGTTGTCACTGGACCAGGACCAGCTGGGCCCACCCAGCAAAGACAAGAGGAAACAGCTCTACAGGTGAGACGAAAGAGTTGTGAAGTGTTTCGTATAGCAACTAAACTAAACATGCTAAGTCTCCGAGATAATATGAATGGAATCGGTTCTCAAACGGATTTCCTTTATTTCATCTCACACAGTTTTTTTACCCCGGGAGGGACGGGGTTCGAGGCCTTCATTAGCTCAGCGGGCGTGTTGGTGGTGGCTGTATGCACGAAGAAGGAGTATGTCACAGTCATGCTGCCCGACTACTGCTTCTGTGACTCTCTCTGGGTGAGTCCGGCTCAATGACATCATTTATTGACATGTACTTGCTGAACAGGCAGTGCCACTTCACGTCAGTGCTGTCTGAAATCTTTCTACAGCACAGCATCAGTGTGGTGCACGTACCAGGAAAGAGGCCGTTTGGACAGAGTCTCGTCTACATTTATGTTGATGGACAGCAGAAACTGTCTGCCCCGCTTAAGTATCCCACCATGACAGAGGTGAGACCTGCACTCGTCTAATGATTAATAAAGAACTAATCAACAACATGGACAAGCGGTCAGTGAGAAAGAGGAAAATAGTGGTTTATCTAGTGTTTGTTTATTGACTCAGTCTTGTTCTGATCTCCTCCTACAGCCGTTCACGTCCTGCTGCATCGGCTCTGCAGGCCACCGCACCACAACTCCCCCGCCCTCCCAGATCCCAGACCCTCCCTTCTCCTCCGCCACCACACCCACCACTCGCTCCTCGCTGGGCGGCATCCTGTCACCGCAGACCTGGGGGGGATTGCTCGGGGGAAAGCCCGAGTCTGTGACTAAGCTCATCTCTGCGGGGACTCAGGACAGCGAGTGGGGAAGCCCCACGTCCCTGCAGGGCCAGCTCGGGAGCGTCATGGTGTTCCACGAGCCCCTGCAGCCCAATCACATAAAAGCCATCTGTAGTGCTGGTGAGCAGGAGGAGATGATGTGAGAGGAGGAAGAGGAGGAGGGTAGATTTAGAAATGAAAGACAAGTATAGTGGGATGAAGGAGGCGTCGTTTGTTAGAACAGATAAGCAGCAGCAGCAGTGTGACCAATGAATAAAGAAACGCACCAGCGGTGTTGCTTCTTTCTCTCTCTTAAATTCTCACTCTCCTTTTTTTCTACACAGGTCCAAACTGCATCTCTCCATTCAAAGCCCAGGAGTCAGAACTCGGCGACCTCTCAGCCAAACTGCTGCTGTACTACTCGCCCAAGGTGACTGGACCACAGCTGTCTAAGCCATCCCTTCTTAAATCCCTCATATCAGCCAATGTAGAGAGAGCAGCGACTGTGATTCTTGGGATCGTATCAGTCATATAAGTTTTATAAATTATATGATTAATCACTGGTAAACTCATATTTTTATCTAAACATGGTCCTTCTGTCAACAGGCTTGTAGGAACCCCATCTGTCTGGACCTGTCTCCGAACATGCTGCATGGACGCCTGACTGGGAACAAAGTGGTCAACTGGGACATCAAGGTAGGAGGAGCTCACGCTGTCACGTCACTGTCCTGTGATCTCTGGAATATCCCAGTTCTTATTTCACGGATGCGTGTTCTGTTTTCCTATGTGTCGCTACGTTACCTGTGGCAGGACATGATCAACTGCGTGGGCGGCCTGCCGGTGCTGTTCCCTGTACTGGAGCAGCTGACCCTGGTGACCCCCGATCAACACGCCGGTGATCCTGCAGCTGGGTCGGATTTCATCACCCCTGATGTGACCACACCGGCTGATGGAGACTGGGTCATTCTCCCATCCAACAGAGCGTCAGGTCTGTATTTCCTTTATTAATTATGAAACTGCGGCAGTGCGTTGATACGGTTAAGCAGCCAGCGGGAACAAACGTATTTTTGTTTTTCTGCTTCAGAGGCTCGTCTGGAGAAGAATCTGGTGGCGACCTTCCTCTTGGTGCTGAAGCATTTCCTGCAGAGGCATCCCATCAACCAGGAGACTCTGCTCCACTCGCACGGCGTCGGTACACTGGGAGCTCTGCTTCAGAAGGTCTCTGTTCAACCCCTAATTTTGCACATGAGTAATATAACCAGGCTGTCGGGGTGGAATCATGGGAACTGTGTACAGGAGGGGACTCTGGGAGACACATGTCCTCAAACAAAAGAGCGTGTTTTCACTTTACTTTCATTATTTCCCTCTGTTCAAACATATCTGGGTTAGGTGTTTTTCTTTGGATCAGTTTGAAACAACAGTTTGAACAAAAAATATGAAATATTTACAGTTTGAGATTGTTTACACCAGAAACACAAACCCCACACCTCTGCAAGTTGTTAATTAAAACAATGCAAGGTTCGTGTTTTGGTGAGGGCAGGACTTCCCTGATTATGTTAATCCTGTTTCAGTCTCACTGATTAATTTCAGTTCAGCTTTAATTCTTTTTAGTTTTCCCTCCTCAGATGTGTGGTTTCCATTTTCCTGTCGTTATAACGGCGTAGGGATCTACAGGGATGTTTTACAGGCACTTATTTGGCCATTTCTACCAGCAGAGTGCATCCCACAAATTGCAATAAAGTCTCCACATAATATTAGTCCATGCAAATAGGACTTAAGCCTCTTCTGTTTTTCACCCTATTCAAGCTGGATTAGTTTGGTTCAGCAGCAGGGGAATGAAGAATTTTTGACTTCAATTTATTTTTGATAAAAGGGGCCACTTCTACCCTTTATTACATTACTCATACTGTATGAGACTCACATGGTGGGAGGATTATGAATGTTGCTGGACCCTCCCCCGCTGACGTTAATTGACCTCAGAAAGCTTTTGTCCTCGTCTGTAGTTTTGTCTGTGTTTGTTCTGTGCGTCTGTGTTTGTCTTCTCCTTTGTCTCCATCTCTTTCCCCTATTTACTCGTTCTTTAATTCTCAACTCTTTCTTTCTTTTCCTTTTCTTTCTTTTTGTTTGATCCATGTCCCGCTGTAATTATTTGTTTATCGAGGGGTTGAAAATACCTTTGATTCAGCATTTACACCATGGGAAAGTAACAGCCTCCTCAGGGACCCAGACACTTTGCTGTTGCAAAGTAACCACACCCTGTAAATGGTAAAAGTCCAAATAAACCACTAATGTGTTTCCCCATTCCAACATGCTCCTTATCTGTTTGTGGGGAGAGTTATGGGTGTCACATTACTTTATACTTGCTCCCTAACAAGCCTCATCATGGTTTATGGGACTATACATAATAAATACTTGTTTTATGTGTGACATTTCATATCATCTGTGTATTCTACTGTAATCTCTCCCCGCTTTGAGTTTCATCAATTTGCATGTGTGTCCCAGTAAATGTGCATATAATTGATCTTTTGCTTCGTTGTTTGTGTGTGTGTGTGTTTAGCTGCCGGCGGGTCACGTCGATGTCAGCGTGCTCGTTGCTATGCAGCTGCTGATCGAGCAGGTGACATATGAGAAGAACCAGGCGCTGCTGCAGCAGCTTCACACGCATCTACTGTTCAACTTCAACATCTGGAACAAAGGAGACTTCCCTCTGCGCATTGGTGAGATCGAAGTTTATGTAGCAAGGGATCATATTTTCATTAGCGAATGGGGGTGTAGCAACCAACAGCTAGAAGACTACAACAAACTACATAAAATAAAATGCATGCCAACTGTGCATTTTAAGAGCAGTTGTACTAAATTTTACAACACAGCTGTGTGTCTGCTTCCATCAGAGGTAGACCTCAGACCTGATGCTGGTCTGGATATGGATCTGACCAAACAGATCCTCCTCCAAATGCCTGAGCTAGTGTTAAAGCTGCTCACGGACCAATAATCGTCGGAACTGGTAATAAATATTTGACCACATCCTGCTGGTTTTTATATTATTTTTTCACACTGGCTGGTGTGATCGTAAAACAGGTGTGATTTTAAAAAGTCTTGGATATCCAAAAACTTACCCAACAAAACTTTAATAATGTGGAAATGGACCATTTGCATTAACAGGTCGACTGAAGGGCACAGTGTGCACATTAGTGTCACCAAAGTCTCAGAAATAGGTAAAAGCAATAAAAGAGGAATGAAACTATTATCTAAGTATCATGATATTTGTGTTGGTTGGTTTTGCTCCTTGTTGATTGTAGGTGTGTGTAGGTTGATTTGAGTTGGATGTGACACTGTGTGAAACATGACGTGAGTCTGAGTTGTGCCCTTGCTTTTTCTTCTCGTGAAGGTCATATCCAGTACATGTCCACCGTCATCAAAGACAACAGGAAACAGTTCAGGAAAAAATATGGAGTTCAGTTTCTGTTGGACACCGTACGCCTTTATTATGGGTGAGATTCCATATCCCAAAGTTCATACATGTACGGTGTTTTGTATATTTTCACCAAACGTCATCGTCGTCGTCATCGTCGTCGTTGTGTGTTCTGCTCTGCAGGAAGAGCAGTAATAAAGAGAGTGACCTGAGTGAGGATGACATCCGTACCATCCGGGCTTCTCTTTCTGGCCTCATCAAGTACTACATCAGCAAGGGCATGTCACAGGAGGAGATGCACAGCCTTCTGGGATATGTCGCTGCCATCGGAGACGAGGAACAGGTGAGGGGGTGGAGTCAGTTTTTTTAATGATAATATCCAGTAGAATTGTACTGAATCATTATTTTTCTACACCTGCTTGTACTGTTGCACTCAATCATACAGTATCTTAATGAGACTGTCCCCCAACAAGAACCGGAATACACAGAGAGTAAAACATTCACCATGAACAAAAGGTTAATTCATTTTCAGCCAGTCAGCAGCTCGAGAAACAGACTTTTAAGGCGTGCGGCACCAAAATCTCAGAAATCTGGAGTAGGTCAAGTTGTTATTAGAGTATATTTGTCAGATGACCTATATGTTGTGAATCTGGCTGATGCCACTACTTCTGCCATTTGAGGATGTCACTGTTGAATGAGATGATCTTTCACTGCAGGAGTTTCTGTTTCCCTGTCACGCTCACTGCAGTGACACCTGTACAGGAAGTTGTACAGCGTATTTCCCGCCTGGCAGCTGTTCTGCCATCCTCTCTCTCTCTACATTATTTTTATTCATTTTTCCCCCTCTGTAAGCAATATTCATCAGCTTTTGGCTGACGCACACCCCTGCATTGCTCGGCTGTTTTCCTGTGTGACTCTAAAGCTCCATCACTGACGGTTTCACCGGCCTCGGTATCTGTGACCTATGTTGTGAAATCCATTCCCTCCTCTCGTCACACCTCCTCCCCACCTCTCTTCCTGTTTTTAGCCCTGTCTCGTTTTTCATTTTGTCTGTCACTTTGCATATCCTCTTACACCGCAGCGCTATATGTGGGAGCTTACGTCACCCTCTATGAACATATGGTCAATATAATCGCATGATCCTCATCCACTGCCGGGCATCTGCCACCTCTCCGATGCTGTATATCCATTCATCAAGCCAGACTGACTCTACAAATGTCACACTCAATGAATCATGTTAAAACGTGACTGAAAAATCCACCTATCAAAACGTAACCTTTAGTTAAACAGTTCATACAGATGATTTCTTTATGTTTTACATTCACCGTATTTGGTGAAAGATGTGACTCTGTGCTGATTAATCACTACCACATAACGCATGATCAGAGCTTCTCCAACAATGTAGGAATCTGTCAAAACAATCTACCTTTACTATGAAAAAGTAAGTAATGTAGGTTGTTCCTGCGTGTGTTGCAGCTGTGTGGGCTGCTGGAGTTGTTGCTCAGCCTTCTTCAGAGCAGTCCGGCCAGGGACCAACTCTTCCTGCTCCTCTTCGAGCCCGGGGCGGCCGACTCCTGCTACGCTCTCCTGCTCAATAACAAACACTCAGACCGACTCAGAGAGCTCGTCTTCAAGGTGCGTTACAGCCAGCTACACCATGGGAAACTCCAGTGTTTAATTATCACCATCTTGTTGTTCATGAGTAAAACGCCCCCTCACCTCTGTGCAGCTCTTCGAGCGCATGTTGCGCTGCGACCGCGTCTATGAGAAGAATAAGCAGCGTCTGCGGCTGAGAGAGGCGGGTTACTCCAGCCTGTCGTTGCTCTTCTCTGAGCTGCACATCACTCAAACTCTGATCCGCTGCCTCCTCAACCAGGTCCTCCACACAGGTCAGTCTGTCCTCTGTCTGTCTGGCCTGAAGTATCATTACTCAGTCTGGCTCTTCCACTGTTTTTCTCTCCTCCTACAATAAATTTCCTCTTCAGTTTAATGTTTTCAGCCTCGGTTGAAGACTAGCTTTTAATCAATTAGCAGGGTTTTTTAAATTTTTTTATCCCATCAATTAATTCTCTGCTGTCCACCAAGGCCAGTGTCATTACGTGATTGCTTCTTGAATTAATGGAATCAATCACATGAGTCTTCATGGGGCATTAAGCCAGAACTCATTATTTTTCCTTTTTATTTGCCATGTTTTTATTTACAATTAAAAACAGCCTTTTACATTCAGTATACTGTATAATTCAGCATGTTCTCCTCTAAGTCTTTAGAAGAAATCATAAAAAAAATCATATTAATAATCTGTTAACATAATTAATGAGGGGCCTCCATATTTTCTCAAATATTTGCTGTTTAGCCTTTAATATGTAGGTTATCCATTATAATGGGAGGCTTGATAACATCCGTTTCATTCATTGAGTAGTGCTTGTGCTCTGTCACTGTTTTTCTATAACTGTGCAACATATCTTTTGGCCTAAAGCAAGCTGAGGTCTATAAATGCTTGTTCACTTTTACTATAATTATGTTTCTCCAGAAATATTCCCGACAGAACAAAGTTCAGGGTGAAGTACGATTTATTTTGAAGTAATTTTCTCAATTACAACTAGAACTGAAACCCTGAAAACCTGTGTCAGAGGCAGTGGAGAGAAAAGCACGGACGATAGCATTCGCACATGGAAATGCCAATAAAGTGTGTGTGTGTGTGTGTGTGCATCTAAAATCTGCAGATCAAGTGGTGAACTACAAGGACCTGATGTCTCTGGTGCAGCTCACTCACCGGGCCGGACCCACTGTGCGCCTCATCGTCTGCAAGAGGGTGAGCGAACACCTGCAGATGCTTCGCTGTATTTATTATTCATACTGAAAAACAGCAGAGGCAGGAAAAGACTTTGAGGTTCAGCGATCAATTTGTGTCGTCAAAGGCTTTGTTGACGTTTCCCACTCACCCTCATATTTACAGACGCACACGTGGTCACTGGTAGTAACAGTGGTTTTAACCAGCAGCTACACCCAGCTAATGGGTAACTGGTGTGTCCGTTTACAGCCAAACAAACTCATGTTGTTTTAATAAAGAAGTCAGACTTTATCTGCCTTTTCCCATCATGCCATGGGCATGCAATCAGATAGAGGTTATCTGATTGCATGCTGCACACAAAGCACGTAGTTTATCCTCACAACAGGAGCGCATAGTACAAGGAGTTGTTACCGTAATGAGAGTGTGAGCTGCCGGTATCCTGCAGATCTTCACCACTACCACTCAGTTCCCTGTGTTTCCTGTGACTGTATCACAGTATGTGTTTCTCCAGTTGAATGCTTTTAATGTGAAGCAGCAGCTGCAGGAAATGTTGGGTTTGCATTGGCAGGAACTAAATACAGCTCTGGGAGCTCTGATATATAGATATATATCTGAATCCTGTGCAGGGATGGCGGATTCCGCTACTAATTAAAACCACTGTATTAAGAATTAATTACAGTATGTGAATGCATTGAATTTAATACACTAATGCCCGTTGCAGAAAAACTTTTGCAGATTCTCATTCAGGTTACTGATTCTCTTGACTATAACTGCTTTACTTATATCCTGTTGCAAAGGCCCAATAAATATAAGTTTCATGTCTTTAGTATTTCATACATTACTAATACATTTCTAAGGTTTAAGTGTCTCAGCAGGTAACTGCATTCGAAGTCAGGAACCAGTAATAATCAAAGTGAATTATTAGCAGTTAGAGTTTAGCTTTGAAGATGCTACATGATTCCATTGTCCCGCAGGTATCATTAAAGTTTAACACTCTTCCTCTTCTGTCTTTAGGTGTACCAGCTGCTACAGTCCCAACAGGATGCTGCGTTCCAGATCTCAAAGCAGCAGTGTTGGCAGGACACCCTCATGCGGCTGTACCTGCGGGGGGAAGGGTCCTTGCCGCTGCGGAGCGCCGACACCGTCAGCACCTGTAGCCTGGACCTGAGCCGGCCCGGCGGCAGCGGCGTTAACCGCCTGGAGCTGCCGCTGGAGAGGCGGGCACGGGCAGGCAGCGCCGGCCGCCTGGACCGGCTGGAGGACGACCGGCTCAGCATCGGTGACACGCGCTCTGTGGACAGCCTGGAGAACGGCGACGTCATCTCGCTGCTGGACACGCCGTCCTCCTCCGCGTCCACCGAGCCACAACTCCACGTCAAGCCCTGGGTGGTGGGAAAATCAGGCGGGCTGACGCTGGACCTGTCCCACCTGCAGGCCTACGAAGGCGCAGAGAGCGGCAGCCAAACACCCGGGAGCATGCCCAGCACGCCGTCACCACTCGAGGCTTCAAAGCCTTTCCCAGGAAGCTCCGGAGATCGAGATGCAACTTCCTCCCTGACTGAAGACAGCTTCCTCTTCAGTGACAACATCTCACTGGGGGAATCCTTCAACAATGCTGAGGTGAGATGAGGGATCACATGGATTTGAACTTTTGACCAGATCAGACTCGTTTCATCTCGCCGACATAACTGGAGAGGAAGGCCGGGTTAGGGAGAGAGTTTTGTCCTCACAACGTTGTTTACAGTCATAGTTTATTAAAGGACGAGGTTAGCAATATTCTGTGTTTTATTATTGTCGATAAATCCCAACTGCTAGTTAGTCTGTCTCTCAATACTTGATGTTATTCCTTCCCTGTCTCCTGTCTAAGGGTAAATCTTAAATATAAATTATGAAATTCTTTGTTTTTACATGGTGTACTTGTAGTTTTAACCAACGTTACTCAGACAGGAGTAAATGGTGCATTTGTTGGGGAGTATTTTCAGCTGCACATTTGGTGCTGTACTCAGTATTCACAGCAGCAGGACGTTATCACTGGGATCACCTCAAAATAAACTACAGTGTGTGCTCATCGTAACAAAGGAACATGTCATCCAGTGACTCACTGATGTGTTTTGATTAGTTTTTTTCTTGGTTGGAAAAGGAGTTTCAGAAGAGTAATATCACCTACAGTAAGTCCTAAAATAGTTTCCCCGAGCCGTGAGCAGGTGATAAGAAACCGAGGATGTCTTTAACAGCAAGAGCCTGTGACTCAGTGAGTGAAATGTCACTGCCATCTCAGGGAGCTCAGCTCTGACTTTCATCTAATGCGCTCTCTTCATCACTGGAGGGCAGAGGTTGAAGACAGACAACCTGTCTCCTCCCGCAGCAGGAAGCTGTCACTTACAGGATTCGTTTTTAAAGGAATTTGTCAGTGTGTGGATGTCCCATCATCCATGAAACAGCAGATTATCTTTAAAGACACATTAAAGGGGGATCGTACTGAAACTCCGACTGTCACCCAGCTCTGAGTAGTACGAGAAAGAAGTCACACATTAGAGAACTGTAGGATTGGCCTTTTTCTATTGTCATCTTCTATATTAATGTTTTGTTTTTCTTTCCAGCATCCTGTTACCCATCATTGCAGTTATACACCAGAGGAATCAATAAAGTTTAATTTAATTTAATCTCTTCTAATGATGGCTTCTGTCTTTCTCTTTCTGTCTCTCTGGTGTGTGTCACCCCCTAGCGGGCGGAGGAGGAGCTGTGCGGCATGCTGCTGGAGATCGTGCTGTGTGTGATGTGGCGAGGCGTCGAAGGTTCGGATGATTCGGCGTGGCTGGAGCGCGGCCAGGTCTTCTCAGCTCTCACCAAACTGGGAACTGCCAACGAGCTGCTGCTTCCTGTCGACCAAATCAAACTGAGGTCAGGATTCAGTCAGCGATGGACGTGATCGAGGCCGGACACTTCCGGAGACGGTCTCGCCAACCGTATCTAATGCTCTCTGTGTTCTCTCTTTTCTCTAGTCTAATGGAGCGTATGTTGGAATGGGCGGTGAGCGATAACCGCGAGGCGTCGGCCGCCACGTTGCCACAACACACGGAGAACGCAGTGCGGTTGCTTCACATGGTACAAGACTTCCTGCAGGCGGAGGGCCTGGTCAATCCAGCGCTGTGGACGGAGAAGGTGCTGGAGGAGACTGTGACGCTGATGGACAGCCTCATGGTGTGGTACTCTGCTGGCACCCAGTGGTTCCAGCTCTCCCAGGTCGGACTCAGACTGCTGCTGGGCTTCATGGCGCAGGAGGATCCTGAGGTGAACTGAACACCATTTCATCCGTTTTCAATATTTCTCAATGTGTATTTCTTGTGGCTTTTTCTGTGAAACGCAAAATGATAAACTTACCTGTGTCTCAGGTGTGTGCCATGGCCACTGCCAAGCTCAACGGCATCCTGCAGACCAAGGAGGTGTCCAGCCAGGACGAGGCCTGCTACCTGCTCGGGAAGGTGGAGGGCATCCTGCGACGCTCCATGCAGGAGCAAACGGAGGAGACCTACTCTTTCCTGGTTCCTCTGCTGCGAACGCTGCTCTCCAAAGTCCACCGCCTCCTCTACATGGAGCTGCACCTGCCCCAGCTCCCGGACACCAACGGCAGCCCGTCCTTCTTCGAGGACTTCCAGATGTACTGCAAGTCACCTGAGTGGCGCGTCTACCTCGACAAATACGTACGAGATTGAGATTTACAGTTACGGTTGCTGTGTTAGATTATAGTGAATCAGAATTTTAATAAATATGTAATGTCGTTTTTCCGCAGATTATTCCGTATATGAAGCAGTATGAAATCGAAACATTCAGCCAAGGTCATGAGACCATGGCTCTGTACTGGAAGGAGTGCTATGAGGCCTTCATGGTCAACCTGCATAAGAGAGAGAGGGAGAGGGGCGAGAGCAAGATCCGCTTCCAGGTGAGTTGGATCAGTAATAAACAGATAAGGATTGAATATGGCTCCTGTGTGATGTTCTCTCCCTTGAACTCCTCTCTTCTCTTGTCCTTCAGGAACAGTTTGTGGAGCCCTTCTCACGCCGAGGCCGTCAGGAGAACCTACGCTACAACAGCATGCTGAAGCAGCAGCACAGCCAGAACAGCGCCACCCTCAGGCAGTGGAAGGCAGCACGGCGGGGTCTGGTGTGTGAGAGAGGACCGTGGGCTGACAGGTATTAACTGCGTGTCTGGTCTTTTTCTTCAGTAGTGTTGTAAATCCCATCGACTTTAATATTTACTTACTTAGAACAATTTCAGCAGCAGTGGTAGAAAAACAAAAACAAACAGGAAGAAGTTTGTGTGTATAAATATAAATTGTATAAATATGACATACAGGCATGTTTTGTAATTATCTCTAACAGGCAGCAGGATGAGATGCACTGGAGGGTTTCCAGTGCTGAGAACTACTCCCGCATGAGGTTGAAGTTGGTCCGTAATTACAACTACGACCCTCACAGGGAGGCCAGCGCCCTGAGAGACAACCTAGGTGAGACAGCGCTGCTTCTGTACGGGCTCTGGGCAACACTGACTCTTGGTGTTTGTGAGTTTGGACTGAAACGGTTTCGTACAAATTTAATCTTTTAAAACTACACTTCACAACTTGGCCCATCGATGGCTGTCTTGCAGCAGAAAGCGACCTACTCCAAGTGTGTGAACAGTGTATCGTGAGCACACTCATCCAGCCTGCCCTTGATAAAACAGATTAAAATGGACTGACCTTGAAAATCCTCTTTAAGCTGAACTTGTGTCCTGCCCCTCCATGAGGAGGACGATCCACTCGGCTCCGTATATTCTTCCTGATTAAGTTGTATGAGTCTTTATTTCATTTATCTTTTTTTATTTGATAATATTACAAATACAGTTTGATGCAGGTCCAAGTCAAAAACAGACTCCTACACTTTTCAGTTCTATCTAAATATTGTCTTTCTGATTTTCTGTGAAACGTTTCCACTTGGTCGTGATTATCGGCTTTAAAAGAAGCTTCTGAGTTCGCTACGTCTCAAGAAGTGTAGGATTTCTCATGTGTGCACTTTGCTGGGTTCATAACTTTTTAATTTATAGCAAACAAACAGGAGCCAGCGGCAGTTCCGCAAGTGCTGAAATGACCCGGCTGAAAGGTGCCAGATTCAATATAAGTTAATAAAAGTGACCCATTACACTGGCCAGGAACTTTGTGAAATGATAGCAATGAAATAGTTTCGTAACAAACAAACAACTGAAACTCTGAGCCTGATGTCCGGCGTAGATCCTGCAGCAGCAGAACAAAAGGAAGAAAATCAGTATCTGCATTTTCTGCTGCTTGATTGATTCCAGAGGCTTTTGACGGGGAATAATCAGCTTGTAGTGACTTGTAGTAAAAAATATAATCCAGATGAGTGATGTGAGAGAACAGGTTTTAAAAACGTGTAACTCTTCTGTTTATGAAACAAAAACACTGACCTGAGCTGACAGGAAATGCAGGGTGTTATGTTCCCGGCAGATGTTTATCTAGTTTGTCGTGCCAAGAAGTTAATTTACAGCACTGCCGTGTGAAATTAACCTCTGCATCTCTCCGGATGGCCTCCTTTCAGTTTTTAATTCCCACCTGTCTCTCCTGCTGCGTTCAGGTGTCCATCAGCAGCGTGTGAACCCGGAGTCTCTGCTGCTGGAGGCCGTGAAGCAGGTCAAAGTCAGCGACCTGGAAGATGACATCCTGGAGCTGCCGGAGGACGACCCCGCTGCTGCCAGCAACCAGTCAGTCACCAGATACGGTTCACATAACAGACGCTGAGCTGAGAATTATTGAGATGTCTTGTAACGGCCCACTTCCCTCTCCGTGTCCTGCAGGGTTGAAGCAGAGGAGGCCGGCCAGAAGGAGAAGCTGGTGCTGTGGGAGGACTGTGAGCTGGTGACGGTGGTGGACGTGGTGCCCGGCCGCCTGGAGCTCACCACCCAGCACATCTACTTCTACGACAGCAGCCAGGAGAAAGAGGAAGGTGAGGAGACGGTCGGAGAGGTGGATGAGACGATATGGGGGGAAAAAAGAAAACATCGTTAAACTTTTACTTACACTAAGTGTCTGCTTGTTTCCTGAAGGAGTCGGCCACGACTTCAAGTGGCCCCTCTCTCAGATCCGAGAGGTCCACCTGCGACGATATAACCTGCGTCGCTCTGCTCTGGAGATCTTCCTCATCGACCAAACAAACTACTTCCTCAACTTCAAGAAAGAGGTGATGAGCCACAAGCAAAACTAGATGATGTTACCTCACGTAAACAACGTATTACAACATCCTTATTTCTTCTCTAAACAGGCGAGGAACAAAGTCTACAGCCGCATGTTGCTGCTGCGATCGCTCAGCCTGTATGGAACCCGCTCGCCACAGGAGCTGCTCAAAGCCTCTGGACTCACGCAGGTCAGGACACAGGGATGTTGCTATCAGTTACAGATATAAATAATAAAGGTTAAAAGTTTGTTCCATCCAGAAAGACCTTTTTTAGTTTAGAAAGTTTGGAAAAGTTGTGGCATCCAGACAGTGTGCCATTTTTCTAATGACGAAATAATTTCTTTTCAACTGCTTCAAATTCAATATGGCCTCCCAGACTCTTGTGTTAAGGTATATACACAGACTGCATCTATTATAAATAAGAGCTGTGGTAACCAGAGGAGTGATTCCTGATGCTGTTACACTGGGTTTGTTTATGAATTAAAGTGGAAAAGAACTTAAATCAGCTTGTGGTTTGAACAGTTTCTACACCAGCAGCTGTTTTTATTTTTTTTCTAAAAGATCTTGGAACATGAACTAATGACTTCCTCTCTCTCTCTCTCTCTCTCTTTTCGTCTCGCCGTCACACAGAAATGGGTGAACCGGGAGATCTCCAACTTCGATTACTTGATGCAGCTGAACACGATTGCAGGCAGAACGTACAACAACCTGGCTCAGTACCCAGTGGTACGTTCCTCGCTGAACACTTTACTGTTTAGCTGTGGCGACCGGGTGAACGTGAATGTTTGATTCTGTCGTGCGTTTGTTTCCAGTTCCCCTGGATTCTAGCGGACTACACTTCGGAGGAGCTGGACCTGTCTGATCCTCGGGTGTTCAGGGACCTGTCAAAGCCCGTGGCCGTGCTCAATGAACGCAACGCCAAGGCAGTTAGAGAGAAGTATGTTTCACCCGTCCGTATTTCACTTCTTCTGTTGAATCTTCGTCCGAAACATCTGTGAATAATAAAATGTGTCAGCAGCTACTCAGTAAGCAACAATACCTTATATGTGTCCATCAGGTATGAAAGCTTTGAGGACCCAACAGGCACCATTGACAGGTTCCATTATGGCACCCACTACTCAAACGCCGCTGGGGTGATGCACTACCTGATCAGAGTGGAGCCCTTCACCTCCCTGCACATCCAGCTGCAGAGTGGACGGTAAGGAGGCGAGACCACCAGGCCGTCAGCAGCTCCTCCTCTTCGTCCTCCTCCTCCTCTCATTTATCTGCTCTGATCATATCATCCACATGAGGAAGTTTGTCACGTAGACATGTATGTGCCTGCACGCAGCTGCCGCCTCCAGCGTTCATTATATTATCTTTGGCTCAGGTTCGACTGCGCTGACCGCCAGTTCCACTCCATCCCAGCGACATGGCAGACGCTCATGGACAACCCCAACGACGTCAAGGAGCTCATCCCAGAGTTCTTCTACTTCCCAGAATTCCTAGAGAACCAGAATGGTGAAGTTCAAATCAAATCCTTTTCAAATGAATTTCCAAAAATGTAGGGATGATCATAAATATGTTATCAATTCATTCTTCTGATCCCTTTTTTTTTCCTTTCACCTTGTTTCTCTCCGTCTGTTTCCTCGCCGCTTTTGTTCCCGCTGTCCCCCAGGCTTCGATCTGGGTCGCCTGCAGATCTCTAAAGAAAGGGTGAACGATGTTGTTCTGCCCAAATGGGCCAAGTCCCCGGAGGACTTCATCTACAAGCACCGCAAAGCCCTGGTGAGATGACAGCGCAGCTTAGGGATCGTTACCTGTAACCATTAATTAAATGATTAAAAGCTCACACTCATGCATGTGCTTGTAGTAGATAATGCCTTTGTATCATGTAGGTTTTTGGGTTACAACCTCAGTGTGTGTGTTTGTGTTTTTCTAACAGGAGTCAGAGTATGTATCAGCGCACCTTCATGAGTGGATCGATCTGATCTTTGGTTACAAGCAGAAGGGCCCTGCAGCGGTGGAGGCCCTCAACGTCTTCTACTACTGCACATACGAGGGTAAAACGTCCACAGCAGCTCTCATCCTCATCATGTGACATCACGGTTTTATTCCCCCCCCCCCCAAAATTCCTGTCATATGCAGATGTGTTGGTGTTATTAAAATACACAAACTGTGACAGTGACATGTTGCAGTTCGTTTCTAAAGGAGGATGATTGATAGCAAAAGTGTTTTGACTTCTATTGTAGAGAAAAGTGCTTGTTGAGACATGGAAGTGCAAACATTGCACAGGTGAAACCGCTGCCTTTGTGAATTGTAACTGTGGTGCTGTGCTGCTGCAGGTGCCGTGGACCTGGACGCCATCACTGATGAGAAGGAGCGGAAAGCCCTGGAGGGCATGATCAGCAACTTTGGACAGACGCCCTGCCAGTTACTCAAGGTGCAGCCACTAAAGACACAGGATGTTATTTTAACTTTAACACAAATAAACAACAGACTTGTAGCTGCTGTTACTTCAGGTAATGAAGCTCTGTAGCTGCAGTTCAGATTGAGACGTTTGCATGTGTGTGTTTATGTAGGAGCCCCATCCGGTGCGTCTGTCTCAGGAGGAAGTGGAGAAGAGGAAAGCCCAGCTGGACTCATGTCCTCTCAGCATGTTCGAACACCTCAGTGACCTCAAGTCCTTCTTCGTGGAGGTTCGATCTCTCCGCTGCTCGTTTGCTCTTCTCTTACTTTCACAATTTATCAGAAGCTGGTAAAATAAAAGCAAAACATGTGCATTCCTGTTGCAGGGCATCAGTGACAACGTGCCGCTGGTTAAGGCTGTGGTGCCAAAGAATCAGTCCCATTCCTTCATCACCCAAGGGAGCCCCGACACTATGGTGAGCCTCGATGCTAATCGTAATAATAATTATTATAATAAAGGCTGTTTCATATTTTTTCTACTACTAAATTAAATCAGTGTTAGGCAATAGACATTGATGTCGTCATGGTATTTTGTCTCCAGGTGACAGTGAGTCAGAACTGCCTGGTTGGGACCCATGGGTGGCTGCCTTACAACAAGAATATCTCCAACTACTTCACTTTCATCAAGGATCCCACAGTGTCCAACACCAAGTGAGAACATGCACAGCACATGTACAGGAAATACCTCTGTGGTGCAGCCTCAAAGATCTGTCTAAACTCTCCCCGTCTTCTCCCAGGACGCATCGTTTTCTGTCGGGGCCCTTCGCCCCCGGTGTAGAGGTGACGGCGGGGCTGTTTGTGGTCTCCCACGACGGCAAGTTGCTCTTCAGCGGTGGCCACTGGGACAACAGCCTCCGGGTCACCTCCCTGGTGAAGGGCAAGACTGTGGGACAGCACATCCGACACATGGGTAAAGAAAGCTTGACCTGTGTCACATCTAAAACAGCAAGTTCATATTATTTAACTGAATAAGTGCCTGTAAGCTCCAGCAGGTGATGTACTTAATATACCGTAGCTCTCTGGTCAAAGTAATTAGCCCTTCCTCCCACTGTTTTTGACCTGCAAGGTAAAGACACAGGCGTGTGAGCAGCAGGCGGCAGCTAGATTCAGTTTTGAAATAAGTGCGAGCACAAGGGCGACGGGACGACGCTGTGGTTGAACGTGAAGCAGATTGTGATGTGTTTGTGTTCAAACTGAGACTTCACATTGGCTGAAAAAGAAAAAAAAAAGGTAAAGTTCTGTATTAATCAGCGTTTTTGTTCATCTCTCTTCCAGACATTGTGACCTGTTTGTCAACAGACCACTGCGGCATCCACCTGATCTCCGGCTCCAGAGACACCACCTGCATGGTGTGGCAGGTTCTGCAGCAGGTGAGGACGCTGCGGGTTTAACCTGCAGCCAATGAAACATGATGAAATCTGTTTTTTAAAAAATGCATCATTGACTCTCTAGAGAGAGATCAGCTCGGTCTGACGTCTAATCACGCCGTTACCCGCAGGGCGGAGCTCCTGTGGGTCTCCATCCCAAACCAGTTCAGGTGTTGTATGGACACACGGACGAGGTGGTCAGCGTCAGTATCAGCACTGAGCTGGACATGGCTGTGTCGGGATCACGGGTGAGAGCACCGCACACGCTGTTCATCTCCCGTCATGTCTCGTCTCTAAAATATAAACTTTTCTTTATTTCTAAAACTGGAAATGGTTTGAACCAAAAGTTCCAACATAAAAAATGAGTGTTGTCAAAAGGGAAGTTTATTTCTAGGTAAGATATTGATGAATGAAACTCTGTGTGTGATAGTAAGTATTTGCTGCCGCTCTCTGTGCTGCAGGACGGGACAGTGATCATCCACACGGTGCGTCGGGGTCAGTACATGCGTTGCTTACGACCGCCATGTGACAGCTCCCTGCCGCTGTCCATCCTCCACCTGGCTGTGTCCTGGGAGGGTCACCTGCTCGTCCACACCTGCGTCGAGGGCAAAGCAACACTCAAGGTGCGTGCACTGTTTTCTTCCACACAAGAAAACTGTGAAAGTGTTGGGATAGAGCAGGTTAAGATGAACTTTTTCCTCTTCCTCCAGGATAAAAACGCCCTTCATCTTTACTCTGTAAACGGAAAGCACCTGGGCAGTGAGCCTCTGAAGGAGCAGGTGACTGATATGTGTGTTTCAGGGGAGTATGTAGTCATCGGCAGTGAGCAGGGATACCTGTCCATCCGTGACCTCTACAGGTAAACTCCCAAAACATTATGTTTGTGCAGGAGCAAACAGATTTCGTCATCAGACCTGTGTTCACTTTGGCAACTGTCCAGATTGTGGTCTAACCCCAGTCTGAACGTAGACACTGTAGACATTAACCCGTACTTTGTTCCTCCTGCTCAGTCTGTCTCTGTGTGCCGAGCCCATGGCGATGCGGGTGCCGGTGCGGTGCGTCTCCGTCACCAAGGAGCAGAGCCACGTCCTGGTCGGCCTGGAGGACGGCAAGCTGATCATCGTGGGCGTGGGCAAGCCGGCGGAGGTAAAGAACTCGCTGAGGAACTACATCGCTCAGAGCCTGGAGGGATCGCCGCTCATGGCCTCCCCTCTGCTGGCCCCGCTTCGAGCTCGCTCGCCAACCCGCCTGCTGCACCAGCGCGACCAGCTGGTGTTCAGCCCCCCTGCCCGCTCCCACAAACCCTAGCAGCCCTAGTCCTAGTTCCTCTCTGCTTGCATTGCTGTAGATCACACACACACACACACACACACACACACACACACACACACGGATAAAGCTGCTGCACATATCACCCATGTTGCAATGCTCGGCCTCAATGCCCTCAAAGACCTTTTACCCCACAATCACCTCTCCTTCTCAGGGATGGTTGTCACCCACACTCATTTGACCTCCCCACACACACACACACACACACACACTCACACTCACTTACATCTGAACCACACAGATTTAACACATTCCTTCAGCACACAGCTGATCAGACACAAACCACAACTGTGATATGAAAAGAACTTGTTGTGTTTACCTCATTATGTTTTATGTTTTTCTTTTTTATATTTGGCATCTGTGCAATATCTGACTTGATTTGGCCATTGACCTGGGATAACCTCCCTCCCATGCTGTTTACCTGAAGTGTCATTATGTTAGGTGTTTGAGTGTGCTCTACAAACTATAACAAATATGCTGTGAAACAAACTTAACACTAATTAACGCTTCTGCAAACTCAAGCCATATGAAGAGTGTAGCTACAATCTAATAATGCAAAACAAATAATCCTGCGCCAAGATAGACTCTAATGTTTGATAATGTAAATAGTGTGGTGGTGTAGATGTAGGACCTTTCGCACAGGAACTCCCCCTCTCAACAGTTTGATCCGAATCATCGCACCTCTTCATCTTTCCCGCTCAAATTGACTCACACCGACGTGAATCAAGCTTTGATTTTTTTTTTGTTCTTTACTGCCTCACAAGTCAATCAAGCTCCAATGAACTAATCAATCACTCATGAATCATATCCCTCCCCCCCCTCTCCTTTTTGTTTCCTTTGACTTCACGCTTTTCTTTCCCAACTCCCCTCGTCCCACTTCCCCCTCCTCCTCCTCTTCTTCCTCTTCCTCCAACTCTTCTCAGATGCGTTCGGGCCAGATCACACGGAAGCTGTGGGGCTCCAGCAAGAGACGGACCCAGATCTCTTCAGAGGAGACGGTCTACAACACCCAGCACGACCACAACTGACCCACCCCAGTCCCCTGAGCCCTAAACCCCCCCCACCCCCACCCCCACCCTCCACGCACATCCCACATTCCTGTCACCCAGTTCGCCTCCATACTTGTCAAACGCCACACACGTCGCCTCATTCGGTCCCTTCAGTTCCTCCTGCAGTGTAACGGGCTGGTGTGCAGCTGTGTTGTGGCGCTAGAGCATCAGATATCACAAAGTCTGCACGTTCATGCGTCACGATCGTGTTTTGTGTGTATGTGTGTGTGTGTGTGCGCGTGCGTGTGTGTTCTCCTGCTTTGGATTGACCGTATGGCGCTGGCGCTGTGGTTCAAATCCAGAAGTAGCGCCAGCCAGCCTCAGCGCCACCACGCCGCTCCCCGCCACTCTCTCTTCATCCCTCGAGCAACATTCACACCATCCTCCACCATACTGTTTCTGCAGTACGGTCAGATCGGTCAGCTAACTGCTCTCTTGTATGTCTGTGTATCTATGTATATATGTGTGTGTGTGTGTGTGTGTTACCATGCTCTATCTCAAAATATAGTTTCAAGTGGCCTTTTCACCCCCCCCCCTCCTCAGTTTGCCTTCGACGCAGACAGGCGGGCCTGTGCTCTGTAGGCCGAGACTTTTCATGGTTGCCTCAAAGCTGCCACACAGCAGCCTTATGCAGTAAGACGGCTCCATCACTCATCAGACCAAACTCTCTGCCTTTTCCATTGGATTTTATACATGTATGTGCGTTTGTGTGAGTTGTTTTTTTTTTTATTTGTTTTTGTATTGTGGATTTCTTTTTTTGTTGTTTTTACTTTTGGTTCTTTTTTTTTCTTTTTTTTGACAAATTTATGCATGTGCCCAGAAAACTTGGCATCTCTTCGTATGCATGGTATTTTTTTGTCCATTTTGAGATTAGGTAGCGATTGAGAAGGAAGGAGTGTTTGTATTTTTATTTTTTAAGTTAGGATAATAGCTGACTTGTTCTGTTTGAAATGTAAAAAAAAACAAAAAAAAGCGGAAGATAGCATCTGTCTTTAATGTTAGGATATCGCTTAAGATATAGTTTTGTATGAAAAAAAAAAGAAAAAATCACTACACTACAGGTGAAACACTACATCAAGACAACAAGCTTCCACGTGACGGTTTATCACAGCAGCACAGAGAAAACAACTTCAACTCCTTATCTCCATGCTTCATCGAATGTTTTTTAAGTTACTTGAATCCGTGTTTGTTTATTTATAAGTAAAAGTAGCAGTTTTCTGTCTCCTGAACGCAGACACACGCTAAACTCTTCTGACTGTTCAGACACCTGTGAAAGAAGGAGAAAGAAGAAATCCTCAAGGGCTTTACGAGATGTCAGTGTTAGCAGCAATACAGCTCCTTCATCGGGCGCCTGTCGACGCTTTCTTCCCGCATAGGTTGCTCAACCAGCCCTCTGCTGTACCTCCAGTCTTCCTGTAGCTTAACTGGGAGAGTAAATGTACCCCAACCCCCCCCCTTCCCACCTTTACCCCCCCACAGCTGCCTTTAGCTCTCACCCTTACCTCTAACTTTCATCCTTTCTTATTTTCACATCTCATTCTCCTCCCTGCTCATTGTGACGCGACTGATTTCAGAGGAGTTTTTCCTTTTTTCGAGGGGCATCAAGACGGTTTGCACGCCTTGTTTATGTCGCTTTGGAGACGTGTTGTCAGTGTGTGTGTGTGTGTGTGTGTGTGTGTGTGAGAATGTGATTTCTTTTCTCTGAATCACAACAAAAGCCACAGTATGAAGCTTCTGTGGATGAGACTGCGTGATTCATCATTTTTGCACCCTACTTGTGTGTGTGTGTGTGTGTGTGTGTGTGTGAGGACATGCTGATGATGCATGTGTTCATTTTTTTTATTTTTTATAGCCAAATTCTTGATTTCATCATACATGTTGATGTGGTGTCTCTGATTGTGTGAACCATGGCAGCCCCTGATTGTTGTGGCTCACTGACGGGTTTGGCATTGGACACAGGGTTGCCCTAATGGTTCTTTCTCTCTCTCTTTTGTGATTTTGTATTAAGCTTTTATTTAAATGTCACAGCAAGGTAGTGCAAAGACCAATCTGTGTCCTTCTTTAAGACATTTCTGTTAAAGGTGTTTTTCAATGTAATTTTTTTATTTTATTTTTTTCTGTCTTCATCCACATTTGTCATGACGACAAAAGACCACTGTTTATTGAGTTGTTCCACGACTGCAACAAACGGAGTGCCTTTATCCCCAGTGTGGTGTTAACATAGAGCTAGGTTATCTGTCATTTCTGAAGCTTCTCGTCCCTGTAAATCCAACAACGAAAGCAGCATTCCACGAGTTAAACCTCCGCAGTGTGAACGGGAACCAAGACTATAGGACTTCAAGGCAAAATCAAAAAGTACTATTTTGTGTCTTAGCGACTCTTCTCTGTGACTGTCACCAAATGGATGTGTGTATATCTGTGATTATTTATGAATACAGTATATAATGTACAGCATGATTTTTATTTCAGCGTATTTGAAATGTACTTTTGCACTTTCCAGGTACTAAATTGTAACAAATTGTTTTAACTTGGCTCCCTAATCTGTACAAACTGCTTTGTATACACAAGTGGAAAATGATCATTAAAGTCTTGTCTAAATTTAAATGTAATTGTGTGTGTCTGAATGAAGAGTGACTTCCGTGGCTGAGGTAAGAACTGAGGTAAAACACAAACAGAAACACATGTATATCAAATGTTTTATTGGAGGAAGACATCCCAAAGTAATGGAAACAATGTTGACTGTGAGAACAAACCAAGATGGCCGCTCTCTCATGCTGTGTCTCTTTGTGGTCTTCAGGCAGTGATTGGGTACGAGCAGATGGACGCCCTCTCCAGTTCACAATCAGCTGCCGTCCACCAGCTCTCATCTGCAAGACAGGGTAGGGACAGATTTATTAAAGACCTAACATAACTCACATTCCTAGGGTGTTGTGTTGTGAATTCTGAGAATGTGTAACTGTGTAAAAGGGACAGAACAAAGAGGAAACATGTCGGAGATTGTTATCCTTAATGCCACGGGGCAAAGACTGCCATAATACAAGTTCATTTTTTTGTATCTTAACTTTGAATTCTTACGATAGTTACTGTGCTATTTCTAAATAAGTCATCTGTGTGTGAGGGCAAGTCTTACCAATTTTGAACATCTCCAGACAGACAGGTTTGTCAGTGTGAATGTTGGGGTGTCCTGGCATCCAGTCGCTGTAACTCCACTGTGATCTGTCTACCCATGATGCCTGCTGGTTCTGAGGTGGGTAACACACACACACAGTGAATATAGCAGCACCACACTGTAATAATACTCTAACATACTTACATGTCCTGTGTTTAAAATGAAATATTATCATCAAAATGTACTTAAAATGAAAAGATAATTAGAAGCTGACAAATAATGTGGTGGAGTAGAACATTAATGCAAGTCTCAAGTACATAATATGGAAAATAAAAATAAAGTCTTGTCTAACTTTCCCATTTCACTTTTTTTTTTGCTTTCTGGCCTCCTTTAGTGACAAGACAGAAACAGATGGAACATTTTTAGATAAAAGTTCAAGAGTCAATGTTTTACCAAGGTAAGAAAAACACTATCTGTCCTGTTGATAACGTATCTGATGACACTCTCCTTGGCCTCCATTGGGTGCCACTGTACAGGACCAGACTGCTGACGTCACAGTCGGTAAGCAGCTGAGTAATAGTGGAGATAATGTCATTCTATTATTAATTCTGTCTATTAGAAGATAATAATAATGACTATTTACTACTATATAAACTGTTGAAGATGTTTTTGAGAGGGAGTCTGTGTACTGGTCCTGATGGGAGGTTTTCACTGCTGCTATTTTCAGAAAAACAAACTGTCCTCCTTCTCTCTCAGAATATCAGTGAGGGGAATCTTGCCTCGATCATGCCTCCCAGCCAGGTCAGCACAGGGTTGTTCTCACCGCCCTTGGTCACCAGGGAAACCAGACGGGCATGTAGGTCGCCGCTGGTTACAGATGCGAGTTCAGCATTTGGGGCAACAGATCTGCATGAGAACTGGAAGCAAAGGACCCGGAAAAATGTGAACTTTAATTAGAAGAACCACAGAAGTTTAGTCAACAAAAAATAATTGGTGGTGCATTAACAATCCACTGAAAGTTTAAGGCAGAATCGCCCTCCTTATCTCTTGCTGAAATGATAGATCGTCTAACCTGTGCGTCCTCGAAGGCCATCGGTGTGGGGTTGAACTCATAGCAGTTTCCATTGATGACCTCTCCCTTACATGCCACTGCCTGTGTTTGGATCCCAGAGGAGGAGGGTTCAGTGCCCTGTCTGAAACTATCTGGGATAGACATGAAGGGTTCGGTTCCCTGCCTAAAACCATTTGGGATTGACATAATGGGTTCAGTCCCCTGTCTGAAACCATCTGGGATTGACACGATGGGTTCAGTTCCCTGTCTGAAACCATCTGGGATTGAGATCATGGGTTCGGTTCCCTGCCTAAAACCATCTGGGATCGACATGATGGGTTCAGTCCCCTGTCTGAAACCATCTGGGATCGACACGATGGGTTCGGTCCCCTGCCTGAAACCATCTGGGATCGAGATCATGGGTTCGGTTCCCTGCCTAAAACCATCTGGGATCGACATCAAAGGTTCCTCTACTAGGCTATCAGACATCATGGGTTCAGTCCCCTGCCTAAAACCATCTGGGATCGACATGATGGGTTCAGTCCCCTGCCTGAAACCATCTGGGATCGACATGATGGGTTCGGTTCCCTGCCTGAAACCATCTGGGATCGACTTAATGGGTTCAGTTCCCTGCCTGAAACCATCTGGGATCGACTTAATGGGTTCAGTTCCCTGCCTGAAACCATCTGGGATCGACTTGATGGGTTCGGTTCCCTGTCTAAAACCATCTGGGATCGACTTGATGGGTTCGGTTCCCTGTCTAAAACCATCTGGGAGTTGAGGAGCAGAGGGTTCCTCCACTCGCACCCAACCACTACC